GCCTACCCATATCATCCAAAAACAAGCAAACTACAACATTTTACAATATTCTCCATAAGAATAACATGGGGATTTTAAATTTACAATTTTTGAATTTTCTCCGTTACAATAACAGTAGGTACAAAAGCACTTTGATTTACTAAATTATTTGTTTTTTCAAGCTCTTTAAAAAGGTCTAGAGAAAAATTGGGAAATGTTGTGTTTTGAGGGTCAAAAATAAGTAAACCCAATTTTTACCCCAAACTTTAATACTTTTTAATGAAATGGCGACCATACAAAGTAGGTATTTTAAGCCAAGTATGAATGGGGATGAGTGTAGGATGAGTGGCGCGATCTTGTAGTCTTGATAGTGACTAAGGCCAACATATTCCTTAGACACAGCTGTTAATTAATAGCCCATACAGCTAATGGCAACTAAGGGACCTACAGTTTATAGTGGAATCCGAACCACATTTTTGCCTTTGGTATATACAAATTGGTCTAATTATCAGGATAGTACTGCGGATAGTAATACAGTAGTACTCGCCCGTGCGGACGTTAATCCACACCAGGGAGTATCGCATCCACAGTGCATGCCTATAAATATCCACAATTCGTGACCTCCTAGTAGCTGGATTACAGGACGACGCCACCCGTCATAAGACCCCCCGTAAAACGATCCCATGGTCCGATCATGCTGGTTCGCGAACTCATTCAAGTTTATCTCGCCTTACACCTTCAGGCCGAATTTAATCAGAGTCGGACAAAAATTACTCAAGTTATCGCGTTCACGGACACATATTTAACTCTATATGATATACATATATAAACATTTGAACGAATGGTGTTTTTGACCTCTGGATATATCAAAATGAGAAAGTATATCGGTCCTGGGCATAGGTCTTACCTACAGTAATAGCTACTTCCCTATAGGGAAATTCGCTAAAAGGGACACTCTAAAGTTTACATAAACATAGACATAGTTAATTCATGAATGGTGAACAATAGACATTGTAATCGTCAATTACAGTACATAGAATGGTCAAAAGGATCACACAATTTGCTTTTAAAACAATTTATTACTTAGGATGCTTATTTATTTTATAAAATGTTAATACGTTTAAATAATCTATATAATTAATACGCTACATGAAACTTTGTCGGTTGAACTCCTCCGCCATTTCTTAACCGATTTTATCCATTGACGTCTCATTGGAAAGAGCGTGTAGCGTAGATTTGCAAACTGGCCTTACATTTTTGAAAACGTCCCTTGGGCTCTGCCCCAGTGGCTTTGAAAGTTCCCATGTTATCCTTATGAAGAACATAATTGTTTACATTTTGATCAGCTGTATAATTTAATTGCTGTTATTTATTTTTCAATTCAATGAAACGCATTGAGTACGTTTATTTACTATTTGAGTTTGTGTAAACATAACCCTCAAGACGGATCGTGGTTAGTATGGTTCTATCTTAAATTTGTGTATTTATCGTTGTTTTGTGTCGCTATGACGGATCATGTTAGCATGATTGTAACTTAAATTTGTGCATTTATCGTTGTTTTGTGTAGCACGTTTTTTACTTAATTTTTATATAAGCAAATTTGTTTATTTGTTGTTTTTTTCTTTTAAATGCCTCCGACGCGACGACAACGAAACATAGACAGGAGGCGTAATCGTGATTACGACCGCAGCTACAGAGGTTGTGTCCATTTTGCGGTCGTCCATTTACCGGTCAAGGGTAAAATCGTCCATTTACCGGTCAACCCAAAAATTTGGAGGGGTGGGTCAAAAAAAGTTTTCCATTTTGCGGTCACATATTTCTAAAATCCCGAGAACATGTGAGCCAGGTTGATGACGCGTCGGTATGTTGTACACCAATGCACCGATAGTATGTGACCAAACTATGCAATAAACTTCTTCAAATCACGAGTAGTACTGTATTATGTGTATTTGAACATTTTTCTTAAAGAGAAATGAAATAAGTTTAAATCCTTTAAAAGAATGATAAACGCACTTTGGCCTCAGAAGACGCGATGATTGTTGAACATCACACTTTTTACTCCACGTTTCTTTGGGCAAGAAAAATCATAGTTAAATAATGATTTTTTTATATTTAAAAAATCTAGAAATTAATTGCCAATAAATTGTTTTACTTGTTATGTTTGTAATTTAATTGTAACGGCTGTTGGTGTAAAAAAAGTTAGAGCTGCTTTGCATTTTTTTTTCTTTACTTTGGCTATTTAAAATCACCTGCCTAGCACATAAATGACATAAAACTAGTAAAACATTGTGTTAACAAATCGAGAAAACTATGAAAAATGCAAATTTAAAATGCATTTCACCCCCCGACTTAAATTTTTCATTTTAATCTATAGTTTGTAAGATTGTTTTATGAACTTAAAAAATTAAAAAAAAAATTGTATTCTAATTATTTTTCTAAATACCACTTTCAAATATAGGTCAATATATATTTTTTATTTAGATAAAATCTTAAGGAACGCGAATAAATTGTTAATTTGTATAGATACATCATATTTTTTCCAAAACAGTTTTCAAAGTTAAAGAGTTGTTTATATGTAAATAGATTTTTTAAGCATATATTTTTTAATTTGATTTTTAACTGATGTGTATATAGCCTACTTGTTTGTATATAGACTAGTTTGTTGAAATTAACGGCCATTTTTAATAGGCTATTATCAGACATGGTTTGTGATTTAAGAAGAATCTGTCTGTTAAACGATTGATACAGGATAAAAATTTTCAAAACAAGTAAAAAAAAGCGTACAAAGGGTCATATCTTTACTCAGAGTGTTAAATCGATTTAGGCACATATTAGCTGAGAATGTAAAATTACAAATGGTAAGATTTCTGGTAATGCCAATAATAACCTAAATTATGCTTTGCCTGCCTTTGGGTTTTCATTGTCAGAAGAAAATTTGAATATCTTGGATCGCTTGCAAAATAATGCTGTAAGATTTGATCTAAAAAAATTGATCACATATCACATATCAGAAAGAAGTGAAATGTTACCAGTGCAGGTTGTTTGCGTCCTTGAAACTGTTGCCATAGTACATAAAGTGGTCAAAACCAACAGACCCTCCTACCTCAAAGATAAACTAACCACTTGGAAAGAAAGAAGTACGGCGCACAAGACAGGATAGCATACTGCATTTGCCTCGTGTAAACTTTAATGTAACTTCTAACTAGAAGGGGTTTTCTTTTTTCGGCCCTCAGGAATACAATTTTTTTTACCTGAAAGAATTAAAATTTTAAGTTATAAGGCTCTCAGACGAAAAAAAAGAAAACTCTATTTGTAAATATAGGTTAGTTGTATTAGTTTTAATTAAATTATTTGTTCTCTTTTATTATAGTATTGAATACTGTGTACCTGACTTGAGTTGTTTTGAAAGGCAGTGCATTTTTGTACTGAAACCCGCTTTAGATAAATTAGGTTTCTATTCTATTTTATTTAATACTAGCAGAGTACCCGTCCTTCGTACGGGGTTGGCATATAAGTATCAAATGCTTATAGCAGTTATGAGTGAGGACATGGTTTAAGAAATTTCGGTTCTTTTTGAAGTTCGTTCGCTACGCTCACTCACCTTTAGGTTGGAGCTCGTTCGCTGCGCTCACTTGCCTTCAGGTTAGCTCGTTCGCTACGCTCACTCGCCTCCAGGTTAAAGTTCGTTCGCTACGCTCACTCACCTTTTGGTTGCAAATTAGCTGTTGTCACAAATGTAAAAGAAATAATGCTAGTGCTGCACCCTGTTGGTAATCCTTGTAACTTTAATGCTATTGAAAATCATAGAACAGAACCAACTTGTTTAATTGAAACAGCTGTTAAGATTCATTAATTCCATTTCTCATAAGGTTAACATGGGAACCTTTGCTCCAGAGCCACTGGGGCGGAGCCCGGAAGGATTTTTGGGATAAAAATATGCCTATATGTTAATCGGGAATATGAGCTATCATCATGCCGAATTTCAGCCCGATCCGACCAGTAGTTTTCGCGTTTACTTTTCCCATACACACAGACACCACCTCTTTCTTATAATAGTATAGATAAAGGTGGCTCCATCAACAACTCCTCGTGAAGATCTAAAACTCGACATCTGCAAACAATCAAGAAATGTTGCTGCTCTAGTGCATGGAACCTATTCATTCAAAATAGTCAGGTATTCTAGGAATCGAAACCTGACCGCAAAATGGAAAACCTCCCCTCCCTAGAGCCTCCTCACCCCCACACTTGACCGGTAAATGGACTGGCCGGTAAATGGACTGACCGCAAAATGGAAGACACCGCTACAGAACAGTGGTGCGTAATAGGCTTAACTCATCACAGTTAGCACCTTGACCTGACGCTGGACAATGTCAACTATTAGGTTACAAATGCGCCCTAACACTACCCCAAAACGACATTTCGTTCCCAATAGGCCCTCTATCAATGAATGACCTGTGTTGCCTGTACAGCGGGGCATTTTGAGAAGGAGAAAACCGGCCGGACCGGAATGCTTTAGGTTTATCAATAACGAAGATAAACATGGTCTGAGTTACACACCGGTAATCTTTGAGTTGACTCTTTTAAAATCATTTTAAATATGACTGTTATTCGTTTTGAAATAACTCCTGTAATACTTTGCAATTGCTCGAATCCGAGCAACATGTACACTAGTAGCAATAAATAAGTAATAACATTATATTAACATTATAACATTATACCATTTATTTGTGTTTAGTTTAGTTTAGTTTTGATAAGGTTGTCAATTTTATTCTGTCACGGAGCTTATTGAGTTTAAAACCAAATTGGTTTGTGTCTATAATCAATCGTTGATTTGTTACTGATTTCCTATGTACGAGTATTGAACAGCATCATTCTCTACAGATAACCCGTTATAAATCACGGTAAATCAACTAGAATGTTATACTATCGAGGATGTAGTATATGTTAGTCTTTATATTCATGTATATTTTATAATGTGTTCTTGCAATATATTTTGTTCTAATGCGAGTATTTGTTGACAGATAGAGCGGGAGAAGGCAGACCTGAGTGTGCAGGTTATTTCTCTCTCAGAACGATTAGAGGAAGCGGAAGGCGGTGCTGAAAGCCAGGTAAGCCAACATTCAAACAAATATTATTGTATTATCAGATTGATCATACAACAAACAATGATCAACAAACAATGCATGTTTTTTATAGTTACATGAGATACGTTGGCGGAATCTACTAAAACAGCCATTTTAGTATTTCAGGATTTTATTCGTTTTAAACCCGTTCTAAATATTTACATATGTTTTTTTTACAATAGTTTCTGCTCCACTGCCTTGCCATGTATATCTTGGATGAAGGTTTGTTGTTATGAAAACGGATTGATTTCTTGTCTTGAGACATCTAAAAATGGAAAAGTCCGTTTGTAATCACCACAGGTTTGAAGAGTCAATCCACCCTAACAAATGTTAACAAGCTATTTTATTTGTATAATTTCATTTGTGTAATGAACCACCATTCGTTTGATAGTAAAGTTACTGTCTCACTTTGAATGTATTCTGTTATCTGCCGTTGAATGTGTAGGTTCCTAAAAACTATACATAATGGCAAATAGCAAATGCAGAAAAGTCGCAAGACAGTAAATAAATGTGTTTGAAATGTGTAACTATTTTGACTCATGAGTTATGAAGGATATTGACTTAATATTTCACTACATGGTGGAGGTTTTCCATCCATATTTTCCTTCCACCATGATTCCACTACACACAGTCAATATTCTCAGAACAGCTGATTTGAGGAACTAAACTAAACTGGTAAAATTCCTGATGAAAATCAAACTGTTGTTTAACCTAAACACGGTTAAATCGTATTATCAGTTCAGCTTGTTCAAATTGACAAGCCAAATTGGAGGTTTGATTTGATACATATCATAATCAAAATTTAGATGGTTTTTCTTTGATTTGTAACATGTGTATGACGTGTCTTTGTATGATTTTGGTGTTTGTGGAACTGACTCAGTTTTCTGTGACAGTTTGAGATCAACAAGAAGCGTGACACAGAGCTGAACAAGCTGCGCAGATTGCTCGAGGATGTCCACATTGAAAGTGAGGAGACCGCGGCGCTGCTCAGGAAGAAACACCAGGAGGTCGTCAACGACTTCCAGGAGCAACTTGACCAGATCGCCAAGGCCAAGGCTAGGTGAGTATTGTGTAGAGTAAAAAACTCGACTAATGTTATACACCACACTGACAAAAGATTACATAAAGGAAATGCACTACAATGTCTGAAGATTACAAAACCTGGTTACCCAAACCGTTCCAAGGGTTGCACCGTACATTGTCCAACAATTAAACAAAACAATCTGAAGGTTGAACAATGAGTCTGAAATTGTATTGCAACTTCCTAAAGGTTGCACACTAATTGTTCAAAGGTTTTACAAAACTGTCAGAAGGTTACAGAAAGTAAAGTCCAAAGATTGAAAGCTGCCTAATACGCCACACTTTCCGAAGATTAGACAAAAATTCATAGGTGATTTACCAGTGGTTTAGTCGTAAGTTTTCCACCGTAAAACAGCTCACCATTGTCTGACTAACGTCAGAGATGCTTACAATTTCACCGTTATCACGGGAGATGTTAATGATTTTGTCGTGGTCATGGAAATGGCAGATGATGATGTCTCCGGGACAAAGGGAGATGTTCCTGATATCGCCTTGATAGCAGGATAATTTCCTGATTTCGCCGATATTGCGGAAATGTTAACAATTCCGTCAACATCGCTGGAGACGCAAAACTCACTTGAATGCTATTTAAAATTGTTACACCCCATTGTTGGGTTGGGGGAAAACACGGGTTGCCTGTTAATGTTTAAGAATCTCGTAAAACCAGAGCGCAGCACTGATCACCACACTGTAGGGGGATTAAACAAAACTCCATTATGGTTACACACAACACTGTTCAAAGTTTGGAAAAAGTACAACACTTCCAAGGATAAACATAAACATCTGAAGGCACACTGTTTACAGATACAGCTGCTCGGAAAAATATACCATTTTGGATATTTAAAAAATGTCCCTGACGGTCATACAATAGATTTTAAAAAATACAGCTAACAAAGATTTTAAACCCATCTGGTGACAGTTCACTGTCCGGAGATTACAAAAACAGTCTGAAGGCGATACACCACATTGTCCGAAGACTAAACAAAACTTTCTGAAGGTTACGCAACACACTGTCCGAAGATAACTCAAAGATACACTGTTTTTAATGTTTACACACAATTCTAACACGACAGAACGATCAAAGGTCACACTGTAGCATTTTTTATTGACGGTCATAATTAAAATTTTATGCTGCATTTCACTAGAGCATTAAAACCCTGAGACATGGAACTTATGGCAAAACTAGCTTCAGAATTTACATTTTTGCATTATCTAAGCCAATGCTATTAACGAATCATTGTGTATGGGTTGTCTACTTCACTATCCAAAGTCAATAATATGAATCTCTTTGTTCAACTACTAGCAAATACCTTCTCTGTTTTCAAGCGCCAGAACGATTAAACCAATACTCAGAACGCTATTACTGTTCTTTATTGCTCGTTCCGTTCTCATTCTTCAGTCATATATCTTATTCTGAACCAAGAAGTATTACACATGTCGATGTTGGTATCACTGGTTCGCGCGTGCGCTCAGTTCAATGGCGACCAGTCTGCTCAAATATGGCGTCTCAGCATCGCCAGCGCAGAAATAGATCTTGCACTCACTTCCCAAATTCCTGCTCTCTGAGCTGGTAGAATGACACTCCTGACAACTTATAACTTCATGTCAAAATTAAAGATTTTGGTTTCCTGTAGACTGTTCATACGTAAAAGAAGGGGATTTACATTTAAAGGTTTTGGGTGGATCAAGACCAATAGCGATGATCACAATAATGTATTGTGTAGCTTAAAACGTTTAGGCAGGACTATAATTATTCTTTTTGTACACAAAACATTTTCAAATTTTTATACGTAAGAAACCTATTTCCTAAATACATTGAGGTGGATGCCCCATTCATTCTCGGTTTTTACGCTGGATCGCGCGGGGGTCTAGTGGACCCCCAGATAAAAATAGTTATACAATAACGATGTATAAAAAAACTTTTTGATATTTAGCTCTTTAAACTTTATTAATATCTATATTCATTTTCTCATATTGTTACGTCAATTTTATGATCATACCATATCCTTTAACTATTTTGAAAACAATAGTTTGGACCCTTAATTTTTTCATGATGTAATGTAATAATGGTGTAGAATAGGGCAAAATCGTAGTTAAACAAGTTTTTATTGAAAACAAATTTTATTATATTTTACAAAAGTATAATACTTGTAAAAAACATGGAAATAGTAAATATTTCATGAATTAATACATATATCGGTTTGTAGAAAATATTAAACAAAAAATAAAAGAAATCCAATGGTTGGTTTACAAGTTCTTTTAAACACACTTCACAAATATTTTACGTTTGTCTCTGGGACATTATTTTTTAAGGTTTTACACTTAAATTTGGTCTTGGCGTCATTTTACCAAGGCAGACAGTGCACCTCACTTTTTTACTGGGAGGCTAGATCAGTGGACTCTATGGTTGGACATTTCCATCCAATTGGTTTACAGATGCTACGTTTTTTTTTTTTTTTTTTTTTTTTTTTGGCAAACTTTCAATTCTATCAAAATTATAAATAATAAAGTTATTAATGCTAATTAATTATGATAGTAAAACTGAGACAATGTGGGTACACTAGAACCCCCAATGAGCATAGTACTGGTAACACAAGTATGCGGGGTATGCCAGACCCAGGATGGTGATAATAGGTCAATGACTCGGTGAAGACTAACAACCCTGCGGCCAGATGATAGCATATGCTATTTTACGCAGCTACCGTTATGCTCACCAGGGTTGCCATCATACTTGTAAAATTATGACCATACGTGGGGGTATGTCATGCCCCCGCATGGCGTTTAAGGGTTAAAAGTGTAGATGAATACTGGTACAACACAACAGTTCTATATAAAGAACAGTTTAGCAAATTTCCCATGTATAGGGAAGAAGCTGTTACCGCAGGTGACATGGCGAATCCATCGAACTATGCCTACGCCCAACACCAATTTACTTTTTCATTTTTATGAACCCAACAGGTCAAAAACACTTAATTCAAGTATTTATATATACACAGAACAAGTTGAACTGTTATTAAATAAATACTAACTTTTAACACTCATTGTATCAATAAATTTGAATAATGTTACTTTTTGCAGTTTGAGTAAACCAAAAAATCTTGTTTTAGGACTGACAAGGAAAAGGCCAAGTTCCAGCAAGAAGTTTATGAACTCCTTGCACAAATTGAATCTTCCTCCAAGGAAAAGGTAGGATAAGTTAAAAGTAAGAAGTGTTCGCATGCTTAGCAAAATGTCCTCTTTTTAAGTTTTTTTACACATCGAATTTGTAAGTTACCAGAACCCTTTTAGTTTAAAAGCTATTTTTTCTAAACGACACATTTGTTAGGAGAAGCTCACCAGGAAAGTTACGTATGATACTACGTAACTTTCCTGGCGAGGTTTACTATTCTTGCATGGTAATCCAACACGAGGTGTAGGCAAAACATCACTCATCACAATAAACAATTAGTATAAGTTAATGGTACTATTACAATATTTTTTAATATAAAAAGAATTTCAATATTTTTCAATTATTAGATCAGAATATTATATAAAACCCTAAACAACGTACCCTCTTTACACTCAAACATATTAGTTACAAAAAAGCATCTTAGACAAAAATTTATACAAAAACTCAGAGAACTGTTTTATAACCCTACATGTTATTCATGTTAAGGATCTAGCATTGACTATATACACTATACACAGGATCTACAGTAGTCTACCAATGACAGCAATGTACATCATAAGCTCAGCTGCCACATTAAAGATAATGGCATGTTTTCTCAATTAAAAAACTACTTTATATGTAAATATTAATGTGACAATTAATTTTAATGTAAAACTTAAGGCTGTAAAAAGGTAGTATTATTTTTATATATTGTATTTTCTGTGTTATTTAGTACTGTAAATCAAATTAATTTGGAGACAAGCACTCATCCTTACTCCTTACTCTTTGAAAAATCTGTCTTGGGTGTATAACTTGCATTCAAGATTAACCAGGTGTTTTCTTACAGGAAAACACCTGGTCATTGTCACAAAATGACCTCTGACAAACAGCTTTGTCATTGTCACACAAATTTAACCATATCAAAAATCTTCGGTCTTCTATAACTAAAAGGCGCTATTAGAAAAACAGGTGTTCCAATACACAAGGTTTGTAAATGACCGTTAGTAATAAAGTAAATGATCAATTATGTTGAAATATAAAACACCAACAGTCAAAATTTGTTAATTAGGCCTATTGTTATTAATAACAGGCTTTTGCAAGCAGATAAATTTATTTATTGATTAATCATACAGTAACAATCTATTCTTTTTGCAGATTATCTTATCCAAGACGGTAGAGAAACTGGAAGTGACCATCCATGAACTGAACATTCGTATTGAGGAATTGAACCGAACAGTCATCGACATCACCTCGCACAAGACTCGCTTATCTCAGGTAGGAGGATTAGGAGAGTGGGGCTTCTGTACTGAAGACATGGTTAACATCCTACCAATCACCAATGAATTTTAACTAAGTGGCTGCTGGCTGGATTGTTTCAGAACCCATTTTAATCTGCTGCTTCATTATCTGGAAAAAAGGATATGATTAGTAATTAAGAACAACCTTTAGATGGAAAACTCCTTCTCAAAAAGCCTTACAATTGCATAGTGTATTTCTTTTTATCTACTGGAGTAGACTTAAAATAGAATTTATTTCATGTTAATCACTTAGTCAAAACAGGGCAAAAAATATTTTTTATATTTTTATGTCATAATTTGTGAGTGACTGATTCAACCATGTTCTTTTGAAGAAAAAAAATGCTAAACCTGCCTCATATATAGATGGTGTGTATAATTCTGTATAAAATAAACGGTATCAGCAATATGACACATACTTTATCCCATTAGCTTGTCAATAACCTTTATCATGGGTATGCGGTGGGAGTAACTTTGATACATTAACTTTTGAAAGGTAATTTTACAGAAAGACAAATATGAGTTAAACAATTTTGTTCATAATGTAAAGGGCATACTAAACTGTTTTCAAAATAGTTTAAACCATTTTTGATCAAATTCCATTTCCCGTTATTTTATGGGCTTTTATGGGAAAATCACCTTTGAAATAAAAATTTCCAAAAAAAAGGGAAAAAACATGAGATACCATGAGTTGGTACTTACATGCCAAATTTCATCAAAATTGGATCACAGGTGTGGGTTGTGGCTCTGTACACATCCACACATACAGACAGACACACACACATAGACATCACTTCGAAAACCACTTTTTTTGGTTCAGGGATCCCACTCATATCCACTCAAAACTCAAACTCAAAAAATCCTTACAAATACAATACTTTATCCTATATTAATATTGGTATAAGGGGAGAAAGTAAAAATCAATGGTTACTGATTAAGATATCAGCTGTCTTTTTGTGTCAACCCAATTTGTTTGAACAAGTTTTTAAAGAATACTGTACCGGTAGCATTTATGTAAACAAAGGCTGACTTAGTCAGTTAAGAAATGTAACCAATAATTAAGGGTTTTATCCTTTGACTATTAATACAACCAATAATCAATGGTTTTATCACTACCCATTCAAGATGTGTTTATTTGTTTGTAGGAGAACATTGAGTTAGTAAAGGAGGTGCAAGACTTGAAGGTGAACATTGAGAATGCGACATACCTCAAGAGCCAACTCGCTGGACAGCTGGAGGACGCTCGCCGCCGCTTGGAGGATGATGAGAGGGTGAGAGTGCTAGAGTTTCTAAAGTCAATATTACCACCTAGCAACAGAAAGACAATCCCCTAATCTCCACCTTACAGGTACTGGTAGCTTTTAAAATGTAGGAAAAAAATTTTCTCTGACAACCAGCAGCTAAAACTCTCCATGACCTACTTACTAGCTTTTACAATGAAACTTTTCCATGCAAAAGTTGTTAATAAAAGTCAAAAGAATATAAGTCTCATAAAGTTTATGTATCACAGCTCTTCTTACCTTCAACCAAGAGTGAGCAAAAATCATGTGATGTGGAAAGAAAAAACATAACTCTTATCGGCGATGTAAAATTTTAGGTACGGCCAGTATAAGTGATTAAGGTCAAAAATATTCAAATTAGATTTTTATTGATTATTATACCTCATTGAACATAGAACAGACCAGTATCTTTTAAAATATTGAACTGAAGTTGTAAATGGTCTAAATAAATAATTTTGTTAGCCTCTACGTGGCCTGATAAAGGTACTTCTTGTCACTCAATGTTATTTAGCCAGAGCCACAAGAGGTCCCATTTCTAAAATTCCCATTGTAAAGAGACATTAGTCCACAAAATTAATTTTCCTGCATCCTAGCGGAAATTTAAAGAACTACAACGATGTTTAGTTTAAGGAGAACAAAATATCACATCAATTTTGTGGTCCCGACAAGAGGTACCTTTTTAGCATAGGTACACGCAAAAAAGAAACATTTTGTTACTTCTGATTAGTTATTGATGCGAGTTGCGAGTCGTTCTATGGAGAAATAACATAGGGCCGAGAAGAGGCCCCTTTTCTGAAATACGATTTTTTTTACGACATGCTTCAATAAAATAGTATATTACGTTACTAGTCCTGAAAATAAGAAGTGTTAACCGGACGAGTGTGGTCGTTCCTGTGCGAGACGAAGTCGAGTACGAGATTACCATACGAGTCCGGTACACACATTTTGGACGAGTTACGTACGATAGTTGATAGTTTACGCCATACTACTAAATCCGTACATATCCTTATATATTTCCACCAACTAAAGGTCTAAAAATCACTAGTCATAACCTCTAAGAGAGGTTATGTTTTTGTTTATAACCACTCACTGCCTTCTTAATACAGTATAATCAGCTAATTGGTGTCCGGTAAAACTCATTGCAGTACAGTAGTACGCAATGAAACTCCATTTGAATAAGCTGGCGGCAAACAGCTGTTTTCTGGACTAAATCCTTGCGTGGGAAGTTCGTCAAAATAATGTAGTGTGGCGTAAAATTATTTTCATGAAAACAGTTGGGAGGTAAGACAAAAATTGGGATCGCCTTCAAGTGGACATTAATCGTTGCTTAGATTTTAAAATACTATTTTTATGTGCATTTGAAATTTTTAAATCACTTTTTTCCTCAAAATGACCTGCCTTTTCCCTTACAAAATGTCAAAGTCCTGTAATTTAAACAAAAAAATCTTTAATTCATGGGACTTGCACCAAGTGGTTTCGAATTTAATAAGGAATTCAAATATGTATAACTCAAATATTCCAGATAAAAGGTGCCTTTTTGCTTTCCACATCATATATTCAAAATACATTTAATTATTGTCAGCTGATATTGCTAAACATTAATAATGTAAAAGAATGATTGATGCAACAAAACTTTACTAGGGGAGACATAAGCGACCTCGTTCCCTATCTCTTATTACCTCTCTTCAGTGCATGTGATATGGTAAGCTGACCTGACCCATCATGACGTGATGCCATTATCCTGATGACTGACTGCAAAGCCGTCTCTAGTATATACTAGAGACGGCTATGCTGACTGTTTGTACCCTAGGTGTTGTATGTGTGAGGGTTCCTTCACAAAATTGTCACTGCAGTAAACATGCCTAAAAAATTGTTTCACGTAATTTTACATGTTTACTGCATATCATCTGTTTTTTCTTAATATTTTCCACTTTTTGGACAATAATAGTTTTCAACAAGGCTATCCCACAGTACAATCCTACATTTCTACTCGACAATAACACATGTTTCCCTGTTCAGAGACGCTCCCTGCTGGAGGCCTCCCTCCGCCAGGTGGAGGTGGAGCTGGAGTCAGTCCGAGTACAGCTGGAGGAAGAGTCTGAGGCTCGTCTGGACATTGAGAGACAACTGGTCAAGGCCAACGGAGAGGTGTCTCTGTACAAGAGCAAGTACGAGTCTGAGGCCCAGGCCCGCGCTGAGGAAGTCGAGGAACTTCGGTGAGTAGCTTTTTTAGGATAATTAGGGGGGGAGGGGTGAGTAAGGGGGGTAGGGTGAAGCGAGTGGGAGAGGGTGAATGAAATCACGGGAAGAGGTGAACGAAGAAATGGAAAGGCTTGAAAGCAGTAGTAAGAGAGGTGTAAGGAGTAGAGATAAGGATGAAAGAAGAATAAAGAAGGGATGATGGGACTGTGTGCATATGAAACTTGTATTTTAGAAGGTCTATCAGAAGCAAGGAAGAAAAATAAAATATGATAAATGAGTTAGAATGTGTCATGCATCTGTGTCAAGCAAAATGAGACAGGTTGACTCATTTTAAAACTTAAAAACACTGAACAATCTAGACCTCAAAAAAGTTCCTAATGATTTGTTGCAAATAAAGAAAATTAGCCAAATTGAAAATGAAAGGTGAGGTCCTTTGAAATGTTAAGAAAATAAACAAAGATTTTAAGCCCTATTGTGTGATAATACTCCAAATGTAAGAATTTTGAAGCTTTTAAAATCCTGTGTCGAGTGGCTCCAAGCGCCAATCTAGAGGGGGCGATAATAAAAATTTTAAATTTCTTGTAAGACTACATTGTGAATTAGTTAAAAGTAGGAATGTTCAAACTAGTGTTAAAACTACATTTTTGGAAAATTATCAAAATTTATTTGTCCATTTCTCACTTCCCATACCACTTGTTCCTGTGCCGAGGACTGCCAAAAAGCAACTGTCCATTTTTCAAGAGACCTTGCTACGCCACTGGTTATGTCCAAACATCATTTTAGAACACATGAGTGTAAATACACAGGCATGCAGCTTCTTAGGTTACTTTTATTCTTTACAGTTTAAAGTCTTGTACAACAATTGTTTGAATGTTTTTCCTGTGCAGCCGCAAGTACACCACTCGTCTGCAAGAGCAGGAGGAACACATTGAGTCTCTGGTAGTTAAGATCAACAACTTGGAGAAGCAAAAGTCTCGTCTGCAGAGTGAGGTTGAGGTCCTCATCATTGATCTGGAGAAGGTGAGTTATTTGATCAAATAATTTTATAATTGAAGTGCAAATTAGGATTGGGTAAACATTGGGAACATCAGTGTGCGTATTACATATGTGTCAAAGGTGAGTCGTAACCATAAGCAAGCTAGTTCAATCTGAGACCAACGTCATGTTTCTTACTTCATCCACTAGGTTGTATAGCCAGTTCCCACTCCAACTTGGCCCACAATTGGCCTTGTAGTAGTATTTGAAAACAACGAGAAAGAAAATTGACGTTCCCACTATGTATAAATTGTGTTCTGTGATTATATTTCTGAGGTCTCTGTCCTCAGCCTCTATTGAAGTCCATCGTCAGTTGACAGATGTGATTGGAGTAAAATGGACGTTGACAATGTGCACAAAGGGTGGAGGTAGTTAGGAGGTGGTCTTAAGCCTTTGCATGATGTTTCCAGGCCAACAACTGTTGTTCATCAGTCTTGTTTGAAGCAGTGACCTAAGTGACCTAAGTTGGGCAGATTATTCAAGCGGATCTTTGTGTGACAGAACTAATGGGGGTGTCTCCTTAAGGCAATGGTCAGCCCTAGAAGTCTGAAAAATGCAAGTCAACAAGCAAAGATTCCTAAAATTGAATCTCTGTTTTGATGGAAACTGATGAATACCAATGCCAGCCCCGTTGTGCAAGTATACTATTTTCTACAAACTTCTTATACCGATAATGCACATTTTCAACGTCAAACTCTTTTCTCCATTCTTATCTGTCAACTGGTAACAGTAATCAACCGGGATATTCAAACTTTCTCCACCAAAATAATCCCAGAACTTGTCTCTGTTTACCAACAACTCTCTCTCTGTTTATACTTGGCTGCGACGGGAGCTCAATGGAGACCTTAATTTACCAACAACCCTCATATGAAACAAATAAGAGTAAAAGATGTACTGCCAACACTGGTTGGGTAAATTAGATGATATCTTTGTTACCTACCGCTGACTAAGATCAAAAATTTAAAATCAATGGAGTTGGTGCTTGTAAAATTCAACTGAAAGTATTCAAACTCCAATAAATGGTACATCATTTACAACTATGATGTGTGACAGGCCAACAACACTGCCCGGGAGCTGCAGAAGCGAGTGGAACAACTCGAGCGCATCAACATCGACCTGAAGTCCCGTCTGGAGGAAACAAGCGCCCTGTTTGAGCAGACCCAGCGTGACCTGCGCAGCAAGCAGGCTGAGCTGCAGCGCATCGGCCACGAGCTGGAGAAGACCCGGGAACAGAAGGACTCTCTGGCCCGTGAGAACAAGAAGCTTTCTGGTTAGTGTTCAGATATGAGTTATAAATTTGTTGATTTAGCATTATTAATGTTAATGGTATGGTGCAGGTAAAATAAATTAGCCGTCCAACACTTTTAGATATGTTTGTTTACCATTGTTAGATTGAGTGGGGACAGATTGTCATAACTAAGTTATCAAGTAAGATGGGTATACAACTGGGCATAGGCCTATTTTATCTCAAATGAATGAACTATGCTGGACCCTTTCGATTTTTTTTGGACCTCTCATCGTCCTTTTATGATCAGCTTTCATCTATTTTCCTACCCTCCGGGGTTCTATTAATAATTTTTAATCCCTTCAGTTCTTGATCACTTCATCAAAGTCTAAAATGCTAAAATAGTCTTCTGCAGATTATTTTCTACAACAATCCCATTGTAGTAACACAGCTTTTATAAATAATTGATTTTGCTTAGATGATCTGCACGATGCCCGCAACTCCCTGGCCGAGTACAACCGCCGCCTGCATGAGTTGGAGTTGGAACTGCGCCGTCTGGAGAACGAGCGAGAGGAGCTCACTGCTGCCTACAAGGAGGCCGAGGCTGTGAGTATTAGGCGGCCTTTGACTATATAAATAGAACGATAGAACTAGATATTCTATTTCCAGTTTAAAGTTGTAGCCAGGTTTTAAATAAAAATGATTGTAGTTGAGCTAAGATACTATAAGAGTGTCTAGACGTAAATTACTCATTTCTGTTGAACACTCCAAACTGTCAACCAAGCCAAACTGAAAATCTAACTATAGGATACTTTATGTCACACATTTCATATCACAGTAACACAACTTAAGGGAGATAATAGGATTTTAGACTGGATCATTCTCTGTTCAACGATGATTTTTTTCAATAAAAAGTTTGCTAAAGCTGGTCTATAAATGTCTATACTTTTAGACAGTGAGTACTTAACGTAACTGATTGCTCTATTGATTATTGAACATGGTTTGGGTGAAGCATGAAAAAATGGAATTAAAATTTATTACAGTACCTACATAATTGGGTCTGAATAAGGTTCCAACTAAAAAAGTTTCCAAAACTCAATTAAGTTGATGTTAATTTAGGCCTAAACGTTTCATCCAAATTTCATGAAAAGAGATTTTATACAAAAGATGTACTAGCGAGATAATACTATGGATAGGTTTTGCAACCAAATCTGTTATGATATCCTAAATACATCTACATTGTCATTCAACAATATACTGTACATTTGAAATATCTGTTTACTAAAGGCACTTGATTTCGAGTCGATGGTGTTAAGGCTGATTCACTTTATCTTTATGTTTAATTTAATATTCTACCAAACACTTGAATGTTGCAGGGCCGCAAGGCTGAGGAACAGAGGGCCATGAGGCTGGCTGCTGAGCTTGGACAGTTCCGCCATGAAGCCGAGAAGAGGCTGCACGAGAAGGACGAGGAGATCGAGTCTATCCGGTAAGGGAATTTTTGTTGCAGCTTCCTTTAAATTTCATCTGTTTGGTCCTGCAATGTAATAAGTGAGAGTAATGTTGAGTATTTGTAGTTTGTATGTAATTTAATTTATAGTACAGTATGAGAAATACTAGATTTGTTATTGTGATTTAGCTTTTTTTGTCTTCGTCTAATCTAGTCAAACTTTATGTGGACGTTAGATAGTAACAAGACCTGAATTTGGACCAATCCCTTTCAAAAGGGGAAAAATTTCCATTGGCGTAGAAAACAAACACTCGCAAAATAAAAATGAAAGGCTTTGAAACTCTTAAAGAAAATAGTCCAAACCCACGTTTTTTTTATTTCTTGGGAATCAAACCTGCTTTCTGCCAATAAGGTATAAGGCAGAAACTATTACACTTGACGCCCCCTGCCCTTTGTTCAGATCTTTTTATTTTTTTTTAAGACAAATCAACGCACGTACATTGTAAAGGTTTCATTCAAACTCACATTATATCTGGGGTTAGATAAAGAAGCCATGCTGTTTGTAGATTTTATGAATACATATAGATTTGAACTCACGATCGACAGTGTTCTCTGTCAAGAACCTTGTCATACAAATGTGCTGCTGACTCATCTACCATCTGGGTGGTTCTGGTGCAAACCTGAGGAAGGAAAAAGTTGAATGAGTGTTGAAGAGCTTAGTCAGAAAGTGCGTAGAATCACTTTTTCTACTCCACTATAAAAAGTGGTATTGTCTTAATGATATGACATTTTATACTACAATACATATGAGTTTCCGCTATTCTGAAAATTCTCCAGTAGACAAGTCATATGATGACAATAAAGTCTTTACAGATAAGGAAAAATATGTGTAGCCAGCAAAACACATATCAAGTCCGTTTTCACAATTCTAGTATTACAGACTACATGAATCTGCCGTATGATGCTAATGCACTAAATATGTACGGTACGCCATTACACTAAAGAAGAAGTCTTAAAATAAATACTGTAAAGAGATCTATTTTATTTATCAATGACATGGAAGAACAATAAACTATTAAAATGTATTGGTATTCATCATCACTAATTAACATTTGACAGCTATAATTATTTGAAAAAACAGACTGATTACAGCTTAGTCATCTTAGCTTTATTAATCTTTTTTTAGTAGGTTATGAATTCACCTTGTTTCAATATTAAATAACTCATTAATCTATGAATAAATTGGCAATGCCAATGTAAAGGCATTAATCACAAGTAATATGATAGTGGGAAGTGCATTGGTAATTGGCTATTAATAAAATACTACTTGAAACTTATGAAATACACTGCTACAAGTGACCTTTCATGTAGTTGGCTAGTGATACTCCTACTGTTGCCAACATTCGTGGTCTAGGGATCAGAGGAAATACAAGAAGGTCTGAAAATAATGCACTTGATGCCATAAAACTTACAGATCTAGTCAAGAACTCAGAAACCTTGTTTGGTTGAAATTGAGCAGTTTTAAAATGCCACCACACTCTGAATCAAGCATTATTTTTCATTTTTTATACATAATTTGCCTCCAGGATTGATCTATTGACATAAAATGAGGTTACTAACCTGTCGTCAATCAATCCTCTATTGTCTTGGATGACTAGTTTCGGGGTTAAAACCCCATTTTCAAATCTCTTCAGTCTTCAAAAAAAAATATGTTTGACTTTTGAAGACTGAAGAGATTTGAAAATGGGGTTTTAACCCCGAAACTAGTCATCCAAGACAATAGAGGATTGATTGACGACAGGTTAGTAACCTCATTTTATGTCATTATTTTTCATTTATTTAAGCCAAAAACCTATATTTTTCTATCATCTTTTAAGCTTGTTCTTTGCCTATTATTACAAATAAATGTTTTAAATAACAGGAATACATATTCTAATTCACTGACAGACATATTTGATTATTTAACTTTTTGTCTAAAACATTTACTTACTATTTAAGAATCAAATTTGCTAATTAATTAAAAAATAATAATTAAAAGAAGAATTATTCTTTAAGTAAAAAAAATTCTAATGTAAGTTTTATTTCCTATTTTGTGGGTTTTTTACACAATAGCTTAAAAATAGTGTTTAAAATGGTACGAAACATGTTGCTAAAAATGGGTTGCAGCTTAGGCTGATAATCCAGAACTTGCTGATTCACTATTCCATTTCTGCAGTCATTACTAGCTGGCTTACCAATTTAACATGCAATGTAAAGGTCAAAGGTGCAATGTTATTAGATCTTTGCATAGCCTACATTAATTAAATCTGCATTAATTTATTATACACACACACATTTATTTATATGAACAAGTTCACAATCCAGCATTATCAGATGAAAGGAACATGTTTTATGGGGTAGGGGTTTTGGGGTAAAAATTGGCTTTTCCCATTATGACCCCAAACTGTAACACAAAAACTAAGCTACAGTAGAGTCCCGCAAACTCGGCACTCGATAACCCGGCAGTCTGGATAACTCGGCCATTACCTGGCTCAGAAAATTAGTGATTTTTTGAGTCCGAGTTCAACATGGACTCAATTCAGCTCAAGTCAAATCATTCGCAACTTGTAAAAAGGATGTGTTGAACTATATCTGATGACTTAATACTGACTTTTATTATAAATATAAATAAAGAAGGCAGGTAAAAGGCTTAACAGTTTTATTGTTTTTTTTAAACCCTAGTTCTCGATAACCCGGCCCGGCATTTCACAAACTCGGCACCTTCCAGTCCACATTACACCGAGTTTGCGGGACTCTACTGTATTAACATTTCAATAACAAACATACATATACTTTTTTCTTTCCCTGTAAATTAATGTCATTTAAATAGGTAATAAATTAGACAATGCAGGGGGAATATTTTTATGAAATTCAACCATGTAAATGGAATTTTGCTTAGTCCGCAGGTTTTCTGTAGCACATAAAGTACTAGAGGAAAACATTATGTATAGACCAAAGGAGAAATTTTGGATGTTTTTTAACAGAAGGGAGAAAAAAGTCAAATTAATACCATTTTGTTCAAGTAATTTTGAAAATATTTGCAAGAATAAATATTCCAAAAACCCCATACCGATCAATATTCCCCCCCACAAAGGGATTTAAGACGTACAAATGTTAAAACCTTTGGCGTTGTGGCTGCCAAATTGATTGTTTCGATGTTTGATAGTCATCAGCTCTAAATAGCGTTGGAGAGCAGAATGCTTCCAAGAATAGTCGTGGCGTTCCTCCCAACGAATGGCCAAAAATTGATGGTTTTTTGCCAGCAACTGCGCCAATCAGCCAAGTAGAGGCCAGTGCTTAATTGTTCTTGGGCGGAAGTGTGAGGGTGGTTGTTTTGAGTTTGATATTAATTCACTTAGTGGTAACTGTGTAATTGTGCAAACACATTCCAAGTTTGAGATAGTTGTATAGTTATTTGTGAAAAACTGCATAATGAAGACCATGGATGATTTAGCTCTGGAAGCTCGATTCCACCCAATAACGGTGTCTACTAAGAATGCGCTAAGAGGAAAATCCAGAATGGCAATTTCACAGAAATTGTTCTACGACAGCATCCAACGATCGTTACAGGCAAAATCTGAGGCGAGAAAAGCAATAGAACATTTTGAGCATAAACACGCTTATGAAGTGCACGAAGCTATGACCAAAAACATGAGCCAAAGTATGAAAACCAAACTCACTACTAGATTTGTAGACGAGGGAGAGTTTTTGAGACCGCTGGATGAGTTGCAACACAATCTCAAATGTTTTGATCATAAGTCTTCTTCCTTTTTCAAGGATAAAAGGTATTTCGGTTTTTGATTTTCTAATTCAGTACATTTTGTGGTTGGATACAATTTGTATAAAGAAACGGTAATGATAATAGATAGTGATTTATTATTCATATTTTTAAGTCACAAGATAATCTTTATGAAAGCGTAGTTTTGAATGGAGTAACCTTTGAGAGAATGGACACTGAGTTCATGGGTCAAACCTACTAGAGAAACTTTGAAGATCATAATTTTCAAATTTATCGTGCATGTTAGGATTTAGGATGAAGCATATAAGCAATGTAGCACCTTGTTGTGACGGATTCTAGCATATATTTAGTAAAATAATTACTACATTTTTAATGGTAGTCATGAATGTATCCTTGATATTTTTTAAGTTTTCAGAACCTATTTTAGCATCATATACATTTTGTGACAGTAAAAAATAGTAAATCTGTATTGTCATAAAGATAAGAGTAATAAAAGTGTCTGTACATTTCAAAATATATACAATTCAATATTTTTGATTCAATATATTTGTTGCCTTAATTCTTGTAAATATCTTATTCTACTATTATCCATCAGGCAAATATCTAGAAACTTATGCTAAGAACGTATGCAGCGCTAGGGTAATCATTTTCAATGTATTTGAAACTAGGAATAAAATCATGAGCTTCACAAATTCATAAAACTGACAGTAAACACATAAAAAAAACTCATTGAAGATTTTAATTCAGAGGTAGGTCGATAGTTAAGTTTTTTTTAATACTCAATAATACATTCTGTCTGAATATTTTTAAATTTTTTTAGTCTTTAAGGTTGAAACTTATAGAAATTTTGTGTTAAAGGAAGTAGTAGTGATATAAAATTCATTTACGATCGTAAAATGTGGTTATGTCTGTAAAATGAAGTTGATTAATGAACAGTAAACATCCATAATACCATTAAAGATATGCTAGTTTTTTAAAATAAAGAAAATAATTTTTACACTAGTTCATCATTCATAAAATTAACTCTAAATCCTAAAGTTTCAATCAAACATTTGTAAATTCCTCACTATGCATGTTTCAGCAAGCAGACCAGCATCGAGATCGAACAGCTGAGCGCTCGCGTCGTCGAGGCTGAGACCAAGCTGAAGACGGAAGTCACTCGCATCAAGAAGAAGCTGCAGATCCAGATCACGGAACTCGAGATGTCACTCGACGTCGCCAACAAGAGCAACCTCGAACTGCAGAAGACCATCAAGAAGCAGTCACTCCAACTCACTGTAAGCACTCGGTTTGATAATGATTTGGTTTTAAACTGTGGTTCAATTGTTATAAATTTGCAGTTTCTGTGAATAATTTATTAACTAGAGGGAATCAGCAAAACATGTTTGAAATCATTTTAAGCTTTAGGGGGTTTTTACAATGTTTTTTTGTATTTTTCAGTTATGCTTCACTGTCTCACTTAATGAAATATAGAACATAGAAGTTGTCAACTACTTTTTTGCTTAAGTTTACAGTTGAAAAAAAACTGACCAAAAGTTTTGAAAAATACATAAATTACATGTTATAAATGATTTAATGAAAAACAGTAGAAAACAATATTTTGTTATTTTAGGTGTTTAACAACATTCTGATCATGTTTAAAAACATCTTATTTTACAATTTTGCATCCAAACAGCAAACCAGCAGTTAAGTAATGTTAAAAACAAGTAAAGCCCCAATTGAAAGTCTTCTAAGATAATTATATAATAATTATTATATTATAGCGTACTTCTTAGAAGTAACTTCCTTAGTAACAAAACTAAATTTTCTAATCTGTTGGAACATTTTGCTTGTAATACAGCAGGAATAGAGATGTAAACAGACATATTGGCTCTGTGACAGCTGGCTAAGAAGAAAATGTTTGGTTAGAGGTGTTGCCAGTTTCATATTCACATTAACTAACTACTATTGTCAAAGCAAAATTTGTATCCCAATCAAGTCTAGAATAGATTTTTCTTTAGAAAACCAATAATACACTATCTTTATTTTAGTTACAATATTTTTCCAGAGCCAAAATTAAGTGTATTACAATTTAAATACAACTATCAGAAACCATAGAGTAGAGTGTGTACAGTGTAGAATGTACCCTAAAAATGAGCGTTAACAACTTTTGCTTTAATTTCTAGATATAATACTGGAAGACAGCAGTTTACAAATATACATCGTAGTATTTAGAAATAAAATAGGCCTACTTATAGATTTGGATAAATAAAAGAAACATATAATAAAAACATAATACCTGCGCATAAAACATACATAAACAGACATAAAATTGTCTTCAGCTAATCCATCACGATGATATGATAAAAATCTACGAGGAAGTATCTTTATATGGCCTAGCCTAAGGTTTTGTTCTGGTGGATCACGTTACCTTTGACATAACCGTTGTGATTTACAAAATAGTTTTCCATCTTATTAGTCAATACATTCCGATCACTCTACCAGGAGGATAAAAACCATTTCCTCTGCATGAGTGCTGCAACAGTAGTCTTCAACTTTGTTCAATGCCCAGCATACAAATGAAATGCAAGGGCTTGCAATAATTTCCATTAAATTTGTTAATAGTATAAAAATAAATTTGAATTAAATTTCTAAATTTTCACAGGAGCTACAAGCCCACTACGACGAGATGCAGCGCCAACTGGCCGTCACGTTGGACCAGTACGCCATCGCCTCACGCAAGGTGCAGTCCATCACCGCTGAGCTGGAGGAGATTCGCGCTAACTACGACAGCGCCCTGAGAGGCAAGCGCACTGCCGAGCAGATGTACGAGGACAGCCAGAGCCGCGTTAACGAGCTGACAACCATCAACGTCAACTTATCCGCCTCCCGCACCAAGATCGAGCAGGAATTGTCAGTGCTTATGTCCGACTACGAGGAGGTCACCAAGGAACTCAGGGTTGGTAGCATTTATTTGACATACTTTGAATTTCTTTCTTTAACGTAAAGTTGAATGGTGTAGTATTGATGTAATCATGTAATGCCCTCTTAAATATTTTGTACAGTTATTTGTGAAAACTACCTACAGTATGGACCATGGATGATTTAATTGTGAGGCTGGTTTTCATCCAATAATGGTACCAATGTATCAAAATGGCCAAACTGTTCCTTTCAGTAGCACTGCACATTCTTGTACTGTTGTGGATGATTCTTTGTTTCACAGAATAATGTTTTTAAATATCAAAAGCCTATAAGGATTAAACGAATGCTAAGTTAAAAAGGTTCAGCAAAACATTTTACATTAGCTAGAGTAAAAAAATGAATTATACTCTAGGTAGCTAACAATGACTTGACACTGACACAATGAAAAATGTTTGGCAACAAAAATAAAACATCCACCTATCAAAGAATGGTCAACAACTTAAAAACAGTGTCACAAAATTCTTGTCACACTTAAAATTAGTAACTTTTTGAAAGCTTGGATGTCAATAACAATTAACTATACTCGGACATGCATTTTCAAATCAAAAATTATTCCACTAAACCTTAAATTATTTCTTTCCCCTTAGATCTCCGACGAGAGATACCAGAAGGTTCAGGTTGAGCTGAAGCACACAGTGGAGATCCTCCATGAAGAACAAGAGCGAATCATCAAGATTGAGGCAATCAAGAAGTCTCTGGAGATTGAAGTGAAGAACCTCTCCGTCCGTCTGGAGGAGGTAGAGGCTAATGCTATCGTCGGAGGCAAGCGCATCATTAGCAAGCTGGAGGCTAGGGTGAGTAGTGAAGATATAAGAGAGGAAAATTAATGTTATACATGTTTCCTTGATATCTTAAGATTTTGCTAAATCATTACATATTTTTCTTTATACCTTCGCTTCAAAGATCATTCTTTAAAAGCATGTTAAATGTTTTGTTTATGTTCTATACTTTTGCCATCCTTTCACGTTCCATGATTCAAGGAAAAGAGGTTGTGGGAAATCTAAACCTAAGATAAGTTATTTTTAGGATTTAAGATTAAAGATTCTTGCTTATAAGTTCTTAGTTTTTTATTGTATGCCTCCTTGTTATGTGAGCTATTGCTGTATTTAAAAATCTATGTCAACTTCTTTTAGTGATTTTTTAATTTTTTTTGAAGTTTTCAAAAGTTCCCCTTGCATCATCTAATCAGTTTTCTTACTGGCATAGCAAGAGTAACTTCTAGTTTTGATATCTTAACATCTACCAACAAATAACACAACACCCTAACCACCTTTAATTAATACCTGTTTTCCTATCTTTTTGACCGAACCTTCATAGATTCTTGTACTTCACCAATATACAACTAACTAGAGTCAATCCCTCCACACTTTTAAGAATGTATCAATACCCTCTTTAAAGACATACAGTACTAGAAAAATTATGCAGGGAGTGTCTTCAAGAAAAGTCATATTGACAAATTTTCCAGATCCGAGACCTTGAGCTGGAGCTGGACGAGGAAAAGCGCAGACACTCAGAATCCATCAAGATCCTGCGCAAGAAGGAGCGACATGTCAAGGAGTTGGCGATCCAGTCAGAGGAAGACCAGAGAAACATTCAACTTTTGCAGGAGACACTCGACAAGACTGTGCAGAAAATCAACATCTACAAGAGGCAGCTGCAGGAAACCGTGAGTCATCCATTTTCTTCCTTGTTTGGACATTCCTCAAATAGATATTCCTAATGTATACTTTCCCTCAGAGTGGCAAGTAGGTCCTGGTAGCCAATGAATTCAAAAAGATCTTACCAGCACGGCCACGGACAGTAGCAATGCATGTCACCTTAATAACACATGGAACTGCCCTGACAATGTTTAATGATCAATCTACCATCCTATAATATTTATCTTTAATAGGGTGTGACAGCACAAACTATCCGCCAATATAACTAACTAACTGGTTTATCTCTAGTATTTACCTCATTTTAGGCTCACCTGTTGGAAAGTGAGCTAGAGGACACCATTTTCCCTGTGTAAAAGCCGCTTTGCTGAAATTGTCTTACATTAAGTCCTTTTATGGGATCAGAAGATTAACATTCATTTTAAAAATCTCAAGAGAGAAGCCTAGAGATTAAATATACTAGTTTAAATTAAAAATAATAATAAAACTAATCTTTTTTTGTGCAGGAGGGCATGTCACAACAGAGCGTGACCCGAGTACGCAGATTCCAGCGAGAGTTGGAGGCCGCCGAGGACCGCGCAGACACAGCCGAGAGCAACCTGTCACTGATCAGAGCCAAGCACCGCACCTTTGTCACCACCAGCACCGTCCCCGGCTCCCAGGTGTACCTCGTACAGGAACGCACTACCACCACAAACATCGAGTAAATCCAAACTCACACCGCACGCTTTTGTACCAACCAAAAGACACCAACTTACACACTACACTTCCAATTTCCGAGCTTCCAAAATTATCGGTAACAAGAATTAAATTGGCGACACAAAGCTCGGATTTTTTTTGGTGAGGTTCAGTTTGTATATATTAAGGGTTTACCGCACCAAAATTTAGCGCGCTCTACGATCCTATCCGATTGATTTTCGCTTATGTGCAGAAGTATGAGACTCGAGATTCAAAGGCATTTACAGGGGTCGAACTTATCTCTGGCTCACTTCACCTGTTGAAGTGCCAAAGATATAATTTTTAGTTAACGAGAGGTGGGCTTGTACGCTTCTACACTCGACTATGGTATCAAGTACACACGCAATATTTATGGTAGGTATGCTAAACAATTTAGATTTAGGTGATGAATTCTTGTTGCCTTTATTACTTGTTGGAGTTGGTTGACTCAGATGTTTTGCTAACATTGTCATTGTAAGAATTCTTATATCAATTTTCTGAATAAAGTGTGATAATGTTGGATTGTGTTTTATTTTAGTTCCTTGATTATTGGAAACAGGGTCAGTTTTTCTGGGGGGCAGTCTGCTTAAGGCCTGAACTGGGCTGGTGCCTTAGCCATCTCAAAAGACTCCCCTCCCTTCGGACTCACCCCATTTGAAATTGGGGGTGTTAGAGTGGGTTACCTAGTCCTTCAGGAAGGTCTTGAAGACTGGTCTGACGAAGAAAGCCTGGGTTAAACATGGAGTAATGAAACCATCTTTTTAAAAACTAACTCATATCATGTGTCAATTATAAGGTTTTCTGACTAAAAAAAACTCAATGCAATACAAATAACTCAAGCTAAAACTACTCACAACGTATTAAAGACAATCTAAGCCTCCTGCCTCATTTTACTTCTTGAAATTTTTTTTATTTACTCATTCTTTGCTTATGGATTAAACATATTTAAAGTGAAAGCAAAACACGGTGGTTTTATATTTTTGTAAATATCTTCTAACTGAACGATTCCAAAGATTTGGATACGCAGCTCCATAATGCTAACTGTAAAATGAACGAGGTAAAAATAAAAATACTCAAAAAAAGTATTATGAGTAAAGCGTTTAATTCATTAAAAATAGTTAACAAAACAAACATCTCGTGGTATTGAAATGTCTTCTAAGCTAAACAGCTCTGGAGATCTGTAAAAAATTGGTTAAATTTAGGAATTTTGTCTCCAAACTCCTCAGTGGTGGAACTTGGTTGTTCTTATACTATACAAATTAATGGAATTGCCAGGTCTTGCCTGGTTGACAGTTCTTACTCAGAACTTGTACTCATCTCCCTTCTCCATATTGTCCCCTCATCCCTTACACTTGGGACTGTAGAGTTCGGCAGTCTTGGTCCAATTGGAGTTGCAATTCTCCCACTCTCAATCACATATTTTGTGATGGAAGCTCTTACATAGCCAACTAAATTAGAGTGTGTTTTTCATTTGTATATGACAAGTCTACCACCTCATAAACTTATTATTTACAGTAACTTGAGGAAAAAAACAACTATCCTGAAGATTAAGAAGTAATTGAAGTTAAATAACATTTAATTTTCAAAGCAACAGGTTAATCTACTGAAAAATAAAATTAAAAACGTTATGTTTTCTCTGGTGGAATCCAAAGTGAGCCACTCTAAATAACCTATTTTTTAACTATACTAAAAATGAACAATGGCATAGGTTTTAAGGACTTGTGCTAGGATAAAGAAAGCATTTCTTTCCAATTCAAACCTTCCTTGGTAAAATTTTGTGTGTGTCTTCTATGACTTAAATAATCTACCAGTTACAACACTGTGTCGTCGACATTGTTAGCCTAATGTTACGGGCTACGGCTGTATTCTTATAACAATTAACAGTTTACTAATTTTATCATAAAAAACCTACCTGGCAGTGGTTTATTACGAAATGGTAAATTTTCCCAGAATGCCACTCTCTCCTTATAATAACCAGACTCCATTGACATATTCCCAGGACCGTTGATGTTGAGGTATTGCAAATCACTTCCTGCAGACTCCCATACGACTTCTGAGCCCTCAGGTACTGGAGTTCTAGAAACATTTTTGTCTCACTAATCAAATAATGTTTAAAAGTTGTCATAGATGTCTAATCAGCAAAGTACAAATAAAATGTGTTGTTTTTTTGCATGCACCCAAAATTGGTTTACACTACTTCTGTACTCAAAGACCTGAAATGTTATCAGAAATGAAGAAAATTGTTCTTGATCACGATAAAATCGCAATCTTCAACCTCTTCAACAATTGCGTAGGAATAGTGAATGTCTCCTGTGTTCAATAATTATATTACAATGTAAACAATTTAACCATCAGAAACATCAGCAAAACTCTTTGAACAATTAATTACTTACAGTTTATGAGCAAAATTAATCCACATTTTTATCAACTGTTGTGACATTTCTATATCTTCCTCAGTCTTGTTCTCTTTCCGTAGAGCTCTGTTGAAAGGCATCGGGAAAAACATGAACAGTTCATCTGCGTGTGTTGGACCTGTGATGCAAAACAATGTAGCTAAACATTACAATAAAGCACATAGCTTCTGCAACAATAGAATTGCAATCTGTAATTGCTCCAACAATGAAAAGCAGTAACAAAAAGTCACTAAACAGTTGCCTAAAAAAACAATAGTCTTTACATGGCATTTAGAATTTAAGATATTCATTGTATTTTTATGTAAAATATTCAAACTAATATTGTGTATTTTACTGATTATAATATACAAAAGGATACAAAATGAGAATTTGCTAATCAAGTGATTAAAATTCTACTTAATCATGACTTACCTATGTATTGTGTATGTCTAAAGTGGTACACTTACCATATGAGTTTTCATACCCCAGGAGGTTTAGATATGATTTTGATCCAAGATAGTTAAAGGAGTACAAGTAAGTATCAGCAGTATTTTTCTCCACAGTTTTTGCGACTCCATAGGTAAAAATTCCATCACTGATCAGCTGTAAAAGAAATGAAATGAAATGAAAAATGTCTTTATTTAAGAGGTGAAGTTAGGACTTGCAAGTCCTCTCTACCACTTAACCTCTAAACATAAATAAATAAAAAACTTATTCACTTATATAAGTAAATTTAAATAATCTAAGTAATCATTAAATTAGTAAACATGAAAAAATAAATTAAATTAAGTAATCCTACAAAAATACCATTCACACAAGCCGCCAACAACCCCTCACACCAGCGCCAGAGACTCACTCAAGCCCGCTGCTCAATATAATAGATTTAATCTCTGCCCCGAACCTCGCACGGTTACCTATAGATTTGATATGGTCAGGAAGAGAATTCCACAATCGAATTGCAGATACCAAGAAGGATTTGTTAAAAACTGTTGACCGGTGAATTGGTGTAGATAAAAGGTGAGAGCCTCTACGAGTGGCACGGGTGCTGATGTCAGAAATAAAATGGAAGTTGTCTGATAAATAATTGGAAATTTTACTATTGATAATGGAGTGCAGAAGACGGAGGGTGTGAAATTCCCGAAGTTCATTTAACTTCATCATTGAAAGCAGGTTAAAATAGGGAGTTACATGGTCATATCGCCTTAGGCCAAACATGAATCTGATACAGGAATTCTGCGCTCGCTGAAGTCTACTAGAAACCTCATTAGTCATGTCATTGATCACCACATCACAGTAGTTGAAATGAGTCAAGATGAGAGTTTTTACTAACATGATTTTCAAGTTCAGTGGAAGGTAGTCTGCTAAACGTTTGATGGTGTGAATAGCTCCAAAGACCCTGTTACAATGGAGTTGGCTTGGTCAGACCAATTCAAATGTTTGTTCATGATGAGTCCTAAGTTTTTCACTTTGTCGCAGTAGGTGAGATCCTTTCCGTCAAAGTTAAGTCGTGGTGCAGTGAGTAAGTTGATTTTGGTCATTAGTCTGGGGTAGCCAACAATCATTGCTTGTGTTTTGTCAATGTTGAGTTTAAATCCATTGTTTATAGCCCAGTGAGTAATCGATTCAATGTCAATGTTCATGAGTCGTACAGCAATATCCATCTCGTCTACATTGAAGTTCGAGTAAATCTGTAGGTCGTCAGCATACAAATGGTAGTGTGAGTGTGATATGTTCTGTGATGTCATTGATGTAAATTGAGAACAGTAGTGGGCCAAGAACAGATCCTTGAGGAACACCTCTAGTAATCTGCTCCCAGGTAGAACATTTGTCACCGACTTTGACACACTGCTGACGATCAGATAAATAGGACTCAATCCAGTCAACACAGTTGTCAGAGAAACCGTCAGAGAAGCGTTTTATCTGGTTTGCATTTTACTATATAACTGAATGTACAATGTAGTCATGATCTAAAAATACCGGTTACCTCACAAAACAAGGGTAGATCCTAAAATAAGGCCTCTAATAAGCTCCTCACAACGGGTTCTTTACTTCCTCAGGCAGTTTCTTCCTCTTTGAGACACTCAATTAATTTTATAATGTTACAGTGCTTGACAGATTCTTATATCTGTCTCACTCTGTCACATTTCATTAGGATACTAAAACAGATACACACTTTGGATACATAATTCAATCTGAGTATAATTGGAGTGAGTGCGGAATTGAGTTAGATCCCTTGAGTACCGACAGAGATCAGCTGTTCTTTAGCAAGGACCATTAATTTTAACTAAATGATCAAGGACAACCAACAAGTATCGAACCATTCAAAAGCTGACTTTCTTCCTCAGGACCAAACTGACAGTCTTCTGATTAACAGACAAACACTTTAACCACTCATTTATATATAATTTTACTACATGCACACATACAGCAACCACCTCTTTTTTATAATAGTATAGATTTTACTCTATTGTACTCTACTTACATCAACAAGTTGCATGAAGTTTTCCCTTTTGGTTTCCTTTCCATCAATGTAAAATTCTCGTATTTGTTTGCTAACGTACTCAGGATCCTCAGCACTTGTGTTGAACATTAAATTGTAAGGTAATATCTTCTCAAACTCGGAACTGAAGTGATTGAATTTTTTATTTGTTTCATCCATTAGGAAATCTGAAAATCACATAACAGATAATGTTGTCGAATATAATCGTTGTTTGGTTTTTCAAACTATACAAACCTAATTATCAAGTGAGATATGTTCTCCAATTCTGAACTAAAGAGTTTTTTTAATAATAGAAAAATTCAACTCAAAATCTTAAATAATGTGTAAAATGTCTAACTAAATGAATAACTCTGGTAGTTCTTATAGTTCAACTCTTGATTTCTGTCTGGAAAAATATCCATGATTAGTTTACTAATATTCATTCTGATAGCCCCTGGAATACGTAAAACGTATATATGACTTTTAGGCTTAGCTCCGTCAATAGTCCAAATTACGCCAAACTTCAATTATTTAAAGCATACATGGTTTGTTACAGTGCAACATTTGGAGTCTACCTACAACCGCCGCCGTGTCATGATATCCCTATATTGAGTTGTTTTGTGTATAAATGTCTCGTGTACTATTCTGTGTATAAATCTAAATTTTGATGATTTTTTCATCATAGATCAATCACTTACCAAAGGGGTTTCCTTCATTTTAGTAGCCTAATATTTTACTTATATTTTTGTTTTTACGACTATTCCTTTGGTCTTAAATCCATTGTTAAATATATGACAAATTATGGAGCTTAAAAATGCAAAAATAAAATCAAAAAAACAAATTTGGATACAAAAATTGCATCGTGTTAAACCTGTAACATTTTAAAATATTTTAAACGTTTTTCCTTCGACAATTTGTAAAACCTTCACTTTATAAGTTTACAATACGTTGTTTGTAAAACTGATAATTGATCACTTATTTCTTGAATTAGTTTAAAAAATTTAACAAAGAAGTAAAGTAACACACGATCCGTTTCCAAATCACCAAATGAGGTATATTTTTAGGTTTCAAAATTCAAATTAAGTCTTTGTTCTGCACATACTGAGAGACATGACAGTCCATTTGTTTGTTGTTAATAAATGAATCGTTGTAAAGTATAAAGTTTCCTACCATGTATTATGAACATCCCTTCGTACTGGTTGGTTCCGACAATCAAAGGCACTGACATTGTCTTGTTCCAAGGATCAGCTGTCACAAACACATCTTCCACACAATCAGGTTCTATCGTAGGACTCAACTCTATTCTTCTCATTAGACTGTCAAGCGGCGGCTGAAATAAATACAACAATTTAAAATTTAAAAAATTAGCTAGTTCATTCAATACATGGCCGTCTGGATTCTTCTTTTCCAGCTCCAACCAGATGTCAAGTTGTATGACACAAACATTACTGTCAATATCTGTCCTTGAGTTTGCCTAACTTGGCATGAATTACTCTATCTGGGATGAAACTACTTAGCTTAGAACGCACCATGGATGGATTTACTTTGCAAGACTTTCTTTGGAGAAGACGTTTCTTAATTTAGACCCCCAATGTACTGATGGATAACTGAGAATCATCCAGGAACACCAGACCAGAATGAGTCATTTGTAAAACATTGTTAAAAGATAATGTTTAGTATTAGAATGATTTCAGAAAATCACTTGTGAGAATCAAAGTTCTAGTTCTTAGAAAAACATTTGCTACTAAAAAATATCTTCATTTGTTATATTTTTGTATTTCTATAGCAAATTAAAATGGAATGGTTTTTTATATACTTCTACTGGTAGTGGCAAATCAACACAAGCAATCGAGAATTAGAATATCAACCCAAATTATTAAAAAAAGGCTTAATTTAAAAAAGTTCTTCATTAAATTTTAATAAATATTGAAAAACTTCCGGAAAGTTGTTAATTTAAGTCCTGTAGTATGTATTTTTTGCTTTAAAATTAATTTCAATCATTAAATCTAAGATAGGAAAAAACATCCATTGCATCACAAAATATTACAAAATATTCAAGATTACTAGAGACACAACAGAAAAACTTACAGAAAAAAGATGAACGTATCGTGTCAGCCTGAAGGCGGGAATCTTTTGCAGACACTCCAGGAGAGAAGCACTGTCTCCCTCAGGACACCCAGTCTTGTCCAGGAGATACTGGACTAGAGGCTTCTGGTCTCCAGGTCTTTGGAAACTACCAGCCGTCAGGGCGGCGCCACTGTGCAGGATACCAGCTCTGAACAATCCTGAAACATATCAAAGTGGATGAGGTAAAATCCATTGGTGATTCTGCAGGATTTGAACCCAGGACCTCAGGGAGAGAAATCCCGCGCTCTACCACTAGACCAGCTCGCGCCCCCAGTGCAAAATGGAGTGGGATGAAATAAAATTCTACGATACTTTATTGCCATGAATATTGAACAAATCTAGCAAAGCTGGTGAAACATTTGGCATTTTCATATCATAAATAATATAAAATAAAACTAATAAGTACTTTAACTTCAAATAACTACATTTACTTATTGTTCAATTCAAATGTTTGGAAAGCGAGTATTAATTATTTTTCAAAAGGTATTGTTGGAAATCATTTTTTAACTCTGAAACACCGTCAATTTTTTTAAGCTAGCGGGTAGACTGCTTTAAAGCCTTAAGCCCATGTAGTACAGAAATGTTTCATAAAGTCATAGGTGGGGTATTAGATATTTTACAAATAAAAGTTTACATTATGTTTTTTTTTTTTTGCATAAACAATAAAATTCTTACACATTTATTTTGAATTAAATAAAGGCTTTAAAATATAAAGTTGTCTCTCATAATTCAATCCCTCATTGAAAGTTTGAAAATAAGATTGCATAGTATACTGTGAGTTTAATTTTTAAATTTTATAAAAACTATCATAATACTTGTAGGAATACTAATACAATTATCTTTAGTCATGTTCAGACATTTCAGTGTATTAGCTGTTCCTGGACGTACCTTCATCAGAGTTGAACAATATGTGGTAATGGACACTAGCAGCTCCTGCACTCTCCCCAAACAGAGTGACAGCCGAGGGATCTCCTCCAAACTGTTCTATATTCTCCTTCACCCATCTCAAGGCTGCTCTCTGATCCTTCAGACCAAAGTTGCCAGGAACAACTTCATCCTCCAGACTCAAAAACCCTAAATTGTAAGAAATTGTTATGGATTCAATGTACATGTAAGATTTTAAATCAGTATAAAATCTTAAAAACAGTTGGGAAAATAAAAAAGTTTAACAATATCTACGGATTCTGCCCAATCGATAATCATAGCACAATAGCATTAATCTTTTTAGGCCAAAGTAAAGTCTGAGAGATAGAAAATGGTGTCCTTGCTAAATGCTTTCTTGGTCATCGGAAGTTTTAAAAACAAATTCTAGCGTATTCTGGCAATCGACTAGCTCAATTAGAGGGGTATCTTATAATGGTTGTTGTGGTCACCTCAGAATGACAACGTATATTTAAGACGTTTTGCAAATATATCCTGAAAAAAATCTGTAGCTTTTTGATTGCTCAAAACCCAATGTCTCTGATCATTGGGCTTTTAGAAAATGATTCTGGTTAAGAAACCAGCTGATCTTAGTCAGTAACAAAAGTTACCATCTCATCCATAAAAAACTCATCCTTCAGTTATCTCTACCTCAAAATATACAATGTATCAATGGCCGAAATATATGGTATATATATATGGTATATAAATCTATTTCAAAAACTTGTTCCTATCTTTTCATTTTCATAAATATTCAATCCATTCAAGCATTCATTATATTTCTCTTGAGGATATTAATTTTGTTAAATACCTCGCATGGTCATTTTTAAATAGGTATTTTAAGCTTTTAACTTTTCCATTTTGTTTTTAGCTCAAACATATTTTTTGTATCTTCAAATTTAAATATCAGTCCATCTATACACATTGTGAACAATTTTAGTTTTTGGTACAAGCAAAGGTTTTTTGACAAATCATTAGACATTTGGACCAAAAAAATAATGTCAAAACCTAATTTGATAAACTAAAATAAAAATAGCACATTGTTTAGTAATTACCAAAAACACCCAGTCTGTAATTTACTGTAACAAGAACTACATCTTCATCCAAGATAAATTTAGGGTGGTAAACAAAGCTTTCTGCCGAACCAGTCCTGAACGCTCCACCATGAATGAAGAACAAAACTGGTAATTTTTCCTCATTGGAAATCTGAAATTATGAAACAAAATTATTATAATGTGGCAGTAAAAACTTTAAATCTAGACTTTTCTCAAACCCCTACTACTGTAAATTCAACTTCTCATCCAAAACACCACTAGCTTTTTTATAGAAAACATTTGCACAATATCAAGCCTATGCAAGCTTTAATTTCTTTAAGAGTTCAAAATATTTTAGTTTTCAATAAATATAATTGTTTGTAGTAAAATTAAGGCTAGGTGGTGGTAGGGATTAATTTGGAGCTGCATTTATTTTTGTTTGAAAATGTTACCGTGGCCCCTCCCTTATTTGGATCAATTTGGTTTTGACTTTGAGTTATTCAGATGGCCACAGGCTTACAAGGTGGCCTATTTGTTGTAATATTACCACTTTGTAAAATAAAATAACCTTGATTTGCGTGTAATACACTATGGGCCCAAAAGATAATTGCCCCCTCTTCACCGACCTTGTAGGTGAATCTTTCTCTTCCTTGCGTTCCTTAAAAACCTCTTACGCAGTGGCTCTGGACGGCCACCTATTAATACTGAAGAAGCCACTGTACATAACTACGTACAAACAAATAAGTCACACTCGTCAACAGTTGTTCTATACACACCGAAATTATTGCTGGATTATTTTATGGTTTAGTAGTAGTAATTTTGACTAGGTCTTCACTCTTCACTTATAATACACGTTTTTGAAACGTTCCCATTCATTTTTGCATAAACGGTTTGTACTTTTTTTTAGCTCAAAAAAATTATTTAGTGCCAAGGTGTTTTGTTTGAAAGGGTGATGTTCTGGGTGACCTCATCACCGGAATTATATATATTTAAAATTTTAAAACGCTGACGTCCACAATTTCATTACCAAAGCTTGTTCTCTTGCTTTCACTTTTTAGAGTTTTGGAATGTGACACCTCATTGTCAATATTGACACCAACTCAAATCTCAGCTCACTACCTCACAGTGTTTGTGTACCTCAAAAAATTGTTCATGGAATCGCCAAAATATCCCTATTTATATCTCGGATTTTGCATTGTTTCTTTAATTTACCATTTAAAACTAGAATATAATAAAAACAACAAACAACATTATTTGCTCAAATATTCTAAGTGTTTTTTTTAGGATTGAGAATTGAAGAACCCTATATTGTCAGTGTCACCAACCTTATTACGCAGGAATAGACAGACAGACATATCCACAGTATCGTTGTATTAGTAAATTTATAACTAGATAGTGAATTTTATGTTTAGTATTCATCAAATTTGTACATAAAGTGGAAAGAGTGTTTAAGGAAGTACGGTACTAATAATGATTTTTTTTTACAAAAGATTTTACTTAAGAAGTCGTAGTAAATATTTTGAAAATGCTTTTTTAAGTAGCTGAATATTTGATAAATGTACAACAGTTTGTTTGGAATCAGATAAAAATATGTTGACAATGCTAAACAAATTGTGAGAATAGCATTTTTTTGTAACAAAAGAATAATTATTGTATGGGAGGATGTCCCCTTAGTAGCATAAATATTCTCTATGTATCCTCAATAGAGAACCTCCATAAGATTTGACACTGAAAATATCGTTAACCAACTTAAAGTATTCACAACTAACAAATTCTTGAAGTTTTCCAATTCCTTTTAAGAAAGTTTTAAAAGTTTGTTTATCCCAAAAAAATAATGTACTGAGAAAATTTGAACAATTACTGTATAATGTTTTAACCACGAATGTTTGAATGGTCTTACATTTGGCGAGTACACATTCAAGTACAAGCAGTCTTCTTCTCCATGTATACTGAAGAAGGGGTGAAACTGAATGCACGGATGTCCATCTTCCCTAGCAATTCTCCGTCCCTTCCACGGCTCAGGGGGTTGTGGGCTCTAAAACAAATTGGTTCTCAATATAATATTATAAATAGCTTGGTGAATATATGAACTGCTTAGTTATCAGGGATAGTTAATTCTTGTTCTCTTACCATTCGATGAAATTCATAAAAAGTTTGAAAATACTCTGGTAAAAAGAGTATGAACTGTAATTGTAATTTCATTCTTTTTAATATTACATTAAATACACTGCTTGGTTTTTTTTTTTGGTTTTTTTTTTTACAAAAAGGTGTGGACAGACCAGGAAAGAATATGTTCAGTTTCAAACAAATTTTAAAAGTTATTCTTAAGATTGTTAAAGTAATACGCAACACAACTTGTTAATATAACAATATTTTGAAAACTATACAGTAGAAATAAATATTCAATTCCAAATACCCCTTTTACCGATTACTTACTAAACAGTAGTTACCCAATTCTCAAAGCCATTTATTTAATCATCCAAAAATGGGTGGGTAGCCAATTAGTATAGTGTTTGCCTTCAAATCTTGAAGCTGCTAATTTTATTCCAAATATTCTAGACTCAGATATTTGTCATTGTGCTAATGTATAATAATCATTTCTACCAAAAGGTTGACATTAGATAGTGACAAGACCAGGGTTTGGATTATTTTTGCAAAAAACTTAAAAAATGCCAATATCTCTGAATATAAAAAATGCTGAATAGCACAAAAAAGGCACACTGCCTCTACTTCTTTTGATTATGCATCTTCTTCTTGGCCTCTCAACACTCTTATGCATCCACTCAATCTTTGAACGTCCAGGAGGTCTTCTTCTACCCATATTGATTCTATCATCGCTTCACCTGTCTCCCTAACATTTCCAATCCCAGACGTCTATTACTTCAGCAATTAAACAATTTATGTTTCTCATCCAAGAAAATTTTGAAGCTCGACTTACTTTGAACCTCAGTTGTTTGGTAGGGGGAGCAGCGTAAGGTATACCCCGGAACGCAGCTATTTGACGACCTCCACGAGTCTTCATCCAGGAGCCTTGCAGCTCCCCCTGGGCTACAGACACTCTGGGGGGCTCGGCTAGGGCGGCCATGACAGTTGTGAGGATGAGAAGAAGAGACAAGGAAGTAAACATGGCTGCATGGTGAAATAAATCATGTGTGGTTAATGCATTTTCATGAAACCTAGAGGTATTTCTCATAGCTTTTTTCTACGCTTAATTTGATTGCAGCATTCATTGTATTGGAAATTAATTGTTACCTTCTCATTTAATGTGTTTAATAAAAAGAGTTGTGAAATTCTCTTGTAAAACGGTTAATAGAACATGAACGGAATGAGAGGACAAATGCATGAACTGTAGTAATACTTGTAAACTTTATTCTTTTGGGTATTATTTGTTATCATGACAGCCTTAAAATTTTAAGGAGACAGTTTTTGTCTCTATTTGTGAATAAATGAGAAGGTTAAATTAATTAGTAAAAAATTGTGCCTTTTACAAAGCAAACATAAAAAAACTGTTTATTATTATAATTTGTTATTAGGAAAAGTTGTGTGAAAAACCAGAAAAGAATATGCTTTGTTTTGAACAAATTTTACATGTTATTTTTAAGGATTTTAAAATTAATACTCAGCACAACTGGTTAATAACAATATTTTGAAAATTATACAGTAGAAATAAATATATTTACATAATTCTAAACTGAAACATGTTATCTCCCTTGTCACTATTTAGGCTACGGTACATAAATGTTACCTAATTTTTTTTTAGATTTAATATATTTTTAGAAAGGAGATATACAGTAACAGGACTTACACCCGTTACACGTGATAATCAAGACAACTGAAAATGTTGATGATGTAGATAGATTAAACCATAGCCAATACAAAACTGTCTATCCTGTGGACATTTGCTTCAGTTCACATCCAAATATAAGTCAGTAATAAAGATATTCCAACTGCAACAAATAAAAAATCCTACTGTTTTACCAAAGCAACAGATTTGACCAACCATTTTACACAGTAAAATTAATTACTTAGACAAAATGTAATAAACTCTCAACTGTAAATAATATGAACGTATTGAAATCTAAAAGACAATAAAGTTTACCTCAAACTAAAGGTGGTAATCCACACTCAGCTCAGCAGTCAGCTGATTTGAGTGAACTCTAGAACAGCTGGTATTGGAATGGTCAGTTGGACAACCAGTTTGCTAATTAAAGGTTAAACTCTCTGAACATCCGTTACAAACAGGATGCCAGAACAGATTAGAGACTGATTTCCATTACTAAGCAAAAAACCTGTATGATCAACGAAAACTGGTTGATTTATTTAAACCATTGACTTTGGATACTGAATCAGACATCTCATATAGAAGGGTAAAATAAAAACTAAGGACAGCTGTTTCATATCGAAACAGCAGTTTCTTTTAACGTGCAACCCAAATTAAAAGTACAGTGAGACACATTTTAATGACAAAACAACCTTATATTTTTGCATCCCTGTGTTCTTTACTTCATTGCCGATCAGCTGATATGCGTTGTTTCATAGTTATCTATAAGGTTTAGTGTTATTGGGAATTCATTGTAAATACGACACAACATGGCGTTTCCCCAACATCATCTCCCCAAAAAGAAACCCGGTCCCGTGTCTAGATCTTACCATGAGACCTAGAGTAATAGCTTTTGGAAAATTAGCTGAGAAACAATGTTTAAAAATCTGACTAGCATTGTAGAAATTAGACGGAACTAGACACCACAGCTTCATGGAGAACTTCTGGCCAGTTTTTGTGATCCATGATTCAAAGTTTTCACTCAAGCTAGGACTGGTTCATTTGTTTATTTACTAAACCGTAGAGAAGGGGAAAAAGCACACAAAAAATAAATACAATTCTTTATTTATAAAAATGTGCAAGTACATGTATAATATATTAACTATAACTTCAAACATACATCAACTGGTTTTACCAGACATTATCTGCTATAAAATAAATAATATAAAAAGTACAGCTAAAATATACTAAAATAGCTTCTTTCCTGTTGTGGCAATTCATTCAACGTATTCATGATAACAAAGCAAAAATGAGTTTTAATTTTTAAACAATAATTGTTTAATGTGATGACTTTTTACTGTAATAACAATCTGTTAGGAGAGAGGCTAACTACTTTTTGTATAGGAAAAAAAAGTCTATGCAACCACACAAATATACTAGTTTAAAAAATAAGCATGATAAAACTGTACATACAATGAAAACTTAGCTGTTAATTCATAAACCCAAAGTTATACATACGATTTCATTACCATGGTCTATAGTATATAATTGATATGAGCTTAAGTATAAGTATAAATACCAATAAATGGATATTTATTCTAACTAATTAACAACAATAGAAGCTACTAAATTTATTAATCAGATAGACTATGTTTTCTTCTACAAAATCAGCAGAGGCACAGTAGATGCCATCGACTCCAACATGACTAAAAATATTATTTTTGTTTAAGATAATCATAAAATATTAATTTTGTAATTTTTTTTACTTTACTAACGTTACAACCTCAAAGTCTCGATTCAATGAAAATAATACAACTGAATCCATACACTCATATATTTTTGATCACATATAATTAGAAATACTGCTTAACCCTTTATCACTATATGACAAAAACAAAAAACCGGAAAAGCATTCCCCAAGTCAGTCATGAAATATTTCCCACATATAAATTTACAGAAATATTGTTCTTTACATTTTACCATGCATTAAAATGTTCATAATACAAAAATAAAATATCTACATATTATTAAATAAATATAAATCTTCAAACAAAATAATATCAAAAAAATCTTTTGGTTTTACAGGCCTAAGATAGGAGCCATGGGCAAATTGCAGGTTTTAATATGGCTCAAAACTTGTTTCCGAGACAAAAAGAATAATGTAATACCGGTACTATTTGATTTTCAAATATTATGTTTGCTTTTAGGTGAAAACAACTACTAATTCACAAGAAAATAAATTTTTAAATTTTTTAAACTACACCATAAAGAGTGATTTACCAACCTTAATCAAGTTACAATTAATTATAAAAAAATAACCTATTTAAAGTCCTGTTTCATAAATTGTTTTGTTTCTTGTTTAGCAGGTTATCTGACTTTTGGTTAAACATTCAACAGAGCGATTGGCTGTTAAATTATGATTGACATTTAAACATCTATGGTTTGATATACTATGCTTAATATAAGTCAAATTCATAGTAATTTTTACATAAATGAAACCACTGAAATTGAATAGTGAAAATATACCGAGCCTATTGTAAAATCTAGGGGTCTGCGGTACAGAAAATTTAAGGTCGGTACGGTACAATATTTTGTACCTCGGTTCTTGGTACAAAATCGGTACGGTACGCGGCTACCGGTACCCGTATTTTTGCGGTTTTCTTCTCAGAACTGTATCCAAACCATTATTTTTTAACTTTAATACATAGACATTACTATGAAAATGGATAGTATCCTACATTCATGGTTTTCTAACAACAATTACTGTACCACATATTATTAAAACAAAACCTTTTACTACTACGAGGATTGTGTCAAGAAAAATCACAGTTGAGATAAAGGCTTTACCTATTTTACTCTGAGATACTTTGAATAGCCATGATAAAGTAGTTTAAAAATAGGATGAGAGTTTTTATGAATAAACATGTTTGAAACATTTATTGACAAGATAATTTCACAAAACTGATAAATTATTTCCAATCAACACAATGTCTAGTTGTTTTTTTTTATTTTAAAAACATATAAAAGCATTCAGTAGAAGACAGTGTAGTTTTGCCAGCTGTTCACAGCAGATGACAATGAAAAACTGGAGGTTTTGATGAAGTAATGGCAAAGACCATTTTTTTTATCAGCTTCAAAACTAGTTAAGTTATAAGATGAATACAATTCTTGCAAAGTTTTTTTCTGAAACTAAAATTTGGATTATCACAGAGTAAGATTTGATGTTGGGCAATTAGACTTTATAACTGTGTAAAAGGTGTGTATCTCTGAATTTATAAATTGCATTCTACACTTATTCACTGCCAAACATAATTCAGTAGAACCTTGATGAACCGAGAATTACACTAGCCTACATACCTTCATTACCCCAAGTAAAATACCAAGATAATTTTTATAATTGTATTTGAATCGTATAATCTTAGTTTGTTAAAAATGGATTGTATGTTCAGCAATAATTGCAGTCCATTATTGTTAAGCAGTATGGTCCCAAATTATTGTTTTTGATTTTGAAACATCACAGTTCATTTGACAAAATTATAGTTGAAGCAGCTCAATGTCAAGTCACGCACGCTTGTGCAATAGTTTGTTTACATGCTTTCTCCAGACCACGGGGGAGGGGAGGGCCTGATAAGCCGTCTATTGTTCACCCCCAAGAAGGTCCGACCCTCATTAGTGCCGCTCGGCTGCACTCAGTGGGGAACCCAATACCACAAATCAATCTTTTAAATGAATACAAATATTTGGTAATAATTGTTTTATTAATATTCACCTTGAAATTTCAATAAATTTGGTGTAAAATTTGACAAAAATCTGCCATTTGGACCGATTATTAATACAATACCAAATACCAATAAAGTAGTACCGCACATTCATTGGTAATTAAATAATAGGTAAAAATTTACCGATTTTCGTCAAGTCAAAAACACTTGACACTTGACTTGTGTTTGGTATTCTTTTTACCCCCTGCTGAGCGCTATGTCACAAAAGCTGATAACGACATGGGTGATTAGTAACCATGGCAACTTGTTGAATGCGTGATGAAGGGAAACCCAAGAAATAGAAGAACAAAGAGAAAGAATGACGTTGTTATCTTTATACCCTTTTTACAATTTCCGTTATTGTTATCTTTATGTAAGATTTTATGATTTTGTTTTATAGGTTTATAAAATAATTCTTTTTAACTACGGGAATATCAATTTATAATTTATCAACGTGTTTCTCTTCTGAAACAGCAATACCGGATGCATAATAAAGGTCAATGGCCTAAAATATCACGATTGTGCAATATTGTATTTTGATGTTGAAATTAAAATTACGACAAAAGTTTGTATATATCCATGGTCGTCAATAGAAAGATAAAATATCCATAACAAATATTTAATTTATAAAATAAGATTGTAGATTTGTTACAAGTTTAATATGTAGCCACAAACAGTTTTATGGCAGTAGGCAATGGCCAGCGGCAAATTCAATATTCACGAAAATACTGATTAAGTTAGAGATAACATTTAACAGTCATCATAAAACTATTATTTTTATGATAAAACAGAATTGGGGAAAGTCGTAAAGAAATAAAAGTGATAAAACTCAACAGTTTTTGGAAGTACTTCAATACAACAATTATTGTCGTGATAAAATGTTAATGGATTTGGGACTGCTAATGGGTTTTTTATTGCATCATCACGCTAGTAATAAATTATGAAGATCGTAAACAAACATCTGATAAGACTTTTATGTGCTCGGAACCAACTGCCGTTGACTACACGATAGTAAACTGAGAGTAATTTATTATTATAATAGGCTGTACCGAACCGAATTTGTACCGTGTAAAATGCTGTACCGAACCGATGACGGTAATTAAGCTTGTACCGTACCGTACCGACTTTTTCGGTGCACCGCAGACCCCTAGTAAAATCAGAAGCCTAGGTACTTTTGCTTGTGTTTCATTTTGGTAATGTCTAGTGTGTGTTGGTGATGACTGAAACGTTTCTCTTGGGGTGGATTTTATAATGCTGATTGGTTTAAACACTGAGGACGGACAAGCTGATGACGGAACAAGCAATAGATTTTGTAGGTCAAAACAGTTTGAAATCTAGTTAAATATTAATATAATAATAAACAAAAACAAAACGCTCTACAAAAACCAAACAGAACCTTAAAACTGTCTTCGGCTGATCCATAAGGATACTCAGGGAGTATGTTTAATCTACGATACACATAGTCGACTGACTATTTACCTCGGTATGTTACACTGTCAAGGTTCGGCCGTGATGACGATGTAGTCGCTGGTCGGGAGGCGAGACAATCTAGTGATACAGTCCAGCACCCACTTCTCTTTCACCATGGTAGGGGGGGTGCGGCCGCAGGGGGAGAGGGGAGGGGTAGTGCCGATCACTATCTTGGCAGCTCTGTCAACAATCGTAAAAGTTATTTAATCAAAAATATTTTTTAAATGTTAAAGATACTATTCATTATAGAAAATAGGTCAGATATAAGCACAAAATACAGAATTGAATAAGGACATTTACTATGCTTTAGCCAAATTAAAGTACAGGTAAAATAAGTATTTTACCAAATTAAGATATAAGTATGACTTATATCTTAGTTCATTTAACTGTTATTTTTTAAATCAAAATTACTGCTGGTCTTCAACGAGTTAAATTTAAATCTATACTTATTCTAAAATCACACAATTGACAAACACCGTACCTAGCATTGCTGACCACAACGCCACCGCCCAATCTCAGCAGCTCGGCTAGATCACGTGATGGAGGAACAGTGGATCGGCAGACATAGAACGGACCAAGTCCGGTGAACAGCTCCAGACCAAACTCTGGTCCAAACGCCTGTCTGTCACAGCGAGCCAGCTGGAAAACAGACATTGTTTTTAGTAATGAAACCATTAATGCTTTAGTATTTGTTTTTTATAAACAAAAACAGACTCACACTCGTTAGGATTGGACTTTGAATGGTTGCTGACCAACTGAATATGTATCACACAGTTATATAAAACACAAGTAGGCCTACATCACCAACTTTTCACTAAATTTTCATAAAACTGTAATCTTGGCTATACTTTGTTCACAATATTTAGGCGGTTTGGGGAGGATTTCCCCCACCACATTTTTTGTATTTAATGTGGGCTATATAGGCCTAGTTTAATCAGCTGTTGAGCTATTATTTTAAAGGCAAGGCTCAAGTGGAGGGGATGGATTTCTTCCCCTAAAACCACGTAAATATTGTGAATGAAGTACAGTACCGGTAATGTTTACTTTAGTCTTAGAACTATATGAAGACAAAGTGAAAATTGAAAATGCTTCTTTATTGAAGTGAACTGAGAATCTCATGGTCCTTTGTTGTAGTTACCCCCCAAACAAATAAAAATTACGTATTAGCAAAAATGTATCTACAAAAATGTTGAAAAGAAAAAATATCTGTGAAAAACTATCCAAAACTACCAGTAGAACCCCGGTTAACCGAAATAAAGGGGGGAGAGCCGTTTTGGATAACCAATTTTTTGGTTAACCCGTCATATGCTAAAAATAGCCTATGTTTTACCATGGTGAGTTGGAAAAATTAATTTAAAAGAATTTCTATATATAATACAGTATTTTATTTCAGCTACAGAAATGTTACAATGGGCTAGAAATACTTTAAACTATAAAACTGAAGTTACTAAAGCATTTTACATTACATATTACTTATAATTTAGCCCTGAATTATTTTATGGAACCTTTTCGGTTAACCGAGGTTCTACTGTATCTGAGAAAAAAATAAGAGCTACAAATGTTCAAATTGAATCACTTGTACATCATTTTTTCATTCTTCAAAAAGCTTTTGGATGAAGAAAACAATATAGCTACATTAATAGAAATGTAATAAAAAATGTTGGGCATACTTTATATTCCATTATATTTCTAGCAGATGTAAATATCCTTATACTTAAAAAAATATTCCTAGAAATAATAAAATAAGCATATTTACCTTCACTGCAGGTGAAAAGTCTGTCAATTCAAACCTCTCTTCAGGAAGCCATTGGCCAACTTCTAAAGAATGATAGACCTGAAAATTACAACCAACTTAAATTACTGATAAGCTAATTTACTGTCTCCACAATGACAAGGGTACAAAGAAAGTTAAGTTGTCCCGTTTCTGTATCAACCTAGTGTTTAAATGTCATTCTAATTGTTTTATTATTTTGATGGTGTGTTAAAATGTTTTATTGACAAAGAAATTTTATGGATATAAACTATCTTCAATTTGATGTTGGATTTGGATTTGACAATGGGTCACTCGATCCCCAACTAGTAATCCACTGAACTCTCAAAAAGAATGAAGATGGACAAGGTATGTAAATCTTTATTTAAACCCAGAACTTCCTGAGTTTTAAAAATGATGTGGTGAAGTATTGAAAAATTAGTAGGCCTATCGATTATTCTGGTGTTAATGTCCAGGCTAAATCTCGAAATTCGCCAAGAACTTGTGAAATTCTTCTCTACTTTTTTCACTTTTTTTGCTGCTTATTGTGGCTACCTATATTTAAGTCAAAATTCAAATAATTTTGTTAACATAGGAATTCATCTTATTAAAAGGCATAAATTTTCAATATATAAGTAAAATGTATTGCCTTCACGAGGATCGCAAGGACAGTTGACACAACCCAGACTATAATAAACATGATGTTTAAAGTAAATTTTTGATAGCACAACTATCAACTGCAATTAGCTAGGTAGCTGAGTGGTAATAATGTTCTTTTATTTATTTATTGAATTACATCTCAGTACCGGTACATCAAATAACAGGACATACTGTCGATGGTTAAATAAAAGACTTGAAACCAATACATATATTTGTATACAAAAACAACTGAATCCTCCCTGAATATACGGTAATATTTTTATATGACAAAATTGAGCTAAAGTAGCGGGTAGGTTTATTCCTACTAATTCCAGCAGTCCTCCAAATATTCTGTAAATTAAAAAAATTTAGTCTTGAGCCATTTTGTAAAATGAAAGTCTAAACTTTAAAAAGGATTATTGTTGTTCACCTAACAAACAAAAAGTTTCCCGGGTTGATCATTAGAAAAATTATACACTTTTGATGGGTCGAAATTGGACTCAGCTATCCTTGATCATTGGGTTTTTAATAAATGATGCACCGTATTTTCCTTTTCAACTGATAATTATATCTCCACAAAGAGCTGTACTGCACAGCCTATGGAGAGTTGAGTAAACAGTAGTTTGGTATTAGCATAAGAGATTCAGAGACTAAAAACTAATTGACATACCCATTGCACGTTAAGCACCCAGCAGCCGCGGGCAATAGCCTTCAACAGGTTGATGGTGCGTCGAGGAGATGGTGTGACGACATGTGTGGTGCGTTCACTCACCGCAGCCTCCACCGCGAACGTTCCTAGCTGAGCGACAATGGACTTCACAACCGCCTCGTCACTGCAAACCACAGATGTTATCTTACTGTACTTGTCATAACATACAAATGGTGAAATTACGTTTATTGAAATTCAGTCAGTAACAAATGTTTGTAAGTATATACAGCCTTCAGTATCCAATAGTCAATGATACAGCTTCCAATTAGGGATAGATTGATTTAAAATTTCAATTATCAACCTGTAAGCCCAGAATTTAGAATGCAATATACACCACTTATGGTGAACTCTGACACTAATCAAAGCCAACCTGCTGTACAGGGATTCTCAACGAAAAAACCAAATCTGTGACACACTACTCTTGGTGAATATAATCAAAACAAAAAAGGTACTACTGTTAATTATGTTTTAAAGTAAACAATTGACTTTTTTGCTTGGCAGAGGATATCGCTTTAACGAGACTTAAAATAGTCAATCAATTACTAAAACTGTGGAATTTAAACCTTTAGGCCTAGGTGGTTTTTAGTATTAAGTTTTAGATTTCGAATCATTTTTTTATTCCTCTAAAGAATTTAATAAAAAAATAAATGCTAAGAAGTAAAAAGTAAAATCAAAATTCTTTTTATCATTAACTTACCTTCGAGACAAGCTAGTGCAAACGATTGTTGGAGTAATTTTCTGAGGAACGATTTTCTTGTCCTTTTTAACAAACAAAGCCGAAGATTCTCGCCTCGCAGCTCTCGTGAGGCTGTCGTCACTATCACAATCACTGGCCACTCGCACACTTGCTAACATCAGCACAGTTTTACTCTTCACAGCCAAACCAGTTCTTGGTTTTTTGTTAGGAGTGGGTTTATAAGGATTCTTGGGTGAACCGGGGGGTGTCGATTCTCCTGAGTCTTGATTAAAATCTTCAATCACTCGCGACGGTAGTAACAGCTTCCGTTTTTTTGTCTGGGTCGGTTTTACGGAACTATATTCTTTTTCATTCACCTTCCCATCGTTAAGTTGATTTTTTGATTTTCTTGTAGGCCTATCCGCATTTACTTTAGCAACATTTTCTTGTTGACGTAGGTCTACATTACTACCTACATTGATTTCTCCATTCTTCTTTTTCTCTTGATCTTTACAAGATGATAGCAGTTTCTTACATTTCCTACTCGTCAAGAGTCTTGATGGAGCACTGCTTCTAAGGTTAGCAGCTTGTTGTTTCTTCGCATAGATCAAAAGATCGTCGGAGTCGTAACTGACTCTGACTTCTGAATCGTTAACATCACTGATTTTAGAACTTGTATCTCCAGTTTCATTGACAGTTGCGCTTTCTTTTTTACCATTTTCATCATCACTGGAGCTTCCAAAAACTAATTTCTTGTTGCGTTTTTTTCGGCAATTCGAGGTGTTTGAAGTCTGGCCGTTTTCGAAGGTGTTACTGTTGTTTTGCTCTTCATTTGTCTTCTTCTGCAAGACAGGGCTGTAAAAATTACAATTTATAGAAAATGTACAGAAATTTATATGATAACTTATTTTTAATAGGTACCAAGATATGAAGGAGACTAAAAGGAATACCAAAAAGATGTGGAATAGATGAGGTGAAGAGGAGTGTGGAGTAGACAGGAGTGGTATGGCAGATGGTTGAGAAAGAGTAATAATTACAATTATTGTGGAGGAATGGGAGAAGGAGGGCACAGTAGACGCCAGAGCTGGGAGTAACTAGAGCCGAAGATGAAAAGTATACATCCAACAGAAATGAACTTAAACATACATACGTATGCAGTTAATAATAAAAAATTACTTAGGTTATTAATAATAAAGTTATTTATTTATAATATTATACCAGTTATTTATTTATAACTACGGTATTCCAAGAATGACTAGTATTTTACAAAAAGCTACAAGGTAGTTCAATAAAATGTACTCACTTTTTAGCGAATTTCCCACATAGGAAATAAGCTATTACCGTAGTACTCATGATAGTCCGCACTAGTGAGTACTACGACTATCCGCAGTACTATCCTGATAATTAGACCAATTCGTAAATTACAAGGACAAAATGTGGTTCGGATTCCACTATAAACTATAGGTCCCTTAGTTGCCATTAGCTGTATGGGCTATTAATTAACAGCTGTGTCTAAGGAACATGTCGGCCTTAGTCACTAACAAGACTACAAGATCGCGCCACTCATCTCATCCTTCACTCATATTTGGGTTAAAATATGTACATAGTGGTGTCCCCATCATAAATAATTGATAATTGATAATTGATAAGACCTGGACCCGGGACCGATTTACTTTTTAGTTTTGAGGCCCCTAGAGGCTTTTATAAATTGGATTTTCCTATTTAGCAATGAAAATGAAATGGTTAACTTTTAAAAAGATGCGAGCCCTGCCTTACTAACATCAAGATGTCAGGTCGTACTTGAACGAAATATTACCAGGACGGTGTGGTAGGTCTCTGCTCGTAGGTCGGCTCTGCTGCTGAGTATCCGCCTCGGTCAACAGATTTAACACGCTAGATTTCTACCCATGGGAGACTATCAAGAATTAAGTGTACAGACAGAAACCAGCTATAATCAAGTTACAGACAACATCGCAGTGTCCTGTGCTGCTATTACTGATGAAACACTGACAGTTGTAGTTCAGTCAGCAGTTCTGCGACATCACCGTTGTATACAGGTATATGGTGGTCATTTTGAACACATTTCAACTAATATTAACTAATAATAATCGTGCAATGATTGTAGTAAGTGTTTCTGATTTATAGCTTCAAATATATGGACTACAAAAAGTAAGTACATTTTATTGAACTACCCTGTATTAGAGAATTTCTATAACAAGTCCAACAGATTTTGATATGACCAACATCATTCTTCCAGGTGCTGAACAAGTGTGCTCACCAACCTAAACCTGCCAGTTGTTCTGCCATCTGCCCACACATGCACACAAGGCTCTTTAGCTACTGTGCATCTTTTTGTGTTGGTTTACACTCACGAAACGAACTTAAAGTACCTTAGAGTAATTTTTACAAATGTTGTTGTACAAAATAGTCCATCACTATTGTTGTGGTAAAAATATGAACAAACCTAACTCAATTTATTAACAAACCTAATAAAATATAAGATCTTACCTTGTCAGTATTTTTTCAAACTGTTTTGTAGCTTTCCGAAGATCACCAGCAACAGCATGCAGAGCATCAACTATGTTATTGGTCTGAAAATTAGAAATAATATTTTTACCATTTATTTAGTAACTGAAAAACAAACACTAAGTGTTTAGCTTTTGGGGACCATAAAAACAAGGTCAAAAACCTCACAAGCTTTCTTTCACCTAGAGCTTTTGTGAATATATTGATATCCTCTAATCCAGAAAGAGATATAGAGGCTATTTGTTAAAAACAAGGGGAGGGAACTGAAAATAAGTTGCTCTACATGTTCTCTAATACTCCTTAACCTCAACCACTTACCTCTTTAAACGTTGGAACAGGAGGTAAGGGTTTGCTTTTGACTCCTAGGGTTGCTTTGTTCATCTCATCTTCTTTCCAAGGCTTCCTTCGGATTTTACTATCCGTTACTGCCCGTCTCAGCCCCTATATGAATTAAAATTACATTTAAAGTTCACTTATTATGTGGTGTTGGTAATATTCAATTGTGATATTTTTGCAATGTGAACCAGGTAAAATGTATCTTAACTTGTACCATAAAGTTTACAACAAAAAATGAAAGTTGTGGAATTTTTAGACAGATGGTCACAATTGTTTTGTGGAGATCAAACCAATCTTATGATGAAGCTGAGTGGTTTGTATTCTGTTGTCAAAAGTGTGGTAATGAATTGAAACAATTCTGCAGTGAAAAATATGTAATTACAATGATTTCAGATTGTTGTATTGAAACTAGGTTCCACAAATTGCATACAGTTTTGTTACAAAACTACTACAGACCAAGTAATCAAAAGTTGTGTTCATGACGGGTTCAAAAGATCACTCATGTTCATTTCACTGAATAACTTCACTGTGCAATGGGGTTTCTTATGTGATATATAGATTTCTTATGTGATATAGTAAAGAAATTTCTAAATCAAATTCTAATAAAGGACGAAACATATTTTGTGTCACTTCCAAATTGACAACACAATTGAAATGGTACAGAGTGTCATTTGATTTACTGGAGACATTCAGTCTCGAAAACATCAAAAGTTCAATACAACTCAGGACAAAAATTATACTTTGATAAGAAAGGAGATTTGCTTACTGAATTCCTTCCTCAAGGAAAAACAGCTAAAATGTAGCATTAGCAATTGAGATTGGGACGCCACCTAGGTTTGTATGTGAACCCAAATGTGATTGAAGGGTGAATGAGTAATGGACTAAGATCAGCTGTTTCATCGGTCAGAGTAGTTTATTTAAAGCCCAATGATCAGGGACAGCTGGGGAAGGTATGGGGGTTTAGTGAGTGGGAGAAAATTTCGCGCCGTTCCGGCCAAACCTCGCATGCGGGGTTGGTTCGGCAGATTGGCCACAACCTAAACCCCAACTCCCACTTGTTAGCTGCGGAGAGCTACCTTCTGCCACTGGGTGTTGGTCCACCTACAGAACCAAGTGAGGGGGGCCCTAGACTAAGGTGTAATGCGATCCGTGCCAAGAGTCTTGTGGCACTGGGGGCCTAATATTCAGTGTCTTAACGGAGCCTTCTGGGAACCAGGGGTAACCCAGTCGTACACACCCCTTACCTCTCTAATCGGGTCACTGGGGAGGTGGACTTAAATACCTGGTATTCGTGAGAACAATGTAGACAGTCTGACCCAAATGGAGGAGGAAGGTCTACTGAAATCTGACGATGACGACAAGCTCGCAGAAACCGGAAAGGAACGAAAAACGACTTTCCAGGGGCGAGTTGCAAAGATGGAGGATAGCGGATGCTTTAGCCAAAGGCGAAAAGGTGCTATCCAGAAGTGAGAGGAGGCTGGTGTGGGCTGCCAAGCACCCTAACTCTGCTGCCTGCAAAGCCAGTTCCTCCGGGAACTAGGATGCTGGGAAAAAGCAGAGCAAGGGTGGTACCCCCAAAGCTGACTCTAATGAAGCCTCCAGGAAGAAAGGTGGAGGCTGTGCTGACGCAGCCACAAAGGATTGGCTGGTCAAGCAAGTTCAGGAGCTGAGACCTTTCAGGGAAATCTCGCTACGGCTTGCCCCAGCCAGAGACCTTGTGAAAGCTGTGAAGGTATATTTATGTGCCCAGCCCTACAAGGTCTGCGTATGAGATCCCTCGTACGAAAATCGACTTTCCAGGGGTGAGTTGCAAAGACGGAGGATAGCGGATGCTTTAGCCAAAGGCGAAAAGGTGCTATCCAGAAGTGAGAGGAGGCTGGTGTGGGCTGCCAAGCACCCTAACTCTGCTGCCTGTAAAGCCAGTTCCTCCGGGAACTAGGATGCTGGGAAAAAGCAGGTCAAGGGTGGTACCCCCAAAGCTGACTCTAATGAGGCCTCCAGGAAGAAAGGTGGAGGCTGTGCTGACGCAGCCACAAAGGATTGGCTGGTCAAGCAAGTTCAGGAGCTGAGTCCTTTCAGGGAAATCTCGCTACGGCTTGCCCCAGCCAGAGACCTTGTGAAAGCTGTGAAGGTATATTTAGGTGCCCAGCCCTACAAGGTCTGCGTATGAGATCCCTTGGCCTATTGATGGGAGACCAAAGGGAAGAACAGGTCACCATAGTCAAGAGGCTCTCACGGTTCACCAAGGACCTGGGATTTGACGGAGAATGAGGACCTGTGAACGAGGGTGCACAATAAGCTGTTCTAGCTGCGATGCAATCCCATGGTAACTTGTAAGCCTGGCCCTCTATTAAAAAAAAAAAAAAAAAAAGGGACAGCTGGGTGCAGTTTCGGACCATCGGATCGACTTACTGACTTAAGGCATCGAATCGAACTAACAACCTTTTGATTGTTAGGCGACCACTTAAACTTAAACTTAGCTTGATGTTTTGAGATACTAGGAAAAGTACAAAGTGCAATTTTAAAAAAAGAGCATACAAAACTTGTGTTGCTTTAAGACAATACTTAGACCTATACGGCTGGGGACATTAAAATATTGATTTGACAGTTTCATAGGAAACAATGTGATACCCTGTCATAGATCCTATAATTAGTCTTGTCTAGCTTCCATAAGTTCTGATGAATGAATTATGAACTAGTTATCAAACGCTTTCAATCTAACATCAATGTAGAAAACGATTCTGAGGAATAATGACTATCATAATTGTTGTAAAGTTTCTATGAAGACATAGATCATATGGCCACTTGCTATAAAACATATGTTTAAATAGATGTTCTTTACATAAAAAAAAAATTGGCTGAAGAATGAACAGCCAGGCCTACTTACTTCCCAAATTAAAACATACCTCTTACAAAAAGAAAGAGAGTGGTCTTTTTAATTTGCAATTTACATTTATCGATAAACTCAACAGATATAAAACCTACTTTCGTTTTCAATCTATACAACGGCAGAGCTTCTTTATACTTGTCCAGCCCAGAGGGTGCATAGCCCTTGATTGGCAGCATCCTCAACTCTGCTTTGCATGCTTCAATCCACAACGTTGACACCAGAGGGATCTTCCACTCGATTGCTTTTCTGTACGTGGACATTTTCCCATTGTGGAAGAAACAGTGAGTAACCTAAAAATGCAGGGACATAATTAAATATCGATATCCATGTTTGGAAATATAGCAGATAATGTTGAACTTTCAAATTGTAACCATGGATTGTTTTTAGCCTCAATTAGAATAAAAAAATGAAGGGTCCAGGGGAAAAAAGGGGCAAAGTCCATTTTTTTTTTTAAATTGAGTTTGAAATGCAAAAATATTCTTCTTCTGATGGCAGTATATTTGTTCTGGGGAAAAAGAGGCTCATTGACATTGAAATGTAAGAATAAAGATTCATGGTGCTGGGGAAGAAGGGGCCAAGTCACTGCGGTTAGAGGGGAGAAGAAGTCAAGTCCAAGACTGAAGCACATGAACTTAAAATATAAAATATGTTTCCTGAAGAATTTTGTTTTATGGACTTTGTCCCTTTTACCCCTGGACCCTTCAAATGTTAAACTGTTAAAGAATTGTGGTCTTCTGGTTTGACCATGTCAAAATTGATAAATCACTATCACCCACCACTTTTGACACAGTCGTCACTAGAAGACCACGATTCTACAATAAGTGACCGAATATAGAAGCCTATCCAGGAAGATTAAATTGTTATGTTTGGTGTATTTAAGTAGGGACCCATTGGAATAGAGTTAAGAAAAAAATGTTTACTGTAGGCTACATCCTAGCGGGTACCACTGCATTGGTCCCTTACGTGTTAGAGGCTTGTTGATAAGCCATATGGGCAGTGTTTCTACACGACCAAAAGAATATAATTCCGGTCACTGGGTTAAGAAATCCCGTTTAATCCCTTAAGATTTTTGATGTTAAATTCAGAGTGTTAAATTATATTGTGTTTAAATAGTTGTTTAAACATTGCTATTATATTTTGTTAAGGTAATTTTTTCAATTGGGGTTAGTTTTTCACTAAAATAAAGCATAGTAAATAAAAACGGACGTCATAGCCAAAACTCCTGTTTTATCCCACAACCCCTTCAAATCCCGCTCATGCTCTAAAAATCCTGTTTTCGGGATAATAATCCCACGTATGGAAACACGGCATATGGGTAAGTCAGGGGGATGGCAGTGAAGAGATGACCTGTCTTGAACCAGCAATTAGGCTTTTGACAGTCCAAAAGGCTAACACGGAGCTACCTAATTCAATGAAAAGTAATATTGCAAACTAACAAAATATGAAAGGACATAGAAAAGGGCATTTTTACATAAATTAGCCCATTGGGGAAGGAATTAATGCACTTCTTGCAGCACACTCTGTTTCTCTCTAATTGTTATAGAAAGAAAACATTAGTAATAAACTAATAGGCCTAATTCTTACTCCATTTTTTCACAGAACAATTGTCTACAAAAAAAGTGGTAATGGGATACTCAAAGTTTATTTAAAAAAAAATAACATTAGGCCTCCTACAAATTATAAAAATAAAAATTTTAAACACAATTTTTTAAAAGTAAACTTGACTTACAAATTCCAAGATTAATCCAGACACCAGATTACACTACTATTATAAAGTCCAATTGATTCTTTGCGTAGAAAAACCACAAGATGTTTACTTTTATGAGTAATAACATAGAAAAAAAATTTTGTTTTACCTCACCGCAGCTGATTTTGGGTAATATCTGGTTTCCATGTCAACTTAACGTTGTTTGTTATTCGCAAAAATAAATGAAGAAATACACAAAACAACAAGCAAGATATATAACAGGGGCTGTACGAGTAACGCTCGTAAGTCGGCACCAATGGGTTAATTAACAGTAGTTTTTTTTTATTACCTTTCTTGTAAAGTTCTTTTCAACCTTAGCACCAAGGGATTCAAGTTCTGCTTTTGTTCCTTCCGATAAGTAATCTCTTCCACAACGAACTTCAACATAGGCGACAACATCTGAAAAAATGTACAAGCTTTTTGTAGTAACAGTAATTTTTGGGCTTATTAACAGCAATTTATAGACTAGAAATATTTTACAACACTTTTAATACATGTAATAAAATAGAAAAATTTTCCAAATTGTAAAGATATTATTTATAAACAAGCAACTTAAAGCAATTTATTTTACTCTACTTAAGGATGACAAGGGAAGACAGTGGCCCTAAATTGTTTCAAGCAATTTTTGTAAGTTACAATAAAACTCTAATCAACCAAAATAAAGGGGACGAGGTCGTTAAGATAGAACTTTTTTAGTAATTAATGACTAAAATCTACAACACAAAGCTTGCAAACCAAGGGGCGTAAGTGTAGGCCTAACATAGGGGCCTATATGAAAATGCAATGAACTCCTTCGTCTTGCAAGTGAAGAATTGTAGGCACAAAATCTATTCTCTAAAATAATCAACTACATTTTTTTTTAACTTCATTTTATCATGATTTAAGATCCGTGTGGACCGTTGTCTGTTTTATTAGACCTACAGTAAATTTTCTGTCGGTGAAGCCAGACCAGCTACCTATGCCACAGCAGAACTGTGTCTGGAACTGTGTCTAGAACTGTGTGCAAAACCTCCCATTTCCCCATTTATTTGTCATGATTAAGTAGACATTTTTAAAACTAACTGTGACGATTGAATTTATAAATCTCAAAACATATTGTGGGCTACGGCCATATCCCCCTAAAAGCTGTTTACTGACTTTCTAAAGCCATTATTAATGTCTATACAGGGTGATTGATATAAGTGTGCCAGCCGTTTTATTCGAAAACCATAAGAGATATCAAAAAAAGTTAAATGGTAAGTGCCTTGGATTTTTTATTTAAAAAATTGTAGTAAAGTCGAAAAAATTATTTTAGCCGCCATTTTTCCAATATGGCCGCCAACTTTGATTTTTCTTATGGAACACCCTGTATTTTATGATGTATTCTGGTAGAAAATGTAATTTTAAGACGATTTTATTCTTGTAATTTTTTTCATAAACCTAACCGTTTCAAAGATAATAATGGTTTAAGTTGTGAAATTTTGAATGGTTTTCGAATAAAACAGCTGGCATTCTTGCTTAGGCCTGTATCGAAACTCTTTCTCATGCAAAAATTTCAAAACTTTAACCATTATTATCTTTGAAACGGTTAGGTTTATGAAAAAAATCACAAGAATAAAATCGTCTTAAAATCACATTTTCTACCAGAATACATAATAAAATACAGGATGTTCCATAAGAAAAATCAAAGTTGGCGGCCATATTGGAAAAATGGCGGCTAAAATAATTTTTTTGACTTGACTACAATTTTTTAAATAAAAAATCCAAGGCACTTACCATTTAACTTTTTTTGATATCTCTTATAGTTTGCGAATAAAACGGCTGGCACACTTATATCAATCACCCTGTATGTGTCCAAATGTCCATAAACCTCCCATTTCACCTGTTATTTGTCTTTGTCATGAGCAAGTAGACATTTAAAAAATCAAACTATGACGAACTTACATTCATAAATTTCAAAACATAAGGCCTACTGTAGACTATGAAGCCATATTTCCTAAAAGCCGTTTGGTGACTTTATAAAGCCATTTCTAACGGCTAGAAGTGTACCCACTTGTCCTAAAACCTTCCATTTTACCTGTTAGGCTATATTTCATGCAAGCAAGTAGACACGTTTTTTAACCTTACGTTTTTCTCCATTTCATAGATCTGTCACAATATGTATATTATCGAATTCAGTAATAGCATTGACTATATAAACTTTAACACTAGTGTTTACATATAGTCGATGGTAACAGGCTACTGGTGCTACTGCTGATTGTTGATTGATGCCTGTGTAAAGTTAGTGGCTAGCAGACAATTTGACAACTAACTATAACTATGAAACATCAGGAAATCAGCTGTTTCCCCGTCCTCGCTCGCGCGCTAGCCTTTGCCCTAGCATGTCAACAGCTGACTGTTCTATAAGATGGATGATGCGTACAACTTTCCATAGCATAATATTGTTTTATTCGTTGTGTTATTGTCCACAAAGTTTATCTATGTGGAACTTAATACTACTCCTGCCATCGCTTATTAAGTTTAATAAATAGTACCTGGGGACCGAGCTTTGCTCGGGGAAAATCATTAGTTCACTCTGAAAGCACCTTAGTATTGGAGATGCATAAATCCATTCCCAAACTCCACACGGCTCGCCTTCATCACCATTTCCTACGTCATGGACCTGTTTCCCTCCATTCCCATTGCATTTAAAGATTGCAAATACCTTAATCTAATCGTCATAAACAGTTCCCACACTCCGGACTACTCGCCTTGACTACTTCCTTCACCACTTCCTACGTCGCGGACCTGTTTCCCTCCCTTTCCATAGCATTTTAGGATTGCAAATACTTTAATCTAATCATCATAAACAATTCCCACACTCCGGACTACTCGCCTTGACTACTTCCTTCACCACTTCCTACGTCGCGGACCTGTTTCCCTCCCTTCCAATTGCATTTTAGGATTGCAACTACCTTAATCTAATCGCCATAAACAGTTCTCACACTCCGGACAGCTCGCCTTGACTACTTCCTTCACCACTTCCTACGTCGCGGACCTGTTTCCCTCCCTTCCCATAACATTTTAGGATTGCCCATACCCTTATCTAATCGTCATAAACAGTTCCCACACCCAGGACAGCTCGCCTTGACTACTTCCTTCACCACTTCCTATGTCGCGGACCTGTTTTCCTTCCTTTCCATAGCATTTTAAGATTGCGGACACCTTAATCTAATCGTCATAAACAGTTCCCACAATCCGGACTACTCGCCTTGACTACTTCCTTCACCACTTCCTACGTCGCGGACCTGTTTTCCTTCCTTCCCATAGCATTTTAGGATTGCAGATACCCTAATCTTATCGTCATAAACATTCCCCACACTCCGGACTGATCGCCTTCACTACTTCCTTCATCACTTCCTACGTCACGGACCTGTTTCCCTCTATTCCCATAGCATTTTATGATTGCCTTTGTTACTTCCTTCACCACTTCCTACGTCGCGGATCTGTTTCCCTCCCTTCCCATAGCATTTTAGGATTGCCCATACCCTTATCTAATCGTCATAAACAGTTCCCACACTCCGGACAGCTCGCCTTGACTACTTCCTTCACCACTTCCTACGTCGCGGACCTGTTTCCCTCCCTTCCCATAGCATTTTAGGATTGCCCATATCCTTATCTAATCGTCATAAACAGTTCCCACATTCCGGACAGCTCGCCTTGACTACTTCCTTCACCACTTCCTACGTCGCGGACCTGTTTCCCTCCCTTCCCGTAGCATTTTAGGATTGCCCATACCCTTATCTAATCGTCATAAACAGTTCCCACACTCCGGACAGCTCGCCTTGACTACTTCCTTCACCACTTCCTATGTCGCGGACCTGTTTTCCTTCCTTTCCATAGCATTTTAAGATTGCGGACACCTTAATCTAATCGTCATAAACAGTTCCCACAATCCGGACTACTCGCCTTGACTACTTCCTTCACCACTTCCTACGTCGCGGACCTGTTTTCCTTCCTTCCCATAGCATTTTAGGATTGCAGATACCCTAATCTTATCGTCATAAACATTCCCCACACTCCGGACTGCTCGCCTTCACTACTTCCTTCATCACTCCCTACATCACGGACCTGTTTCCCTCTATTCCCATAGCATTTTATGATTGCCTTTATTACTTCCTTCACCACTTCCTATGTCGCGGACCTGTTTCCTTCCCTTCCCATAGCATTTTAGGATTGCAGATACCTTAATCTAATCTAATCGTCATAAACAGATCCCAGACGTCGCACTGCTGCCCTTGACTACAATCATAGATAAAACCATAGACTATAAAACATACTCCCTACAATGTATCGAGTAATCTTCAGTATAATCTTTGCTAAATATTATGCTAATTATTAAGTGATGTTTTCCTTTTGTACTGTATTTGTAATTTGCTAGTATACTGTGGGTAGTTGGCTTACTATGAACACATGCTACAACTTCAAGTCTTTTGTTTACTTTATCCTTGTTATTTAATTCATCCAACATGGTTACCTAGCAACCCATAGGCATAAGACTAATGTTAAAAAAATGTGATTTTCAGTTTCATTTTTCTACGTAATTAGATTTTTGTTGGCAGTTCTAACTGCATGAAACTCGTTTTTAGGCCAAAAATAAACTATTTACAAGATTTGAAGAAAATCGTCGGAGCCGTTTTCGAGATCTTTCTACAAGCAAGCAAGCATACAAGCAAACATTGCTCGTATTAGAGTATAGGATTACATTGATGTCTGTTTAATGACATATTGCGTGTTTTAAGGACAAAATGTATGTTTACATTTATTTTTCCAGGGCCATGAGGGGGGCTTTAGCCCCTGTAGCCCCCCCCCCCTTGGAACCGCCAATGGTTAAAAATGGTTAGGTATACTGTATATTGGTAGCCTACCCAATAGGCTGTAGGCCTACTGTAAACTGTGAAATAGGTAGGGTATAACTGAATTGATTTTTTAGCATTAACTTAGTGATTTGAATACAGTAATGAAGAAATATGTTAGGTTACTGAGATTTTGGAACAGAAACGCCTTTCCTTTGTTAGATTAAGCTGGTTTGTAAAATCATCCAAATATAGCCTACAGTAGGTAGGCATATCAAACTGAATAGGTAGGCCTACGGTACTTCATGACTTGAGTCTATGAATAAAGGCTAGGCCTAGTTGTTAAACGGTTAACGTCTTAAAGCACCGTTTACACTAACTTAGGCTTAACCTACACAGCTCGTTCTAGCCTATAAGGTTTACTATTCATCAAACTAAACTAGTCTAGAACAGCTTTTGTATGTAAGATGTTATACACTCTTACGGTTAAGATGTTACAAAGAGGATAAATATTGATTTTTTTAACAAAACTTACGTCTAAGTAGAATTGCAGAAACAGGTTGGGTGGCAGGTATATCGTCATATTCGTTATCATTACTCAATGTTTTTTCTTCATCAACTAAAAGACATGCTCGTTGATTATCATTTCTTTTACCAAGAGTCTTCACACCTGTCAAGACATTGGTAGGTCTATTTCCGGTTAAAGGAGTTGCTTCATTCTTTTTACTTGTTGTGTTTGAAGTTGATGCAGTGGGTGTTCTAAACAAACTATTACGAACAACAGAACTAACTGGAGAATCTATTGTTCCTTCAACAGCATAACTTTTTTCTTCTGTTTTTGAGGATTTTCTCTTAAGTTTAACTGAGTTGATCATTTCTCGAATCTCACGTTTGGCTGAGGCAACAGCTTTATCGATTGAATACCTTTTGAGAATAGACAGCTGTGGCGTTGTTGGTTTGTTGGATGAAACTGGAGTTTGGAAAACTGCACTAGGTGTCAGAGCCTTGTTAAAGGGAGTTGAAGTTTTAGATACTTGTTTTCTCTTGTTGACTGGAGTTCTGTCAACAGATATTTTATTGGTGGTTTTGAAAAGTAGCAAATCAACCCCTGTAAGACTTGAGTTTAATGATACTGACCCTACTTTAGACAAGCTTGTGTTTAAGTTCTCCTTATCTGTAGAGCTGTCATTTGTAATATTTTGTCTATTTTTCAAAACAGATCTATTGGAAGAATGTCCACTGAACCTTAACAAGCTTGAGGTATTTCTTTTAGCAGTTTTTTCTGTAAGTTTCGGTGTAATCATTGCATTAGGTGAGAAAACTTTAAGGGGACTTCTTGTTACATTGCAAACTCTACTGTTGCTGTTTAATAGACCGGATTGGTTATTACTGTTTTGATAACTGGTGTCTTCTTCATCAGAAGTAAGCAATGGATTTTTGTCTGTTGTTCTTGCTGGTGTTATAGGAAATAACTGTAAATCATCGTCAAAATATGATCTTGATCTTGAAAAAGTAACATTCTTACAAGATTTGAGTCCTTTAAATAAACTATCTGAATCATCAGATTTGTCTTCTATTATCAAGCTACTAACCAGGAGATCACTAAAACGATTGTTTAGCTGGTCAGATTTACATTTACCTTCCTGCATACTTAATAGAGTTCAACTGCGATTTGTTATTTGATTAAGTCGTGTTAATGTAGGCCTAAATCACATATACAGAAACAATAAGTAGTATATTTATAGCCGATCTAAGAAGATTCTGTGTTGGGCTATGCCTAGGTCATGAGTTCCTTTACCATTGTATAAATGACAAGAGATGTGATCGCACTCTAGGCTAGGTCTATTTGCAGTGACTTAAGTTGTAAAAAATATTAAATAGCCTACCTAGCCTATGTAGGCTACACAAACAATATTATTCTGCAATCTGCAGCAACTACGATACTTGCGTTTCACTAACTTGTTTAATATGCCTACAGCACAAATTAAAAACACTTCCAACCACAAAAAAACACAACACAGTAAAGCAAAACACGAAATGCATCAAACAAACATGAAAGAAGTTCAAGGTTTATTTTGGCTGTCTGGACTGGATGTAGTAAAAATAGTAATGTAGAATAATAATTAGAATGTTGTAACTTATGCCTAGTTAAAAAATGTAGGTAGGCCTAGGTGTTTGTTTTTGACGTTTTTGTTAGTTTTAACTTTAAAGGCGCAAAACAAAAGAGAGCATTTTTTCTCTATTTCTCCAAAATTGGCTGGCTTTGCTGGTTAAACCGTGTAGCGGCGTGGTTCAAATTTCATTTTGGATGCTTTCTTCAGGTTATTCTTGTCATTTAAATAATAATACATTGTTTATTTACTTATTTATCTATTTTATTCCAATGGAAAGATCACCAATTTACAATGTGGATACGAGATTACCATGCGGTAACAACATGCATGTTGACTGGGTGACTTTGTTAGTCACATAGTTGCACAACTATTTACGGTAGTTACTATTTGCATGTTTTTTTATGGATTGGGATAATTATATTTACTGATGATCATGATGGTATGATGAGAACGCCAAGGAAGATCCACGGCCGCCTCCAGCCCGCGGCCTTCGAAGTGGCTAATTCGCAAGCAGAGTTGTAACACAGCTGTTTTGTTGGGAAGCAGCTAATGTTTTATCTATGATGATTCTACTCGTACTACCTATCTATCCCATATAGAGGGGGGGGAGAGGCTTCAAGTTTCTTCATAGAGATAGATTGTTGCGCACCCTCATCAATTGATCTATTCGAAGACTTTCCAACGTCTAGGCACTCCACTGATAAACGTCTGCATTTTACCACAGAATATTTCTACCGATAAGTCCCTCCTAATTATCCGTATATGCGTGAAACTTTGAAACGCGTAAAATATGTTTGATATTAGGAATAACTAGTTGTTACCCACAGGCTTCACCCCGTTTGACTTCACAAGTATTAATGAAACTATTAATTGGTTTGTTACCGGTAAGTAAAGCTGAAATAAACAAAACAGAATACAGTAATACTAAACAAATAATCACACCCGGTTTTAATATGGTAATAAGTTGAAAGAAAAACATACAAATAACAGCTGAGGTATTTTTAACATTTGGTATATGGAAAGTTCGCTTTAGAAAGGAATTATGACCTTAAAGGGCTATTTATGAAATAATGGATAGTTTTGTGCAAGGTTTACCGTAATGAATTGCATTTTAAGTATATGGTTTATGGGGGTGTGACTTGTAGTTTTCTCAAAAGTCATATCATGGGTACTTTGGGATTTATATATGGATAGTAAAGTAATCCGAATACATACATACTTATACCATAGACTAACCAAGGGAGTATGTTTTATCTATGCTTATACTTAAAAACTATTACCTTTCTTTATGAATTCTAGATTTTAATCTGGATTGGATCTTGGATGTCTTTGCTGTTACTGCAGACGAATTTCTTTAAAAACCTGTTTCGGCTGTTTCTGTCATTTTGCATTAATTTTCTATTTTTGAGTGCATCAAATTTATCATGCCTTTACTATATTATTAATATTGTAAAGTTAATCATTTTATCCCTTTTTGCTCCGGGGAATTTGAGTGACGTGGTAATTTATAGACCTTCATTCAGCAAAAGCTCAAATTTTCTTTACATGGGCTATACATTTTACAACTAGGGAGGACGGTGGTGTATTATTAGTGTTTGTGCGTGTAAAAGATAAAAAAGTACCAGGCATCATTGAAAGGATTTGAAATTACCTTGTTTAATTCAAATTGTCTAATATTTGAAGTGTTTTGGTAGGTATCGAAGAAATAGAAGATATACCGTACTATAATTACAGATTATCATACAGAAACAGTAGGTTACAGTGTTAGCATAACCTTACTACAAAAACAGGGGTGCCCATCCCCCCCTAGACTCATGACGCACCCCCCCCCCCCAATTGAGCAACAGCCCCCCCCCATAAATGATGTACACAACAAATGAGAAACATTATTCCCCCGCCCAGCACTATTTGTAAAACTATAAAAGAAGTTTTATAATTTTTTTTAGATATTTAAAATTCTCAAACCCAGTTAATCTATATCAATAAAGTTATAGTTTTGTCTGTACATTGCTCAGAATTATACATTTTGGGTTATTTATGTGTTATACATTGAAGAAGTTGAAACATGTCTTATCTCCATTTATGTCCGTCTGTCACGGCCCAGAAGGCATTTTATGCAGCCTACTCATGGCCTACTTTGAAGAAAACTAGAGTACCGATTATGATTCTAATGGTTTAATTGTATCCACAGGATGGGCGAGAGAGTCCTTATAGCCATTAAAATATGGCCTCACTATTTTGGAAATAAAATAACGGACGATCAAAAGTACAATTTTGTGTGATTTTTCTAGTTTATTTTCTCCATGTTTACTACATACGTCATTAATTTATGAAATACTAATAATGTGTTAAGAGAACACGTCATATATGAAATTACAAACAGCTGTTTTGATAAACATAAACAACATAACAACATAAAGATTCCTTTTCCTAGCTGTCACTGATATGTTTACATAAATAATGTTCTTTAAGAATACTGTGTAGGCCCTAACCATTTCCGTGTTTACATAAATGTTCTTTAAGAATACTGTGTAGGCCCTAACCATTTCCGATCACGTTTGTAAGCAAATCCAAAACCAAGTGAGATTAATAACCGTGTGGCTTTGGCTTACATAACGGGTTTTAATTATCACGAGTACTAATATGTAACTGTAAATGAAATTAAATAACTAGCCCTCATCCAGGTCGGGAACCGGAGATTCTGTGTGTATCAAGTTGTACTTGAATTTTTATTACCGGGAAAAGACCGTGAATCAGTGTTGTACAGGACTGGAAAACTTATCTTTCTATATAAATAAAATTAGAGTTTTATAAGTCACCTCATTTTAAGGGATCTTTTATTGTCAGAATATCCATATCGAATTGTCAGCGTCTTTCTCGATATAACGATCCCCTCTCCCTCCCTTTAGAAACATCACAGCTCCTTTGATGAAAATTAAATGGAAACAACGCTTGCGCCAACAATCGTCTGCTCCGTTATACACTTCTGTCTGCTGTGCGCTATGTTACAACAGATTTCAGATACAACAGCTGGGGAATGATGACGATATAATGCTTAGTACACTGTGATTGAGTGATAACCATGGTAACTTAGTACACAGAAAACATACTTAATATGTTTTCTGTGCTTAGTAAGGCTGTGATTGGCCAATGAGTAGGCCTAAATATGGCGACTTGTTGAATTTGTGTATGAATTGAAGAGAACCCTATTAATGAACAGAAGAACAAAGAAAGAGAATAACAATATTGTTCTCGTTACATTCTTTGAGTGTTTTAATTATCTCTAAATATAATTTTACACTTTTTTATTACTTATCTATCAATTCCTATGCTGTGATACAGCACCTATCGGTAGCCTATCTGTTTATATAACACTTTCTAAAGGTCCCTTTAATATTTACGTTATTTATAGCAATGTAATGTTTGGTCAGTGATTAGTTGAGTTTGAGTTAGCTACAATTTTAAACGTTGCCGTTTGTACAACTGAACCAAGATAAATAATTTGAAATTTACAATAATAATGATTGTGCAATATTGAATTTCGTTTATAAAAATGTAAATCGTGACTCAATTGCTGTTTACAGCGTTTTAATGAGTTTGTCATCTGTTTTTATACTATATTGGATTAACCGTATTTTTCATTCCCCCCCCCTCCCTATTAACTCAGGTAATCGAGTATACACAATAGTGTAAAGTATTGTAGCCTATGCTACAATATAAATGTACAATATATATGTTTATGCTACTTGCTACTTGATTGTATTTTAACGAGCTTTATGTCAACAAAGCGTTCTGCTGTGCTTAAGTCGCGGTGTAGCTGGATGTGTCTGTACCATCGATGTATATAACCTAACTGGATCGCGCCCTGCCACGAGAGTACAGCGCTGAAAACGAGCCGGCGCACAGTAGGCTCCCCCCACCACTGGTGGGCAACCACGCGGCGCCGGCGACTGTCTCGTGCGTTGACATCTGCATGTGTGCACTGTTTACATCCCATGTAATCACTGTCGTACTCGTGATGTTAGTGGTGGTATTTTTTGTTATGTCTAATGAAAGTTCTACATCATGCCGCAGAGGTGTGTCACAGTTAGTTAAACGTATATACAAAATCTTAATTCTTTGCAAAAAGATGAAGGAATAGCTTTGGCTAACAAGTTGTCTGACAAGCATATATGTTACACAAACAGGAAAATGAACGTAAAAATAGCAGCTCAAACGTTGAGCTCTGGCGTTGCTGACGCTTTAGAATTTTTGTTAATGAAGGAACATCCCAATTTTGTAGGTTGTAAACCAACCATCGATTTTATTCGAATAATTGACCAATTATTTGACATTTTCAACAGTAGAGACCCGTTTGGGAAGAATTTCAAATCCCCCATAAAGAAAGAAAACCTTATGTACATTAATATGATCTTAGACAAAAGTTTAAACTATTTAAAAAGTTTAAAATTATAATTAAACTAGAATGTGAGGAATGTACAAATCTATTGGTTGATGACGAACACAGCTTAAGCCCATATACACATTTTACAGATCATGTAAACAGGGGTAAACTAGTCAGAGCCTCGTCAGATGTGTTTAAGATTATAAAGTTTTTGTTTAATCAATTCAGAAATTTTGCTGCAACCAACTGGGCTAAAATGAATGCCTATAAAAAAAGAGGAAAGAATTTATTTATAAAAATAAATACCTCTGCCTTAAAAAATAAGGTTGCCAATGACACAGAAAAATAGTATACATAAAATATCGAAGGATTATACAGCTATAAGACTGGTTAATTTTGATGTTTGCCATATAGATGATTTCTCATTATGGTCAATGAACCTCTTAATGTTTCATGAATAATAATTTTCAAAAAGGATCTGTCCAAATCATATTGTTTCCAAAAGTTCACAAAAAATATTGATAATGTTCCTCTAGAACCAATAAACAATCCAATCACCTCAATTTTTGAAATTTTAAAATTTTGCTTCAAATTTTCAAAGGTAGAATCATAAATGTTTTTCTATTCTTCATTTACTTCGTTAGCTTGATTTATGTTTGTTTCAAATCGAATTGTAGGATCGAGAATTATATATGTGCTTTGGCATCAAGGATGTTTGCTGGCAATGTATTCCGAGGCCACAGATCAAACGGAGATCTTGGTGAAGACAATCATGATCTAATGCTCATTAAAATTATAAGCATGTTGTTTTCTAAAGTATATTGTCATAAAGTGTCAAAAGAAAAAACCTTAAAAAGTAATGTTTCAAACCTCGGCGTTCGGCAGAAACTAAATAAACTTATTTTGTTTAGCCACGTCTAGCAAATTATTGAAAATCTTTCAAATGTATGATTGTTGTCTAGCAAATGATTTCTATTTGTAAAAGTTGTTTTGTTGGTTAGATTTAATTAAAGTTATATCAGAACTACAAAAGTTAAGTTTTATTTCCTTTGATTATTCTACACTTGGGAATTCAATACCGGTAGGCCTACTGAAGTTTTTCTCAATACTGTGAGAGTGAACAATTAATGTTATATAATATAATTTAACGTCAACTGATGTACTATATAACCCAACTGACTGAATAAAATAATCCATATCGATGCATATACATACCATCAAAACTGTGTTATAAATCCAAGACTACCAACAAGAAAGTTCAATTTTAAATGTGTGTTCCGGGTCCTTATATTATAGTTTAGATAATGTACCTATGAGAAAAAATTACATACAATACCATACACGAAAAGAGAAATTCATTTAAACATTTTGGTGACAATAAGGAAGTAAAAAAGTGTGATGTGTCAGTGGTCACAATGCTACTTCAATGCTATGGCCCACTGCGGTTGCCCACTTGTGGTGGGGGGAGCGGCGCGGCGGCGGCGGACCGTTTTCGTTTACCAGCCGAGCGCGATCCATGGTCTGTACCACGCGTTATCTTTTATCTATCACAGCAGTTGAGCCATCCCTCTCTCTTAGATCTCACGTCTTGCTAATCTTAAATAATAACTTTCTACACGAATCCTAAACTATCCTAAAATCCTATTTTAACTAATTTAATTCAATAATATAACTATTGTCATTAATTATCCACTTTCTATCTGGCGATTTCGTAATGTATTTTGGATTATCGTCACGTTGAACACTGTTGCAATTAACTTTAGCCCCCCCCATTTGAATTTTTTGAGCCCCCCCCCAAGAATTTCAATGACGCAGTCTGCGTCACGGCCCCCCCTTGTGGGCACCCCTGACAAAAACCTTATTTTCAGTTTGTTTACAGTTTACACAAACTTTCAATAATCTACATGACATGGTTAATACTTCATTAGATGTTTATAAATTACACATGTCTATGAATTATGTAGGCCTATGGGCCTATTTAATGCACAGTACATAGGTGCAGATGAACACACGGTGATTGTACACGATAGGCCTAATTCTATGTGTGACTGGTGGTTGATTTATTAGTCCTATATATTTTCTTCTTTCCAATATAGACCTTAATCGTTGTTCTTTTACAATATTGTTCTCTATTGGTCCACAATTTATTCTAGTCCTAACTACTAATTTGTTAGTGAAAGACATTAAAAATAATTTGAGTACAAGTTTAATTATGGCAAGAGTATGGTTTTTACATCGTGCGTTATTTACATGGTTTTTATTACTTGTTTTTCTTATACTTCTTGTGCTGAGACTAGACGATAGAATACAGTGGAACTGGTTTATTGTTTTCATACCATTATGGTTTCATGAATGTATCTTATTAATATGTGTTTTCTTCAATTTGATGTCACATTGTAAAAATGGAATCGGCAGATTTTCAAATTTAGTTCAACGAAAAATTTGGTGTTTGACAGTAATTGTTTTAAAAATGGCATCACAAATGACATGTTGCCTGAAGTTGGAAAATCAGTCAATGAATATTTCCATGTTTTATGTAATGACTCCAGTGTGGATCATTCTACCACTTCTACTCGTAGATGTATTTTTCACTCTCATAAAAAGAAACCGTAACAGTTATTACTGACTCTAGGTAAGTTTATTTATAGTTGGAATCAACTCGTTTTAAATTAAAGAATATGAATTTATATTACTGTATGTAATATTATTAAATAAGTAGGTACATTTGTTAACAACTGTTGTTACGATTAGGCCTATTAAGTTTAAAGGTGGATTCCTAAAAACATGTTTAGGCCTAAGCCTACTCCAGAATTTATGACAAAATATTTAAGACTTATTGTTAATGTCAGTTGTCATAAATGAAATAATTAAACATTTAAAGGCTGCACTTTGCTTTAGGTCCTACACTCATTCAAATGAAACAATCGTTAAGTCGATATATCGATCAATATTTTCATTTCAATGAGTGTAGGACCTAAAGTAAAGTGCAGCCCATTTAAATGTAATTATCATGGTAAACAAGGTTTTTCCCATGTGTTGTCAACAAATTTTAACCTCAAAAGTTTACAATAAAGTTACAATCTGTGATGTGTTGTCGACTTTTTGTCGAAAACAAAATCCTGATGTGAAAAACTGTTGACAACAGCAAAGTATTGTCAACAGAAAATTTATATTCCTTTGAGTGTTGTAGCCCAAATATTGATTTCAAACATGTTGGTGCCTTTATTGGACTTAGCCTAATTGCAAAAGTGTTGAATTTGGTAGAAATCCTCATAGGCCTATCTTACAATAAGTAACAGACTTGTTAAGTTGCTCCATAGATAAAACATAGTCCCTTAGTAGATTTCCCATCCTTAAGGAACAGCTGAAGCCAATTTTATTGTTAGTTCTGTCCGGTTTTCTATAGATGTCGTTGTTTGTTTAAAATTTGTTTAGCCTATATTATTTTAGGGTTAGTTTCTCATTATTTGTGTCTCACTGTTTGGTTATATAACTAGTGGAAGAGTTATTGTTTATGATTAGATAGCTTTATTTGGTTAAACTAGGTTTTAAATTACCGGTACTGAAATAACAAGAAACAAATTGTAAACAAAACGACATCTACCGAAGAGAACTAATTTAAGAATAAAATTGGCTTCAGCTGTTCCATAAGGATGGGAAATTATCTATGTTACTGGTAGGCTAATGCCCTAAAATAAAATAAAAAACTGTTACTAAAGAATAACCATGTACCGGTAGGCCTATGCTAATAAATCACTATAATATAGTGACTATTATTTCAAAACAATTATTAATTTATGAGTAAGGACTCATCTTAAAAATCTTAAAAAATCTTAAAATCTTAAATCTATAAGGATAGATTTCAGATTTTATGTGGATTTGAAGAGAGATTCTTTAGTTGTGTACTGTTTTAGGCAGTTGAAACGATGGCTGCTAGATCACTTTGTCGGATGAATGTTCGATTTACTTTCCTGCAAAGACAAAAGTATATTCCAAGCAACATACAAAATGGACTTTGTGTTAATGATGTGGGAAACCCAAGAAACTTTTTTGTCTTCAGATATCTAAAATATAGTACAACCGCACCTTACAGTTCTCTGTTTCTTGTATCAAATGTAGACTTTTGTCAACCAATTGTTCGTAGCTATGCAAAGTCAAGAGATAAAAAGAAAAGTGACAAAGGTAAGTAGTAACATTTAACAAAACTAAACATAGAGCAGCAAACTTTATATTTAAACTTGTAATAGTTTTTATTTTGTAGAAATATTTTTTGTGATAGATAAAACGATGCATCAATAAGTCAACTTCAAAATTATTGAAAATCAAGTGGGCCTGTTGAGAATTTAATTGGTGTTAGTTCGATCAGCACAAATAAAATAAAAAGTCTCTCTATATAACTGTAAGATTTCCTATAGCCTAGGTGGATTCACAAAAATGTTTGACTTTTAGGGACCCGTAGTGGGTTAAAAACTATTTATCTACAGGCTTATTAATAGTATTATTCATTGCTACAACTCCATTCATACTTGGCTTAAAATACCTACGGTACTTTGTATGGTCGCCATTTTATCAAAAGGTATTAAAGTATTAAAGCTATATTATAATTTAAAGATTAAAGTATAAAGTGGCAGGATTTAAACCTTAAGAATTTCGAACAGCTGTACCATTCTCTCATATCACTGAACCAATGACAACTTATTTTGAAATACAACAGTTTTTACTTTAAAATGTAATAGCATCGATAAAACATACTCCCTTAGTAGATTTCTCATCCTTATGGAACAGCTGAAGACAATTTTATTGTTAGTTCTGTACGGTTTATGTAGAGGTCGTGTTTTGTTTACAATTTGTTTCCCGTTATTACAGCCATTTAAAACCTCGTTTAACCAAATAATACGATCTAATCATAAACAATAACTTGTCCCCTAGTTATATAACCAAACAGTAAAGCACAAATCAAGAAATTAACCCTAAAATAATAGAAACAAAGTTTCGTCGACACTAGCGCCCATGTGTCACGTACATGAACTAGAAACGAAAAACGTGCTTCAAAATTTACAACGGGATGAGAAGTCTACTTGTGTTGGTTAGTCTAAGGTAATAGTTATTTTCATTCTTTTTTGTAGGTCAGAAGAAGAAAATAGACATTAATGAGGAGATGGTTTCAGAAGTTATCAATAATGATACAATGAAAACACAAATGCAGAACGCAGTTGAAAAATTGAAGGAAGAATATGTAAAGAATTTATCCTTACGATCCACAACAGGTATTTACCGATTATATTTTGTCTTTGAATGGATTATAATGCATATGTGTGAAGAGGTTAGTTTTTATACGGAATCACATTTAAAATATGTCTTAATAAAACAAATCTTGATAATTAAACTATTAATTTTGATACTCTAGTTAACTTAACCTATTTAAAAACATATACCTTAGCCTACCTATTTGTTTTACATGTAAATCTTCTCCATTTTTTATTTTGCCATGTTGTAAGTTAAAGCCAATTTCTCTTCGGTAGAAGTTCCCTCTTCGTTCTTAATTTAATTAACAATCATTTCCATACAGACGAACAATCAATATTGAAAATATCTACAATAAAGTTTAATAACAAACTCGTAATAGTATTTACCTACGACCGTTTTTTAAAGTAGCCATTTCAGTCCAGTTTTTAGAATTGAAAAGTTTCACTTTACAGCTGTTTACTTTCATATCAGCATAGTTTCATTTCATATCAGCATAGTTTTTCTCATATCCACACAGGTAACGGACCAATGAGGTTCAAGTATTGAGAGAAAAGAATTAAAATTGTAATGCTTCGAACGTCAACTAATCAGCTGATCAGTTGACCAATTTAATTGTTGATCCGACTTGTTCATGTTGATACTCACGTATTCTTAATTAAGTTGGTGGAAGTCCAAAAATAAATGAAATATTTGCCGAATTGTACCTGATACAATATTATTTATGGTAAGAATGCTGCTAGCAATGTAATATTTAACGAAGTTTAACAAACACGTAATTACAGGAAATCAGCTGATTATACAACAAGTCGTTGCATCACTTTCAGTGGCAATGACAATACACGAAAACATAACCTCTCTAAAAAGTTATCAGTAGTGATTGTTAGTAATTAAAAAACGGTCGTAGGTAAAGTAGTGTACGCAACTCGCGTTAATAGTCTTTACGACACTCGTAGAAGTTTTTAAGGCACTCGCCAAGGCTCGTGCCTTAAATTTTCTACTCATGTCGTAAAGACTCACTTAATGCAATCGTTGCGTAAACTACTATTTTAACATCTCAGCTGTTGCAAATATGTTAAATTAAAACAATATTTTTAAAATTGTTGCGTCACAACAATGGGACCGTTCAGTTGTTCTGCCATAAGACTACATGTATTGGGATTGGGACGGTCTGGCCGACGTCCTTACTAAGCAAGCGACAATCAAAAATAAGTCATTACTGAATGGTGTTATCCAATTATTTGATATATTTATATTGTATATTGTGTTAAGTACTTGTCAAAGTAATTTTAATTTAATTTAACTAAAGAATTTGAAAATGTCATTTATTTATGTATTTGTTGGGGGCGAAGGGCGTCGTCCGAGAGTTCTTATGGGCTAGCCGCCACTGTGTATGATTTATTTCTCCTCTACTTTAACTAGATTTGATGTAGTATTTATGCATATAAGTACTGGTAGGCTAGCCATGTTGGCTGAGAAAAACTGGAACACTTTTGCTAACTGTAGAGTTGTGGGAGGGGGAGTCGGATCAGAGGCCTTCAATGGAAATCAATAAATTGTGAATAAACAATCATAAATAGGTAAATAGTTGACTTCTAGATTTTTTACTGAAGCAACATAAAATTACAAAACACAAAACCTATAAGATACCTTTTTAAGTATACGTCGATTAACTCAGTTTTCATCTAGAGATATAACCATGAAGTGGTAGGAACAGCGAATTTTTGCAATGAGTCAAAGACTGATGTCTTACACATTGGTACATTTTCAGGATCTATTGAGACTCTTCCCATCTCTTACGAGGGCAAAGATTACATTTTGCAGGATCTCGCCCAAGTGGTGAGGAAGAACCCGAAGACAGTTGTCATCAACATGGCTTCATTTCCGCAAGTGATTCCTACAGTGTTGCAAGTAATCAACAAGTCAGGGATGAACCTAAGCCCTCAGCAAGATGGAACCACTCTGTTCATACCAATACCCAAGTGAGTGGATTTTAGTAAAATTTGTTTCAAGTTGTCAATACTCCCAATTTACAAATTTTAAATTATCTGCTTTTGTTTAATTGGGGGGTTGTTGTCTCAATTCGTACAACAACTCTTTAAAACCTGTAGATTATTCAATGTATTAATTATACCTATTTTTATCAGGGGTTTTCTCTTCTTATGAGAAAACTATCTGAAATCTTAAAAAAAATAAGTTTTAGGTGAACAGACAAATACAGTAAGGATTGTAAAAATTGCCAAATTACCAATTAAGGTGCCATTCACAAAAACCCACGTATCAACACTCACTGGACCACCCGAGTCGTACACTGTTTTAGACGGGTCTCGTCTCTCCCACCAAGCTCCTGATAAACTCCATGTGAGTAGCATGTAACACCTGACCAAAATGGAATCTAACCCTGAATCTATGGTACTGTGTCCTCAGCAGGTAGAAAACGCCTTGGACCTCTCGGCGAATGGTCTGACCTAAGCAATGTTATCGGCCATGATCTTTTTCACTCCTATACAAAAATTAAAGTCCAAACAACAAGTTGAAAAATTGATTAATTTAATTTAAAATGTTTTTTGAAAAACCAAAATTGTAATTGTGTGAGTTTATGGGATTATTGCAAACCTTATGCTTTAGTAACTTGTAATATTCATTGTTTTCCAATGTAGTTATGTCAACCTATTTGTTACAGAGTTACCAAAGAGCATAGAGAAACTCTCTCGAAGAATGCAAAAGCGTTATTTGTTAAATGTAGAGACAGCATTAAAGACGTACAGAACAAATATATTAAGGTAGTTAAGAATAAAGAGAAAGATGGACTAGCCAGAGATACAGGTGTACAAATATCTGAATATGTGAGTATAGTTTATTTTGTTTAGGTTTAAAAATAACCTAGACTTTCAAAAACATAGTCTGAACCTGGATGCTCCTGTTGAATTGTCAGAGATAATATTGTGAGATATCCTGAAGCGAGTATAACATCTGGTTCAAAACTTGTATGTGTTAAAAAAAACCTTTTAAAAACTCTTATATAAAACTTAATCATTTGTATGTGATTATATTGATGTCTCATATGGCCTCAATTAACCTAGTAAAATTTTTTTCTGCGCTACATGAATACTTATTGAATGCCCAAACCATTAAAACTTTAAAGATATAATGCTACTCAAGTATTGTCAAAAAATAGATATGTTGCTATTTAGAGATTGTATTCAAATTAAAATACTAATAGTAAATGGTCCAAAATAAATTATCTGCCAGTTTACTTACTGAAGGGAAGAGCCAATGTTTGAGATGGGTTGGACACAAGGAGTAGAAGAAGCTTAAATGGTTTAGAAAAACATGATTGAAGAGTCATGATAGAAGTAGAGTGCTTGATTTGCGGGGAAATGGCGTTTTGGTACCTCTCTTTCGGAAAGATAAAAATACTGGCATAAATATCTACTAATCACATTAAATAGGTTACAGTTCCGGCACCTCATTTTTTACAAATCAAGCACTGGAAATGGACCTTCTGGCCGACAAAGAAAAGGCCAGCGAGCCGATTAGAGTATAGCAAGAGAAAGAGCGCAAGAAGATTTGGAGGTTTGGAAGAAATGGAGGCAAAATGGTGTTAAGGCCAAATACAACTTGGGTTATCATTGGCCTAGGGATTAAGTAAAAGTTTATATGTAATCTAATAGTTAGATACTCATAAGTTTTTTTGTGTTTTTTTCAGATTACTTTTGTTGCAACTGAATACATCTCTACAGCAGAAAAACTCATGGAAGCTAAGCAGCAAGAGCTGTTAAAGGACTCGTAGTTGTGGAGATTCTTCACTTATAAGACTGAACTGTAAAGCTTGTATAGAATAACACATAATATACAATCTGTTATAAATGTGTTTCTTGTTTCCTTTGTCCATTCTGACTCCAGAATTAAAATAAAGACAAGCCCTATCAGTAAGCATTGTTATTTTTTAAATAACCAATTCTGCTTCTGAGAATAAAAATAACAGTATTTGAGTTTGAATCTTTTAATCTGTTTTGTTTTATATATGAAACCTTACTAATGTTATCATGGTTACTAATTTTTATTACTTTATTTTATAAGGAGCTATATACAAATTGAAAGTAGAAACCCAAACAAAAATGCCGCCAACATGGTTTACTCCAGAACAATATATGAAAGCCCGCCAACATTATTGGCAAAAACTAGAGAAAAACAGACTCTTCATTTTACCTGCAAGTGTTTACAAATAATTTTACTTAGTTTAGTGACAGTGAATTGTGTTTATGCCTCAGCATGTTGTTAGTTATTTAAACTACCAGTACCAACTGATTTTAATAACTGCTGAAAAATAGTATCAGTATGATTGAACATATTGTTACTATCTTGATTATATTTTAAGCATCTTAAAAAGTTGTAATTATTATTTTTGACTAGCAACAGAGCCCGTTGTAGTTAATAAATACAACGGTCCCTAGAAAGTACAGTAGTACATAATATATGCCCTTGTAAGTACCTGAACATTTTTAAAGAATGAAATTGTTTAGAAAATAAACTGATTTTCTAAAAGAGTAAAATAATGAAAAACAAATACAATTTTACAAAAATATTGTATTTACAGTATTTCTTTGTAAACAACATTCTGTGTAAAGACTTCTGATTGTTTTAATAATCTTCCTTGTTCTTTGCCAGGGATAATTTTAATTTTTATGTCTTCAAACCTTTTAACCCTTGATATTTGCAACATACAATTAATTGTCCATGGCTGAATACTGTTGCTGGAAGGTATATCCCAACTTTATCCAATGTCTGGCCTTGCGCTATGTTTATTGTAATAGCAAACGATAATTTTAAAGGAAATTGCCGTCTTTTTAAAACAAATGGTAAATCTGTGTCCGTCTGTGCTAAGTCAATACTTGGAATGAACACAATTTCAAGTGCTGCTGATCCAGTTAAAACCTCTGCAATTATTTAATTGGGCTCGAGTTCTTTAACAATTAATCGTGTGCCATTACATAACCCCCGTTTTGTGTTAAGATTTCGTAGCAACATTATTACAGCTCCAATTTTTAAATTTAATTTGTGTATTGGCATTCCCAATACACAAATTAAGGAGGTTGAGGAAGTTGCATCATCTCTGAGTGATGTGTTGGTCAGACTATCTTGTTCTGTTTCTTTTTCATTTTCTGGTTCTCCATCCTTTTGATTGCTTGATAAACACTTTTTTACCCCTTGGAGTAAATCTTTATCTATACTATAATTTGGTTTCTTCAATTTATTTTTATGAGCTGTTGATTCACGTCTGCCAGAACATGTTTTACTTTTTCTATATTTTTGATGCACGGCCACGTTTTGATTTTGGTAAGATTATATCCTCTTGATGCCCAGCATCCACATTTCCTGAGAATCGTAGTTTATAGATCGTTGTGCCTTCACCAACCGTTACAAAATAATCCAATTTCTCAGCATATATTTTGAATTGGCAGTCAAAAACTCTTGCTGCAGCTTCGATTTCGACATTACCGGCGTATTCCCCATCTTTGGTCATCAAATTTCTGTATTCCGTCGCGTTTTTTACTTCTAGTCTATATGTCTTATCCCCTACGATCAAAGGACAATAGTAGTCCCAGTTATTGACGACTTCATCAACTACCGTGGATCGTATATCACTGCATCTGGATTGAGATTTATGGCATAAAAATGAGACACTTCTAAAGAAACAGTTTCCATCACCAACCATGTAGTGAAGAGTAAAGTTATTCATTTTTCAACTAATGTAAAATATTGAGTTTATAATTAACATTTCAAAATAACGAATATTAAATACTATTTTAAACTGTAAATTATAAATTAAATTTGAATAATTTATAATTGACAATTTAAAATAATAATTTTTGGTTATGAAATCCATACATCACTTAACTTACCGATACTTATTAATGGTACAGATTAAAAACATCACTTTAGAAACAAACTTTACGGACCTCAACCACCAATTCAAATAGTAAACAACTAAATGTAAACAAAGAAAAATCAAGGAAATAACAATAAAACAATCAGCTGTTAAACTATAGGTTAATACATGTGTTCTATATGATCAGATGATGCATACTGGCTAACCCATTATTACTACCATAATTTCTTTTTAGATTATTCATACCAGCAAACGTATTACTACTAGGCGCCTTAAAATAAGAAAATAAATAGCAAAACCTAGAAATAATTAGAACACATATGAAACCATTGTTGTTCGATAGTGAAAAGTATTGTGAATAACATATCAAAAGTCTCCAAAAATATCTTTGGTGGAACACCACTATTTTTCCAAAATGGCGGCCAAATCCAGTAGTTTTTTGCTTTTTATTGAAATTCTGACTTTCCAGTCAATATTGGTGAAAAGTCGTCAACACATTTAATGTTCCTCCTGAAATTACCTTTAAAATGATACCAAATGCATGTACCTACAACCAAAAATAAACCCCGTAGAAATAATAAAATATTTCAAATAAAAATATTTTTTATAAACTAATGTAATAGTCCAAGCAAACTAAACATTACGTACACAGGGATCGTATAAAAATTTCAAGTAAACATTTTATGGTTTTATTTTAATTGTTGTGGTGTGCAGATTGACATACCAAAAGTTGCAAAAAATCAGTCCACGGGAAACCCCTAAATTAAGGGAAAAAATGGCGACTTTTCCCAATATTGGACGAATTTTGCAACAAAAGATACCACATGTTTTTTGCAATTTTTTCGAGATATTGACTTGGAACCACGACCGATATTGGATGGTCCGTACTTAATTTCAATAGGGGACGCTTTTTGGGCCGCCATCTTGGATCAGCCCTATTGGATCTGCCATATTGGATGTAAATATTTTTTAATGTAATTATAGTGTTGTGACACATCATTATGAACTAGATTTACACGCTGATTTCAATGCTGAAATCCGTTTTTAAATAGCGTTTTACGATTTTAAGATATATAAAAACGAAAACTCTCCCCCATACATTTCTTATGGACGTTTCGTACTTTGACAATTTAAAAACACATTGAAAACTACCACAGCCTAAGGTTATACCATCAGGTTTAAGTATGGCGTGGAAATAGTTCACCAGCAGATCCAACAGATTGGGAGTGGTGTTTGACTGATGGTACATATGACTAACTTACTTATAAATAACTGTACTTTTAAATAACTGTAACTATGTAACTTGGAAATTATATTTAGATAAATATAGGATGTGGCCTTTAACAAATTTCAACAAAACGTTTTATGGTTTTATTTTGTAGTGTTGTGCAGAGTGAAAACGGGAAAAACTCGTCATAGCTATTCGTTCAAGTATTGAATTTTATTTTAGCTATGGATTCCTTATTGGGAGTTATTTAGAATTGGGGATAGATGTCTAACTAAAGACAAATTTCAAAATAACAATAATTCATTCAATAGTTCATTGAAGGTAGGCCTACATGATTCGTTTTAAATTTGTCATGTGTCATTCAATAATCAATAAAATTAAAGCCAAACATTTACTAAGTACTTTGATACCAGAACGAACTTGTTAACATATAACCCGAGATATAAATCTTTTAACAAAAACTGATAAAAAAGTTTAGTTTAATTTTGTGTTGGGGTTTGTACCTCGTCTATAACTAGTCTGTTTTAACTATAAATAAAACAAAATGAAAGCTAACTAAAATGAAAGCTCTTTTATCACTGAATATTTTAAGGCTAGAACGAACTGCAAGCATTAATAATACCCGGAGAAAAATAATCCAAACACATTTTCAAAGTACGATACGTCCATAAGTGATGTATTTGGGAGAGTTTTCGTTTTAATATATCTTAAGCAACGAAAAAACTTATTTAAAAACGGATTTCAGCTTGAAATCAGCGTGGAAATCTAGTTCATAATGATGTGTCAGTGTCACAACACTATAATTACATAAAAAAATATTTACATCCAATTTGGCAGATCCAATATGGCTGATCCAAGATGGCGGCCCAAAAAGCGTCCCCTATTAAAATTAAGTACGGACCATCCAATAAATATCGGTCGTGGTTCCAAGTCAATATCTGGAAAAGTGCAAAAAAACATGTGGTATCTTTTGTTGCAAAATTTGTCCAATATTGGGAAAAGCCGCCATTTTTTCCCTTAATTTAGGGGTTTCACGTGGACTGATTTTTTGCTACTTTTGGTATGTCACTCTGCACACCACAACAATAAAAATAAAACCATAAAATGTTTACTTGCAAACTTTTATACGATCCCTGTGTCTGTTTTTTTTTTAGTTCGCTTGGACTATTACATTAATTTATAACAAATATTATTATTTTAAATATTTTACTATTTCTACGGGGTTTATTTTTGGTTATAGGTACATGTATTTGGTATCATTTTAAAGGTAATTTCAGGAGGAACATTAAATGTATTGACGACTTTTCACCAATATTGACTGGAAAGTCAGAATTTCAATAAAAAGCAAAAAACTACCGGATTTGGCCGCCATTTTGGAAAAATGGTGGTGTTCCACCAAAGATATTTTTGGAGACTTTTGATATGTTATTCACAATACTTTTCACTATCGAACAACAATGGTTTCATCTGTGTTCTAATTATTTCTAGGTAAAACCATATATTCAGGGGCCTATACCATAAATAAATAAAACTCAAACTTTACTAATTATTTGGAAATCTACACAGATTTTATTGACCTATTAATTAATAAAATCGGTACAGTAGAACTGTAGATTTAGTTGTAGAAAGTTAACAAAAATCTCTCCAATTCAATATTCTCTCACCACAATAAATTAGGAGGTTGCTAAGCTTTTTTGCAAATAACTCTTAAACGGTGAGGAAATCGACCAAAGTGGAAGGTGATATTCTGAAAGAGAATAAAATTTGCTACAAAGTGCTTTTAGGCGTTTTTTGAAAATATTCAAAAAAAGGCAACCTAAAGTTAACTATAAATTGAAATTTTAAAATATTAACTATAAAAAAATCAGTTTTTAGTGTATTTTTGCTTTTTATTCTTTATTCACCACAAATATTTAATAAAATCAAACTTTCATAATTATTTGCAAATCTACACAAATTAGGCTTTCAAACGATATATTAGTTAACAAAATCGGTCCAGTAGAAGTCTAGATTTAGTTGTACAAAGTTTAACAAAAATATCCCTAATTCAGTTTTTTTAACAACTAAAAATTTGGAGGTCACTTATCTAATTTGACAATAACTTTTAAATGGTGAGTAAATCGTAGAAAATACACGTGATATTCTGAAAGAAGATAAAATTTCCTACAAATACCTTGTGTGTATTTCTTGAAATTATTTAATAAAGGCAGCCTAAAGCTGACTACAAATATAAACTTGAAAACAAAAACCTGAAAAAACCAGTTTCTAATGTATTTTTGTTATTTTTATTTTTCTACCACAAATATTAAATAAAATCAAACTTTCATAATTATTTGCAAATCTACATGAGTAAGGCTTTCCAATGACTCATTAATTAACAAAATCGGTCCGGTAGAAGTCTAGATTTAGTTGTACAAAGTTTAACAAAAATATCCCAAACTCAATATTTTCTCATTATTATAAATTCGGAGGTTGCTTAACTTTTTTGCAAATAACTTTTAAATGGTGAGGAAATCGACCAAAGTGGAAGGTGATATTCTGAAAGAGAATAAAATTTCCTACAAATTGATAGCATACACTTCTTGGAAACACTATAAAAAGGCAGCTAAAAGTCGCACTCAAATAAAAAGTGTGAAAAACACCGTTTTCAATGTATTTCTTATGGAAAACATGTTTTTTGAAATTTTTCACAATAAATCATAATAAAAACAAACTTTCATAATTATTTGCAAATCTACACGACCTAAGCTTTCCAACGACCCATTAATTAATAAAATCGGTCCAGTAGAACTCTAGATTTAGTTGTACAAAGATTTTTAAAACTGAATTATATATAGAATAGATTTTTAAATCATTTTTAGGAAAAGCCGCCTGCTGATGTCATAACGTACTTCAATGGACCCAATCTTTCACCAAAAAGCCAAGCTGAAACTTGCGCTTATGATGCTTTTTACCATTTTGAGCCTGGTTGGGATCAGCATATCTCTCGAGCTGATCGAAGCAATCCCAAACTCATCCATAAGAACATTCACAATGAGGTTGACTTGTACATAATCTTTATTCAGTATTTAGAAAAAGGCTGCTTTTGTTAGACTGTTAGGGCTGAGCAGTGGTCAAGCAGTTCCCTCTTTTGGCCTAGAGACATCACCTTGGATTGAAGGTTTGAATTCCGCTAAAAAAAGGTGTCATGTCTAAATCCAGCAGGAATATGTTTGGCCTAGGTTTACCTATGGCCTGTGACATTTTCATTACAAAATAGCCTTTTTTTGCTTAAGTAAAAGCTGTGTTATTTATATTATAGTCTAGTGAAAACCCCCTTTCTTCTTCAGAAATAGAATTTATACTGACCATTCTGATAAACTTGAGCCTCAGTTAAAAATGTTGGAATCCCAAATTAAAACCAAATGTGGATCACATCCATATCCGTCATTATTGTTAAGTATGACTCTGATAATTGATTTACTCTTTTCAACACCAGTGTTATTTTTACATTCTTTTAACAAACGGTTCAAACCCTGAAAGTCTGGTAAAGAATACTTGCAAGAACGTCATTAGATCACTATAGTTTTGAGACATGTCTCCTTATCCGAATCGTAACTGATTTGACATGTTCTCTCCCCAAACGTTAGCTTCCTTTATTTTTATTGAAATCTTAAGAATAAACAGTGTTTAATCATAACAGGAACAGAACAGAATAGTTCCAGTGGTAACCTCTTCTAACTACGGACACAGGAAGACAGAGCTGGAGGGTAAATCACTGGTGGTTCACAAAAAAACGCACCCCACACGAGAATTCTACAGAGTAAACAATACCAATTTGAAACCTTCTCGTGGACTTTTAAGAGATTCAAGCACCATTTTATAAATTAAATATATCAAATAATTTACATGCAGAGTATTAAATAGAATTTTTGTGTTCTACTCCTCAAACGATTAAGTTTTTACAATAGATAGTTTGATGATAGAGTAAAACTTAAAACAACCAGTAAAGAAAGAATGTTCATAAATTCATCCAAGGACGTACACAATCTTCAGTTCAATCAGAACATTTGTTGCATTTAAACTTTTAGGCAGTTGGGGTTGTTGAAATAAGATTGAACCGTGATAAAACAGTAGATAAAATATATTTATTGCACATAAAGAAAATACTCAGTGGTAGAAGCTTTAACTAGATTAATATTAAACCTTACGAGGAAACAGGGTATGGCACTCTGAGAACCAGCGACCATAATGTTTTTTTTTTTCAGCATAGTTACTTCTGAAAACTGTTAAGTACAAAACACTTTAGAGGCCGATCCTAAAATCCTTGTCTGCAAGTAAACAGTTTATAAAAACATTGAAATGTCTCAAAATCATTCCAAGAATAGCATTATTATGAATATGGTGTCACTTTTGTGGTCGCCTACTTTTGGACTGTACGCTTAAATAATTTAACGAGCTGGTCTAGGATTCACAAGGACATAATACTGTAATTTACGTAATTTTCATTTTATGACTTAGTGGGTGTTCATACATGATCTGCAGTTGTAAACTCTTATTTTCCCATGATTAAATCAGTGAAGGTGTATTGTCAATAGTTAAATCAGCTGACGGAGCATTGGAGTCAAGATTCTCTTGCGATTTCCTCTTGTTTCGCTCACATTTTCGACACGTCAATGTTCTAAGCCAACAGGTTTTATGGTAGACCCAAGAACATTCTGAACAGACGTGAACATTGCTGTAGAATGGGAAGATAACGTTGTCTTTGTCATCACATAACTCACATATGTAACCTTGGCCACTGCAAATCTGAAAATCATAAAAATATGTTAGTTGTAAGGTAGAATTATTGTCAACGTAGAGCAAGAGAATGCTAGGCCCTAATTTTTCAATCATAAAATATCAACTGACTGATCTAGGCATCTACTAGATTAACCAGAAAACATCAACTGACCAAGTAGGCTACTGCCACAGAGCATAGAATATAGTCGCACTCCTATACCTACAGCTATACCAGTAGTGAGGCCGATTTCCACCATCTTGGTAAGAGAGTTGGGCTCAGAACTTTGAAAACACGGCGTCATTACCACTGTGTTATTCTATGCTACTTTATGAATTAGATGAAGCTACCGCTCTGAGGATACATATAGAACTATCCCCCCTTCGATATTGACCTAGGACTCTGCCCTGCGGGCTTTCAAAGTTCTGAGCTGAGTTTTAAAAGTAAATATTGATTGGTGGTTTCCATGGTAACAAAACAATATAATGGTTTAAATGTAAATGTAGACCGGATCGGCCGCCATCTTGGTACAAGAAGTCTGCTTCACAGACAGCAAGTGACGTCTCTATACTTAATCTATGCTCTGTGGCTACTGCTAGTCAGTGACCTAACATCCACTGAATGTAGGCTCCTACTACTTAATCAGAAAACATCCAGTAGTCACCTAGGATAGTAGTCAATAAAAGAACATCAACTGAATGTTTAGTGGAATGAACGTGTCCTTAATGTTTGCTAGAATGAGCCTTATAAAATGTTATATCGTATGAGTAAGGTGAGGAAGCAGCTTTTCTTACATTATTAACCTACTTTCTCTGTTTGACAATACGTGCGTTATGTAGTAAAACATTGAATGTGTTGAGACTATTAGATTTTAAAAGCCAAAAGTAAAAGAATTTATATATTAATATGTGATCTTGCTTAACGCTATCAATGAATTCACTAGTTATTGAAGAAATCATAAAAAAATAGGAATGATAAATACGTTATTTTAATCAAGCTGCATAACAGCCGAAACTTTACACTTACCGCACAATTTTTAGTAATGTGTTCCGTGAATTCGTTGGTTATTGTTTTCATTTGTCCCAGCAATGTTCCAGAATTTAGTTCTGTAAAATCTCGAAGGCTAAATATATCAGTTGGCTCCAATAAATGAGACCTATTTCCAAACAGTTTCCACAGAACTTTTTTTTCCTCTCTTGCCTCACGGCATCGGACCAAATATACTTTGAGGAGAGACAGCTCTTCCCGCAACCGCTGAAAAAAAAAAATCCTTGTAAATGAATTTTAATGTGTACATAAACAACTTTTTTATTAAAATGAAATTTATGTTAAATACTTAAGTCACACAGTTAAAAACACAATGCCAGATCGTTTCCAAACCCAGATGCCATTTGTCATTGGGCTATGAATTAATGATGCTACCTAACAAAAATGTGGACATTGGATAGTAACAAGACCAGGGTTTGGATTGTTCCCTTTCAAAACGTAAAAAATGTCACTGGCATAAAAAAACAAAAAATAAAACGTTTCACTTAGTTATGAATCACCAGCCTAGACTTAGGTTATATGAATCAAGTTAGATTTCTTAGTGGATCCTTCATTCCTTCATTCATGTTCACCTTACAACGGACACGCACATTGCTGATTTCAAAGTAAACATATCAATACTAAATGAATGAATCACTGACAATAGTGATTTGTTGATGAGTTCAAGAAACACAAAAGAGATAAGTAACAGTGAAAAAGAGAGTCCAACCTTGATCTCGGCGAGCTCCTTGACGAACCCAAACAGGCGAAGATCAGGCCGCAGGAGTGGTCTGTTCCTGGTGTATCGCAGCAGCTGGTACGTCGCACGACACACTAAATAAGGCTTGAAGTCCCAGTTGCATACGACACGTGCCGGGATCATAGAGGAGTTGTTCCAGTGGCACGACGTGCAGTAGTACAAGCCAGTGTAGTCACACAACCTCGGGGCCAACCAGCTGTTCTCTGTCAAACAGTAGAATTAACAGTAGGCAGCAGACTTCTTTGAAGTCGGTTTCAAAGCTTTGTTGTAAGTTGTTAGTGATTAATAATGATAAGGTTAAGATTAATGTATTAATAAATAAGGTAATTACATATAAATACCCCCGCCGCAGCAAACCTGCAGACTAAGCGAATTTCCATTTGCCTGATTAGGTTTACACTAAAATGTCTCCTTAAAAATATCACTTTTATTCCCTATTTAAATAGAATCAGTTTAACACATACGTAGGTTTGCTGCAACAGGGAGGGTAAAACTGTTTTTTATGTAAAATGTTAATAGTTAGTAAGAAATAAAAACATTTTCCAAATTTGGGCAAAATATGTTAATAAACAAGCAAATTACAACAGTTTACTTATTCTCCATAAGAATAACATGGGAATTTTAAATTAACAATTTTTTGGAATTTTCTCCGTAACCATTAGGCGCATTATAACGCTTCAATATACTAAATTATTTGTTTTTTTAAGCTCTACAAAATAGTTTGGAAAGAAATTGCAAAATTTTATGTTTTTTGGGTCAAAAATTGGAAAAACCCATTTTTACCCCATAAAAGCCCCCATAAACCCCCGTTCCTATGGTCTGATCATGCTGGTTTGCGAACTCGTTCGAATAAACGTAGGTTTACACGTTTGTACCGAATTTCATCAAAATCGGATCATTTTTGCTCGAGTTATCGCGCTAACGGACACATATATATATCTATATATATAATTCTGTAAGACCAAATTTTTACCAGAAAATTGTGGACGTCTGGTAAGTCGCAGAAAAGTGGGAGAGGTCTTAAATTAAAGGTCTTGACCCCAGGGACTCGGGAAAAATAGCAGAATTCCCATAAATTTACCAGAAAACGAGATATAACGTAAAATACCCACCATAAGAAATGCATGGGGACTGAAAAACGTCTGCATTCTATCAGCTGTTACTTATTTATTTGCAATGTTTACATTTATTCCGAAAGTCAATGTTGGTAAATAATGTTTCAAAATGAATTGTGTTTAAATTGTTTTGTTTTCCGTTTTTATATTGAGTGAAGTAACTAGAACAGGGTAGGGGAAGACCTGCAAGACGTGGAGAGTGTCCAGGAATTCAACAGACTTAAGAAATGCAAACGAGAACGTCATGTAGGGCCTGGCCTAGCTGTGAAAGAAATCCAGAAGCCGTTTTACAACCTGTCTTTAGAAGAACGCTGGAAAATGAGTTGAGTTGTTTCTCACAATCTAGGTCCTCTTAAAGCACTTGCATGCATTGTGGCGCATTTCACTTCGCAGAGAAGGCCACCAATGGACATTTCAACGCATTTTGCCACAATGGACATGCCACAGCCACAAGTAGGCCTAAATGACGAACTAACTGTTTTTCCATGATTCGAACTTCATAAAAAACATAGGTAATACAACAGTGCAATGGCTATTGCGTCGCTTTCCGCTACAAAAAAAGAGATTCCGGGAAATGGGCCTTACTGTCTTAAAATTCAGGGACAAATTCATAGATACTTTTGACTTACCACCGCCAAATGGGGAGTTGCCTTCATAAAAATTAATGATAATTTTAACCTTTACATTTGGTTCTCAAAATGGAATCTAACAGAATTCGTAAGATTACAAAACAAATCTTCAATTTTAAACTAGAAAAGATGTGCAATGTTTGGCTGTATGTTTCAGCTCTGATTCGTCACTCCGGGCTCAGGCCAACCGTGTGCACGTTTCCATTTGTAATATGTTGTGTTATTCATTATTTTACAATTGTAGGCTATTTCATTGACACAATAGAAGCAACTAATATACGACTCCAACGGAAGGAGAACCAAGATATAAAACAAGAAACACTGTTAATTTTAAGTAACATAAAATTGATAATTTTAGAAACATATTAGAACATTTTTCTTTTTATATAGGCTATGGTTTTTTATTGTAGTCTAAATTAGGGGCTATGGCCCCTACAGGCCACTAGTATATATATAAATATATATATATATATAAATATATATATATATATATGAATTTGAACGGATGGTGTTTTTGGCCTCTAGGGACCTCAAAACGAAAAAAAAAATCGGTCCCGGGTCCAGGTCTTACCATGAGTACTACGGTAATAGCTTATTCCCTATATGGGAAATTCGCTAAAATAGGTAAAAGTATGGACAAAAGAAACAAAAATTTTGTAAAAAATAATCTTTAAAAACAATAGCTTTTACTAAAAAAACGACCCTTGGCACAGTACAATGGTGACATTTACAAGAGTGGCAACCAATGCATTCCAGACAACTGATTTAATATTTTCCTTCTAATTTACTTTTTTTGTTGTTCTAATTTATTTGTTTAACAAGTAGCTTAGAAATATATAAAACTGTAGCCCACTGAACTTCTTTGAGTGTTACATTTTGAATTTATTACGTTTCTATTGTGTTAATTGATCAAACTCTTTTAACTCAACTGAACAGGTCCCTGCAACAATAAAAACACTAGAAACTACCCTATATTTCTTGTGCGTCACACATGACTTACTGAATGATATCGGCAGTTTACACTCGGCACACTGATAGTTCTGTGCGGCCAGTCCTACCTCTGGACAGATGCTCGTCTCATACTTGGGCTTCTCTGAGGCCACAAGTTGGGGACAAGGCCTAACAATCTGTTCAACACATTTGTCGTGGCATCTGTATCTGCAGTCTGGAACAATATAGATTGAACTAGCCGATTTACCGGTATTCTGTCGGTGGACCAAAGATTCGATTCTCGAATCTTGTTAATTTCAAATCTGAATCTTCCGTAAATATACATTCACTATAAAAAGTTTTAGTTAAATTGGCTAACAATTTTTAGAACTATAAAACTCCTTGTAAATAAACGAACATAATGATAATAGTTGAAAACCACGGAAAATCCCCAAATGATACAATTTTTACCCATATTTCCCGGTTTTTTCACAGCGGTTAAAATTCACGCATAATTCTAGATTTTCCCGGAATTCCCAGTCGCTGAGAACCCTGAATGTTCCGTACACACCCTGTCAATCTTGTCAAGGTGTTGTTTTACCTTGATGCATTTGTTTTGTCTCTTGTTTTTGAGCTCTTAAATCCGGCAGGGTATCCCATCCTCGGGAGGAGAATCCACAATCATCCAACTTATGGAAAATCAATTATTGCCGAGGTGGACAAGAAAGTGATAACGTTTTACCAAAACATTTCGCAGTCAACTTATCCCCTGAAGAAGTGGTAAAGATAACATAAGGGGGTACAAAATCAAGTGTATTGAAATTTTCAAGTAATTTTTCAATAAATTGTACAACAAAGAACACTTTTTTAATTTCAACAGCCAAACCGGTCTGATGTCTCAAGATCGTTGCAGATGTCAGAAACCCTGACCATACCCAAAACAAGCCTCAAGGATGTTTCATCCGATAGTAACCCAGACACCCACTCAATTATTTCTCCCCAGGTAAAATATCCCGAATATCCCAAACAAATCCCAGGTGTCCACCGTCGATGTGTGGACCAACGATAATGGTAAGAATCCCTGAGGATTATTTGTTTACAAACCGTAGATATGAGGAAGACATCAGTGCAAGTTCCGATTCCCAAAAAGGCCACAGTATTTCTGTAATGACTTTTACTCTGAGACGCCCGAAACTGGTTGACGACATCCAGCAAAAACAAAACCGACACTGACCTTACCCAACTCCCACAGCTGCACACGATGACCACTCAGCACGAGTTGCATGTGCACTAGTCTCAAAGTCGATGGTGCTACCTCATTTGCATAATTTGTGGGGCCAGATTACTCTACTCGTAGGCCTATGATTGGAATTTCTTCCATTTGTTTTGATTTTCTGCTTAAATTTCGTTGTTATTTTGTCACCAGCATGACAACCCATAAGCCCCATGTTATTTTTTTTTATTTTTTATTCATTTTTGTGCTGATTTTTTAGCCTATTTTAATTTATAAAGGGTTTCTACACATTTACAGGAAAATATCTTTCTAACACGAGCTGAGAAAACATGTTTTCAAGAAACATGCTTGCCCATTAATATATAGATTTGTCCTATTCCTACTTAACTTATAATCACAAACTTATATTTATCTATGAATACAAATTTGATTTTGATTTGCCAGCCTACCTGAGCACTGATACCAACACTGCAAAATATTCCATATCGCGCTGCAGCATGTATCACAGTAACGTTTTGTTGTGGATGTCCGGTGATATCTCAACTCCAAGTGATGGCCTAAAACTATCCTGGACTTGGCTGGTTCGGTGGCCACCGGTTCTGTTACCTCTTTGGCCTCTTCAACTGTCAACAACTGGTACCTAAGTTCAATCAGTCTTCTCACCAACCACTTTCGTTCGTTAGAACACACGGCGCTGTCTAATATCAGCTTCTTGCATTCGCATGCTGCTTCTGTCAATTCGTCTTTTGTCAGGGAATGAAGCTTTCCCTGAAACAATCACAGTTAGACTAAATGAATTGAATTTAGAGATCTTTTAAATTTGGTGTGTAGGGCCTGATGGTAAAAATATTAAGAGAAGAAAAATTACCGTTTCATACAATTTTAAAAGGCCCGCCCAAAAGCAGCTAGTAAAACAGCTGTGGCGGGGTCATTAGTTCTCCTAGCGGCCACGCACTGCACTAGCGTAAAAACAGCCAAGACATGGTACAGTCCGTTGAGCGCCCGGCAAGCACTAGGCCCATCTCTCTCTAGTAGAGTGGAGTGTAAGGCGAAAAGCCTAGACTCATAAACGTAGGCGTAACGATAGACCAAGGCGGGATATGGATTTGTTGCTAGCGTCAGCGGGTGGGACAGGTTCAATTCCCGGCACCTCCACAAATTTTTAATGGGTTTGGACTGCTTTCCCTAAAAACGTTTGAAAATTGACTTAGTTAAAAAAATGCCACTGGCGTTGAGAAAAAGTCCTTAACCATGGGTAACCGAGTAAATTCTAACTCTAGGCGTTAGCCCCGGGGGACCTGGACTCATAAACTCCCGAAACATAAGGACCAGGGCGGAATAGGCCTTGAAATCGAACACGGGGTAGAAAGCCTCTGAGTAATAGAATAAATTTATTCCAACGTTAGGTGTTAGGCCAGGGCGAAATAGCCTCTGAACTCGTAAATGTAGCAAAACGTTAGCCTAGGGCAGAAGTCCCTGGAAATCGAATATCGAATTTAGTTTAACTTTAAATATCATGGATTTTAATTTTTAACATTAATTTTAGTGAGTCTTTGAGTACTAAGGTTTACAGGGTACAGGGAAGATATTGAGGTGTATTTTTGTACTGCAATGTTGATAGCTTAGTATGAAATAAACAAAATTTCAAAATTTGGTTAAAATATATCCATAAACAAGCAAACTAGGCTACAACAGTTTATATTTTTATTCTCCATAAGAATAACATAGGAATTTTAAATAAAAATTTCTTTTTATGATCTCCGGAACCGTTGGGCATACAACAACGCTTCAAAAGCTCTACAAAATTGTTTGGATATAAATTATGAAATTTTGTGTTTTAGGGTCAAACATGAGGAAAAACAATTTTTACTCCATTAAAACCTTCCCCCCCATAAACCCCCGTTCCCTTAGTCCAATTATGCTGGTTCGAGAACTCGTTCCAATAAACGTAGGTTTACAAGTTTGTACCAAATTTCATCAAAATCGGATCATTTTTGCTCGAGTTATCGCGCTATTCGACACGGAAATGCTCTTGTATATATCCGCGATCACGGAAAAACCGTTCGATTTTCTGACTTTGTGATTGATCTCTCAAGCTTGTAGACTCTACTCGACTCGAAAAACACATTGGTTCTAAATAAGTTCCTACTGTAGCACCTTCACACAGTCCACGAGGACAGTTGATTGCAACCTGCATGACTGATGACTATTCTTTTATTTAGGTTGGTAGAGAATTTATATAGATCGGTCAAGTAATAGTGTCAGTTTAGCTGTTGTAAACTACTTGTCCTAATTTTCGTCATAGAACATCGTAGGCCTATAGTAATCTTACTAATTTTAAAAGTGAAAGTTTGTGTGTTTGTTTGTTTGTTTGTGTGTTTGAAGTTCAATCACGCATAAACCACTGGACAGATTGGGCTGAAATTAGGCATGATGATAGCTTACATTCCCGATTAACATATAGGCATATTCTTATCTCAAAAATCCTTTCGGGCTCCGTCCCAGTGGCTCTGTAATTCCCCATGTTAACCTTATGAGTATCCTAAAGGGAATTAAAGAATTTAGTCAGCTGTTTCAACTAAAAAAGTTGGTTCTATGATATGGAAAAGCATTAAAAAGTTATAATATAAGATTTACAGATAACAACAAGATAAGATTTACAACAGGGTGCAGCACTATATTTTTTTTGCATTTATGAAAACAGCTAATTTGAACTAAGCAGCAACAAAAAACTGTGATTCACAATGAGAACTGTCAAAGTAGGATTGTTTCCAGTTATGTTTGTTTTTCATTTCATGAATAGTTTGTGATATTTTGCGAATTGTTGATAATTTATTTTTCTCTATTGTTTAGGTGAAGTGGTAGAACATGGCTATGGTAGATGTGTAATACTAAAAAAAAATACTGTAAATACTGTGTGTGTAGAATACTGTAAATTTAAAAAAGCAAATTTTATCAAATTATGTCCTCCCTTATTGCAAACACAAAGCTTGAGTATAACTGCAATAAGCATTTTATACTTATATTCCAACCCCGTACGAAGGACGGGTACTCTGCTAGTTCTCATATAATATTGTTAAGATAGGGGGCTCGTGAGTGGGTGAGCCTGTAGCACAATCGCGGGCCGGTGTCCCAGGAAAATTTCCCAAAAAATCCTGGTCAAGGCTCATGGGCCCCCCTCCCCCGCTATCGGCGCCACTGGTTACGGGTCTGATATTAGGAATCTAACGGTTTATTAAGAACTTTATCCAATGCTACTAGTTTTATGCAAGTAGCTAATTTATAATCTTACCTTGCATCAAAGGTGTCAAGTGAACCATATAATTGGGGGGTCCAGGACACCATCTTATCAGGGGGTCAGAAGAAATGCATTTTTATTTAGATTTGTTGTTAGACCGTAGTCGGTTACGAAAATAAACTGTATTGTTTTTTATTGCAATCGTTTTTATTGTAACTTTTATGTTAGGGGTTTTTTCTCCCCTCCCCCGTGTGACGCCTATTCCTTGCATAGCTCAACCAAATAAGGTATGTTGACTAAACATAATCACCTAGGACTAGGTATGATCACAGCAATGCACTTTATACAGTGGCATTTGCCATTAGTATCCTAGTATAGCAGAAGTAAATAGTAATGGTAAGTTATCGCAATCTTACCTCAGTCAATGTTAGGTAGTTTTCAGCACCAATCAAACTAGCCGGAACAGAGAGGCTGTCCTCAGACTCCGATTCATCCCCGTGATCTGTGAGCTTTCCCGAGCTGGGAGACGATGAAACTGAAGTGGAGGGTAATACACTCTTTTCGTTTTCTTTATTCATCACAAATAAGATTGTAACACTTTATCGTGCTGTGACACCACTTAATCAAACTGATTTTGTTTTTCTCCCTTGAAATGGAATTGGAGCCAATGATATCCAACACAATTTTGAGACATGGAATCCTGAAATTAAAAGTTCATATATCGGTCAACAATTTAATGAAAGTAACTTAGTTACCAAACACTATTAAATGCAATGTTAAGGTTTTAAGATTAGAACTACCCATCTAAATACGATGATTGGAGTCATTCAATAAGTAACGAGACAAATTATTACCGGTATTGCTCAAAAACGGTCTTTTGATTCAGTAGATAACTTTCAGCACAAACAGTTGGCAACCTTGTGAGGACAACTGAATTGCTGTTCGAACATATTTTGTAAACATCCATTCAAAGTTGGGACTTGGATTTTGGAATCTTAGATTCACGAGTTAATTCGGGACAATAGGCGTACCTATCACCGCTGAACGGTTAGCCTAAGTGAATAATTAAATGTAAGTGTTGGAAATGTCCATTTCGACTTCTCCCATTAAAAAAATCAAGAATCAGCCATCTGACGGTAAAGTCACGCTCACAGTATTCTGGGATTTTCAAGACACAATTTATTGTGATTTCGTGGAGGCCAAAGAACAATCAACAGCCAGTACTATAGTGACATGGTGGAAAAAAAGATAAGACCTGCAATTCGAACGAAACGCTGTGGGCTCTTGACTGAAGGTGTGATTTTGCTTCATGGCACTAGTGACAAAAGAAATACCCCCGCCGCAGCAAACCTGCAGACTAAGCGAATTTCCATTTGCCTGATTAGATTTACACTAAAATGTCTCCTTATAAATATCACATTTATTTCCTACTAGCTGGCCCGACAAACGTTGTCCTGTCCTAATGTGGTTTTATGTCAAATGCTCACCGTTCATTTTTAAGATGAGCTCGTTCGCATGGCTCAATCACGTCCTGGTTGAAGTTTGTTCGCTACGCTCACTCACCTTTAGGTTGGAGCTCGTTCGCTGCGCTCACTTGCCTGCAGGTTAGCTCGTTCGCTACTCTAACTCGCCTCCATGTTGAAGTTCTTTCGCTACGCTCACTCACCTTTTCGTTGCAAATTAGCTGTTGTCATAAATTTAAAAAATAATACACTAGTGCTGCACCCTGTTGGTAAATCTATTAACTTTTTATGCTATTGAACATCACAGAATCAAATAGTTTAGTTGAACCAGCTGTTAAAGATTCTTTAATTCCATTTAAATATGAGTACTCATAAGGTTAACATGGGAAACTCCAGAGCAACTGGGGTGGAGCCCTTTTGACGGATCTGCACCAAACTTCACACAAACCATCCTTGAATAATACTTAATAATGCCTGAAAGTTTCATTACAATCTGTCGAGCGGTTTCGGAGTCCATAAAGGACAAACAAACAAACAACCAAACAAACATACATACATTGGATTTTATATATATAAGTTTAAATAGAATTAGTTTAAATGAGTAATTAGGTTTGTTACAACAGGGAGGGTAAAAAATTGTTTTTTGTTGTAAAATGTTAAATAGTTTAGTAAGAAATTAATGTATTTTCCAAATATGTTCATAAACAAGCAAACTAAAACAGTTTATTACTTATTCTCCATAAGAATAACATGGAGATTTTAAATTTAAAATTTTTTGGATTTTATCCGTGAACATTAGGTGCAATATAACGCTTCAATATACTGAATTATTTTTTCTTTAACTCTATAAAATGGTGAGGAAAGAAGTTTTGTGAAATATTGTGTTTTTAGAGTTAAAAATGGGAAACCCCTACTTTTACCCCATAAACACCCGTTACCATAGTCCGATCATACTGGTTTGCGGTCTTGTTCAAATAAATGTTGGTTTACACGTTTATACCAAATTTCATCAAAATCGGATCATTTTTGCTCGAGTTATCGTGCTAACGGACATGAATTAGAACGGATGGTGTTTTTGGCCTCTAGGGACCTCAAAACGGAAAAGTAATTGGTCCCGGGTCCAGGTCTTACCATGAGTACTACGGTAATAGCTTATTCCCTATAATGGGAAGTTCGCCAAAACCTCAGAATCTGGGATGGGAGATCCCTCCACATTCCCCCTAAAGCCCCAACCTCGTCCCATTGGACTTCCATCGGTTTGTACCCCTTGATTGATTAATTGATTCTGTAGGGACGGAACTTGTCCTATAGCACGTCAGCCACTGATGATGGGCTTTTTGCGCACCCCACATGGTACTGGTACATCAGAGTTTGTCGAACCTGAGTTGCTTAATGAACTTCAACATCCTATCTATGAGCTCCTCCTGAGGAAGGTGTCTGCCCCTTGTCATTGCTCCAAGAGTACTGTCCCTTACCTCGTCCAGAGCTGTGCAGTCATAGAGTGGGTGATCTACAGTCTCCAAACAACATCCAACAGACATCCAAAGGTTTTCGCACTGGAGTCTGTAGGCAGTCCTCCTCGCAAGTGACCTTCACATACAGGTCAATTGGAGTGAGGTTGAGAAGGCAGTCCAGTGAGGCTCTCGGACAGCTGCTCATTGCGCCCGTGATGATGAGACAGGCGAGTCTTTGGACGGCAGCCAGATATCTCACCGCCGACACCGAGTCCATCTTGGGCCACCCCACAAGTGAGCTGTATGTCAAGGCAGGCCTTACCACGGAGACAAACAGCCAGTGTATGAGCCCCGGCTTGAGCCCCCAGGTTCCTCCCACCATCCGCCTCCATACCATGAGTGACCACTTACCTCGACCTTTTGAAGTTTTGGTCCCCATTTCAGCTTTCGGTTCAATACCACACCCAGGTAAGTTACTTTACCTAATTCTGCATTTCAAGCACTGTGTCTTGTAGTCTCAGAGGTCCTATGCCATTCAGTTCGTGCCTCTTGGTGCAGGGAATAACCGCCACTTTGGAGGGGTTGATAGAAAGGCCTACCACTGTGCACCACTGTCTAACTGACCTCAAAGCTGTGTTCATGAGGTCGTAGACCGTGTTGTTGGATTTACCCATAACCAGTATCACAATGTCATCAGCGTATCCTTGAACGAATACACCACTGTCACTGAGAGATCTAATTAAGTCGTCCACAAAAACGTTCCAGAGAAGAGGAGAGAGTACTCCACCCTTGTGTGGTCTAGGCCTCTAGAACCTCATTGTGTAGTTACCTTCCTCTTCCTAAGAACAGATTCTACCCCTATATGTGTTTGGACCCCTTAAACATGGTTTAACTTACGAGAGTTACATTTTCGGTCCAATGAAGAGATAAAAGTCAGGTGCAAAAGTGGTTTCGATATCAACCTAAAGAATTTTATGCCAAGGGTATTTACAAATTAGCAAAAAAAAAGATGGAACAAGTGTAAGTTTATAACTTAAAGTGTTGCTGGGGACTACCCTAGACCTAAGCTGAAAAGTAGGCTAACCAAAGTTTTGTACGGATTCAATAAACCGTTCGCATACCACTGGCCTTGAAACTAACTCAGGCCTAATAGCCTAATGGCTGAATAGGCCTAGGTACAACATGACAATAATATGATTACTTTTTTGGATTTAATAAATTAATGGTGAAATTGATAAAACAATATTACAAATTTCAAACAATATAACCATATTAACTTACGAAATTAAATTGCAGTAATAAGATACAAAAAAAATCAGACAAAAAAATACACAGATTTATGTTGATCTAGATGGAGAGGTGACACTCGTCTCGTGACAGTTGTGACAACCAAACAACCAAACAAAACTTTGGCCACTTTGGCCACTGACTGACTACTGACCTGACTGACAGTGACAGTGACAGCTGACAGCAGTGACAGCTCGAGCCCAGCTTCTTGAATTCTTGGATTCTTCTTTTTTTCTTGTTTGCTTACAAAAAGCTGGCTTGGCTAAACTGCCATGTAGTGTCACTATTTCAACTTATATCACATAACTGTACCATACATTTTTCCCCGGATTTTCTTGAAATGTTAAATTAGGCAATGTTATTTTTTTATAAATTGAGGTTACTGATGTTAATTACTTTTTAGTTGGTGTATTTTAGACGTTTTGCTGGTTGGATGGATTGTTTAAGGTTAGAATTAAAAGTTCAAGTTCCATCTTGTTCAGCCCGATGTGGTCCACCGGTGGCCAACTTCGGAATGTTTAGTAAAACCGGGTTTTCCTAGGTGCGGAAGTGAAGAGCGGAGAGAGGAACGCGGAGAGCGGACTCCACTACTTGTCTTAGGTAATTTAATGTTACTGTTTTCCTAGAAGCGGAGCGGAATCCCTTGTTAATTTCTTTTCCACTCTCCACTCTCCGCTTCCGCACCTAGGAAAACCCAGCTTTAGGACAAAAATATGGGTTTGTAAAACATTGAACTATAGATAAAACATGAGTATATAGTTTTATCCATGTTTAATTAAACGTAGCCCGTTGAAGACGAAGCTCGTTTTTTCGTTTCAATAACAAAAGTGTGATCCTATCAAGTGTCAGTGTCTTAAGTAAACTATATAAACAACTCATATACAATGAGGGTGGAATTACGTAATTTTAAACGTGTAACACCGGTCACACTCTTGATTATTTCTCCATTTACCCATTACGCCACGGCCGCTTTTCCAGGTCGCGGCCTTCGAAATGGCAACGTCGCAAGTCATGGCCCCCACAAGGGTGGGGCTGGCGCAACTCTGGTCACAGGGCCCGGGCCCTCAGGGGGCCCGGGCATACCCATTTTTTTCTTTTTCTTTTTTTCCCCACTGAAGATCACTTTACAGTAGATCATAAATTGAAGATAAAAAATAATATATAAATTTTACAAAAAACAAAAGTTAAATAATTTAAAATGTATTAATTCTAGATTCTAGGCTAGTTTATATTTAAATACTATGGGTGCGTAGGTGCGTATGTACTATACAACAGCAGAACAGCCAGCTCGGGCCCCAGTGGCCGGCCCCACAAACTCCCTCTACCCCTTCCTCCCGCCAGGCGCCTAGCCACTCCTACCCTCACTCCCCCCATAATAAACAAAGTTTGGTTTTATAATTGAACTGATAGTTTCAAGAATGAATCCTTATAGTTATGAGTTAAAATAAAATTTGTAAAGCATTGAAAAATTGACATGTACTATGTACCATAGCTAAGGTGACCAGACGTCCCGTTTTAGGGGGACTGGCTCGTCCCGACAAATCCTCTCGGGACGCTTATTCGTCCCGTTTTATCAACATTTGGTCCCGGTTGCACTTTTATGTAGTTTTAAAAATATGAAAGATTGTAATAATTTTGACCTAAGTTTTCTTCCCAATTCGCACGGTACATAATACTGTACTAAAGCATGGATTGGATAGCATCGGCATCGACAGCATCGGTCATTCTCGGCGTTACTAGTGCACATTCGTTTTTCTCCGTGACCACTCGAGCAAGTTCGGCAGCTCAGGCATCCACTCCCAAAAAATGTAGTATTGTTATAATTCTTGATGAAAATTGTCACTGAATAAAATATGATTTCATTGGTGTAAGCTGTTAAACTCGATTTACGTAAGTTTTTTTCCTACTCCATATTACAAAGTACAATTATAGCAGTTAAGATAGCCAAACCCTTTTACAGGGAAATAAAAAACACAAAATATTAATAGGCATGGAGCTTTTGTGTATTGATATAATAGTTTTAATTGCTGATTTCGTGTAATTTTAAGTCTTATAAAACTCATTGAAGAATTCTTTTCTTCCTTAAAAAAGGCTGCAAAAGTGCCATTTACCACTCACAATTTTAATACCTAGATTGCCTTAAAAACTCACTAAAATACATGACATTTTCAAGATTTTCCCGGGGGAGAACCCCCGGACCCCCCGTCTAGGCTGGGGGGTATTCCATACCCCCCCCGACCCCCCGGTTGGTAGGGGGCCCGAGCCAGATCCTGGTAACAGGGCCCACAATTAAATGTGGGGGCCATGTCGCAAGTAGGTTTGTAACAGCTGTTTTGATTGTAAGCAGCTAATGGTATTTGCGTATTTACGAAAGCTTGGTGACTGCCAGTTCCTGGACTATGAAAATATTGACCCCGCTTAAATTGTACAGATAAAGATTTTCAATTGATATTGTTTTGGTTTTCAATTCTGTATGTATTATTTTCAATAGTTTAATAAGTTTATGTTCACAGATTTAAATTTAAATCAATAAAGTGCGAATAAATGAGCTGATGTCACCTCTGTCTGTCATGTTATCTTATGGGACGTCTGTCACTAAACAACCACGGCCGCCTTTAACTACAGGCCGCGGCCTGGTAGAATTGGCAACGTCGCAAGTGGTGTTGTTGTTGACAGACGTCCCATAAGATAACATGGCAGACAGGTGACATCAGCTCATTTATTTGCGCTTTATTGATTTAAATTTAAGTCTATGAAAATGAACTTATTAAAATATTGAAAATAAAACATACACAGAATTGAAAACCCAAACAATATCTAAATCATTAAATAGATTTAATGATGAACCTTTGTCGATCAGCTCATAGTAGTATTTACAATGTTACGGCCGTTTCAGCATCTTCGTGCCATTATCAGACGTTTATTAGCCTTAGTGGCGTCGTTAATATACAAAAACACAAACTGCCACTAAGGCTGAACGTCTGATGATGGCACGAAGATGCTGAAACGGCCGTAACATTGTAAATTAATACTCTTACGAGCAGATTGACGAAGGTAACTCTATTTAAATGATTTAGCCACAAGATCAGCTCAGTGGATTTTTTCAAACAATGTCAATTGAATCCATATCTGTACAATTTAAGCGGAGTTAATATTTTCATAGTCCAGTAACCACGCGGCAGTCACCAAGATTTCGTAAATACGCAAATACCATTAGCTGCTTACAATCAAAACAGCTGTTACAAACCTACTTGCGACGTTGCCATTTCGAAGGCCGCGACCTGGATCTGGAAAGGCGGCCGTGGCGTAGTTGGTAAATGGAGAAATAATCGAGCCACTTCGAAGGCCGCGGCCTTGAGTCAAAGAGGCGTCCGTGCGCGTAAACTACTTTATTGAATTGAGAAATTGTTTGTTATAAACGTTATAAAATACACAAACTATCAATTGAATTGATATTTTAAGTTTGATAATACCATAGATTAAATGTACGTTGGTTATTCCGTGATAATAGGACGGAGACAGGTGCTAAATTTTCTGTGCTTAAATAAGTATATAGTAAACTATTATTAATTAGTAAAATAGTTCATTAGAATAGCACATTTAACTTTTTGTGTGATTAAACACAAAGTATAACATTTGTTACAGTACTGATTGTTATTGGACTGTAAACTTCAAAGGTTCACTTATGATGCAATAATAAATACGTAACACGACATTGCTTTGGTGAAATGGTATACACATTTTCTTGTATCATTGTAAAGGGAATTGATTATGACATATGGTTACTTTCGAGAAAATGGGTATGCAAAGACATTTTCTGTACCAATTCAGTTGATAGTTTGGTTTAAACTTTATTTTAGAGCTAAAAATCGGTCTTATTTAAACGTGAAATATCGAAAATTGAAGGACTACATTAGGGTTTCAGTCTTCTTCAAGGGCAATGCACTGTGGGTACAATTTGTCCACTGCGCATGCGCAGATCAGTTTACAGTTGGATTTTGTCATAAAATGGCGTCAGCTAAGTTTCTGGAGGAAGCTCTTAATACAGACGTGGATGAGTCGGCAGTGAATGCGTTAGTGGGTTCGTTAGAAACGTCTTTAGTTACTACAACACCCGCGGCTTCTAATCAACAAGGAGTTGCAGTTAGTGTAAATCAGAACCATTTAAATAGTGCTATTTCAAATGGATCCTCACTTTCGTCTCAGAAACACGGTGTCCTCAACGGTGGATCGGATTCTATGAATATAATTCTCAACTCGGATGCTAACAAAGTTATTTCTTGTAGTAATCACCAGAGTGCTATACCTAGTGTAGTCAACACTGTTGTTGCATCTTTGCATGGAGGTGTTCAATCTAGTGGATATATAAATCAAATTTCATCTAATATAGGCTTAGTTCAGTCAAATGTTGCAAGCATAAATAAGTCACAAGACTCAGTGAAGCTTGTTTATCCTTCTAGTACTCAGTCAGTCACTTCTACTGTAGGAGGGACTAACAGAGTTACATATCCTAACAATCAGACAATATCATCCCTTCCTAATGGTAACTTAGGAATTTCTCAAATTAATACACATGGTAATGTCTTAAATGTGTCAAATGCCAATGTTCAAAGTGCAGTTTCTCAGAGTTTCTCTCAATCGGGAACTAATTTAAACAAACAAGTCAGTGGTGTTGGTGTTGTTGGAATGGACCAAAATAAACCTACCGGCACCGCTCTAGTTATTAAGTCTAGTGGTAATAATCATGGACCTCAGGGTATACCTTTGACTCAAGGATTAGTATCTGTGCCTATGACAGTGAACACAACAATGACTTTGACAGGCACTCATGTAAACGCTGCAATGGGAACTACGACCACAAGTGGTGTTCCAGGAGTGGTAACGCTGACTAAACCTATAAACCAGTCAGTAGGATCTCAACAAGGTATCGTAGGAAATAACCCAACAATCATACCTGCAAACGTTCAAATTTTAAACGTCAACGCAATCAGAGCGGGCACTCCGACACAACCAGGACAAAAAACAGCTCCTCAGAGGGTTATGACCATTGGAACACAACAGATGGTGGGGGCTCGTCCAGGACAACCAGGGGTGAGTTTTTAGTTTTTATAATTTGTGTGTTGCAGTTTTGTTACATGGTAGGCCTATTCCAATCCAAACTGAAATACCGAAATACCTCCTCTTCATCGTTGACCAGCCTGGGCCGGATAGATAGCGTTTACTGTGCCCGAGATTGAAACACTAAGTTTAGGTTACTTGTTTTGACTGTATAACTTAAGTTAAATAGTAGGCCTATCTTAGCATGAAGGTGAATAGGGGGGTGTCACACCTTAGTTTACACCCCACATTTAGGCATACGGTAAGTTACTATTTATTATTAGGTCTACATTATACATTAACTACCAGCTGTTTTTAAAATAAAACTGTTCTAAACTAACCTAACCTAACTTAGCCAAACATGCTAAATCCATGACATTTTAATGTTTTTTTCATAGGCCTGCAGCCTTTTGTGTAGGCCTATGTAGGCTATGTGAGTAAATGTGGGTCTTTAACAAAATTGCAGCCGAACAAGCCTACTTAAAGTGAAAATGTGATTCCTTATATTCACTAGTAAGTTAAATTACCTAAACAGTACAGTTAACTTAACCCTTGCACAGTTATCGATAATTTATAGACAGATTAATAAATGGCTTAAATAGGCTACCTTTAACTGTCAGTCATGTGAAAGCCCTATACCTGAGGGCTGAAACTGCGGTAGGCCTAGTGTATTACTACTCCAAGGATCACCTGACAGTTAAATAATTCCCATTTATTAAAAGTGATTGGGAGGCTAACATCATGAAATTATAGACAGAAAATGCAAAAACTATGTATTTATTTGCGAGATTGTCTTTGGACTACTTTTGGCTGTGTGACAATAACTTACAAGTTAGTAACTTAAATTAGATAAAATACACTTAACTGTCAGAATGTAGGAGCTCTTTGAGGGTTTGGAACTGGTTGCTGAGCGCTGTGCTATTTAATTAAGTGGTGTGCTCTGACTATAGAAGTGGTTACACTTAGTATACGTAACTTAGCCTAAGTAACAAAGCTATCAAGATCATCTCATTCCATTCTACAGTCACCCTGCGTACATAAAGGCCTATTTATTTATTTATTTATTTGCCAATGGAATTAAGTAGGCCTACACCAATTTTCAGTTTGATTACAAGTTGTGAATTGCTCATTATGACTAGATAGCCTATATGATTTATTTTATATATTATTATTATATATATAATAATAATAATGAGAGGGATATCAAAATTAACAATACATTAATAAGAAAATACAGTACATGTGAAAACTAGGACAATGAAAGAACTAAGAGTGACGAGAAATAAATAGTTGAACAACACAACTATTCAACATAGTTTATGGTTTATTCAACATAGTTGAATAAATTTCGAAGGTACAATAAATGGCACATGGACTAACCTAGAAAACAATAAATTATATAGCCTAACGGACAATGAAATAGCAATAATCATTAGGCCTATAAATATTTTTATACAAATAGGCTAACAACACTTCAGCGCATTAATAAACACAATGAAATAATAACAATTCAGCGTATAATACCTTACATAGGCCTACACATAAGTTAATATAAATGTTAGGGCCTAGTGCTCATGTAAACATTGTTGTTTACTTTCTGTTGTCATGGAGTATGATCAATAAGTTTAATATATAAAATTTATGAATGAATACTTTTAATACAAACAATACTTTAGTACAAGAACACTTTAAGAGACACATTGCCTTTGTTCAAAATTCAGTCTTGGAATTTAAATTTTGAATAGTTTCCGAAGCAGCCGCTAGGTAGACTATCTCGAACGCACGGCTAAGTCAGCTGACTACTGAGTGAGAGACAGTAAGACAAAGAATCGACAGAGAGAGAGAAGCACGTGACCGTTTCTAGCGGTGGTTGCGTGAAGGTCATTTCGGCGGCAAAATTCCAGTCTATTTTCCATAAGCATTTAGCTTCAACCCTAGTAGTGGCCAATGTTAGAAGTGGGGAATGGCCAACCCATTTTCGCAATTTTGCAGACCTTTTTTTGAAACTTCGTAAGAATTCAACCGTAGGCCTACAAGAAAACCTAGCCAACCTTATATTAATTTTGTTAGGAAAGAATAGGAGAATCTAGAAATAGTAAGAATAGTAGAAATATAGCCTAATAATCATTTAGACAGTGTATTTTTTCGGTGAAGTGAAAAAAATAAAAAAAATATAATCTCTTTTTGAAATTTCAAAAGCAGCCTCGGTAAAAAATTTTCTACAGATTTTTTATGAGAAATTCATTAGGTGGGCCTATATATACATTTTGTAGACAATCTGAATTCCCTAAACTTACATAGAAATAGCCTACCTAGATATGAAGTTTCATTTTATGATTTTGAAAATATTTGAGTTGCCCCGCAAATCCCCCCTTTAAAAGGTAAAGGGTAAAGGGGGGATTTGCGGGGCAACTCAAATATTTTAAAAGTAAACCCCCTTCAAGTGACACCTCATTTTGAAGGGTTTACAAAAACTTAAAGAATGGTGAAAACTAGAGGTTGCTATATCTTTTCTATCCAAAATGGTAGCCAGTCAAATGTTGTGGAAAATCAATAGTAAAATTGGTTCGTAATGGTAATATTGGCTACCATTTTGGATGAAGAGATAGCGAACTATGGTTTTCACCATTCTTTAAGTTTTTGTAAACACTGCAAAACGAAGTGTCACTAAAAGGGGATTTACATTTAAAAGTTTTGAGTGCCCCCCCAAAAGGGGGATTTGGGGGTCACTAAAATTTTTTCAATGTAAACAGGGTTGGTACGGTCAGGGAAAACCTGGAAAACCTGGAAATGTCAGGGAATTTTGTTGGTCTGGAAAAGTCAGGGAATTTTGGAAAAAATCTGGAATTTCTCTTGAAAGACTACATTTTTTACAGATATGCTACATTTTGCATCTACGTCTCAATACTTGGTCAAAAACATCGAAGTTTGACGAAAACATCGATGTAACAAAAACATCGGGAACCTACCATCGATATAAAAAACATCGAACATCAACAGACATTCTGTCATCACCCTCTGATTACTGGCTTAATTGAACGCACCGAGCTCCCAGTGTTTCTACACGACCAAAAGAATATAATCCCGGTCACTTGGTTAAGAAATCCCGTTTAATCCCTTAAGATTTTTGATGTTAAATTCTGAGTGTTGAATTGGACATATTTTGTTTAAATGGTTGTTTTAACATCGCTATTATATTTTGTTAAGGTAATTTTTACGATTGGAGTAAGTTTTTCACTAAAATAAATGCATAGTAAATAAAAACGGACGTCATAGCCAAAACTCCTGTTTTATCCCACATCCCCTTCAAATCCCGCTCATGCTCTAAAAATCCTGTTTTCGGGATAAGTTAATAATCCCACATATGGAAACGGAAACACTGCTAGTACCGCGATGCGCGGAAGAATAGGCCTACATTCATCGTTTCAATTTCAATACGATACTGAATACAATTCCTCATTGAATTTATAAAAATAAATACATCTGCCTTAAAAAATAAGGTTGCCAATGACACAGAAAAAATTATTCAAGTTAAAATTGTATGAGACTAATTAATTTTGATGTTAGCCATATAGATGATTTCTCATTATGGTCAATGAACCTCTTAATGTTTCATGAATAATAATTTTCAAAAAGGATCTGTCCAAATCATATTGTTTCCAAAAGTTCACAAACAATTTTGATAATGTTCCTCTAGAACCAATAAACAATCCAATCACCTCAATTTTCCAAATTTTAAAATTTTGCTTGAAATATTCAAAGGTAGAATCATATTTTTTTTTCTTTTCTTTATTTACTTCGTTAGGTTGATTTATGTTTATTTCAATTGGATCGAGAATTATGCCTTTGTTAGTTTCTCTTTCTATCAATAAAATATCTACTCTTCTGGTGCTTCCGTTAGAAGAAAGACAGTGTACTTCTTCTTGCACTTCCCATGTATTATACCTTTTTCGGAAGGCATTTGCTATGATACTTCTTATTTTGTGGTGCCTAGTGTTTCTTAGAAGTTCACCAAATGGCCAAGGGCATGTGCAAGGGTTTCAATCTCACCACAGGCATGCCTGCAGCGGTTATTGCCCTGACTTCTGCCGTGGAGAACACGCACTGGCGCCACATTTGCAATCATTTTTATACTGTCTTTCCACTCAGATTCTAACAAGCCTTCTTTATTAATAATACTTTTATTTCCCGGAGTCTTTGAAAAGTTCAACACCTTTACCCTTTCAACAACCTTTCAATACTGATTCAACCTTTAATAAACTAAAAAAAACTGCACTTGTAGGAGTTTATAAAAAAATTTTAACCTGTTAGTTGAAACATTTAATAGTTTAGTTTGGTACTACTTTTTGTCTCCGGTACAAGCATGGTAGTTATTTTTCCTATATCACATGTTTCTTCCGATATAAGCCGATGATATCGCAAGCAAAATATCGATATATATCAGTATCATAAGCACCGTATCGTCTATCTGCTAGTGTCAAGTCAAGGCCAAGTAGAACATAAAGTGTGAGGTTAAGTTAGTTGGTACTCTTAATTTTCCAGATTCCAGATGTTTAATTCTTTTCTTATTGGTTTTATGAGTAAACTATTTAGGCCTACATTTTTTCTAATAATTCTTTATTCTGACTATTCGATATTGTCTTACGGTATACCTGGAAAAAGTATAATATCAGTCTGGAAAACCTGGAAAAGTCAGGGAATTTCATTTTCCAAAATCAGTACCAACCCTGGTAAACCACCATCAAGTGACACCTTATTTTGATGTGTTTACAAAAACCTAAAGAATGGTGAAAACCATAGTTCGCTATCTCTTCTCTATCCAAAATGGTAGCCAATATTACCATTACAACCCAATTTTACCATTGATTTTCCACAACATTTTATGGGCTACCATTTTAGATAGAGAAGAGATAGCAACCTCTAGTTTTCACCATTCTTTAAGTTTTTGTAAACCCTTCAAAATGAGGTGTCACTTGCAGGGGGTTTACATTTAAAATGTTCGAGTTGCCCCCCAAATCCCCCCTTTTGGGGGGACACTCAAAAATTTCAAAATCATAAAATGAAATTTTCTGCTAAGATTGCACGACCACCAAAAGGATATCTCTGTATATTTACTTGGAAAAATATTAGATGGGGGGGTCTTGACTTTTTTTCACCCTGTACCTATGTTATAGGTATATAACATGTTAGTAAAATAATTTTTGGGGTGAAATAATATATACAAATGGAGAACCGAAAAAAATGAAAACCGTATACAGTGTTAGTTTTTGTTGTAAAAAGTTATATAGGCCTACCTAACATATGAAGCCTATACTAATAGTGATAGGTATCCTAAATGTTTGTAAAAAGCTAATGAAGTAAGTTAAGGAATCCAAAAAAGTCATAAAGCTTAGGCCTATATGGTAAAAATATTTTTTACTTATAAATGTATGTCGGCTATATAAAATAATGTTTTTATATTTTTGCGATTTTGTGAAAAAATGTTCATCCTTAGTACTTTGTATAAATCTTTTATACCAAATGTGTTTACCTCAAACCAACATAATCATTATTGTAGTGTACCTATTCAATTACCTACATAAAAATTTACAACACGTTGGGTAACAATTTTTGTCTTTATGTGTTAAAGGGGCATACCGGTAATAATAGAGCCCTAATAAACGGAAAACCGCAAAATACAACCGCAAAAAAAATAAGTTAGGCCTAACCTTTTATAAACACAATTCCACACTTTTTAGTAATATTCATGCATAATAAAATGCGTGAAGATTACTGTTAAATACACACACACATTTCTCTTACAATACAAAATAATAACACGCAATGGCGAATGCAAGGCACTTTGTGTATGAGACTGTGACAGTAGTGACGCACTTTCGTCTTCTTCCTGAGAAATAACCCTGAGCGCAGGGCTGTCACTATCACAAGCTACATTTCTTCCTCTTCAAAATGACATAGGCCCTATTAACTTATATGCCTAGTAATAATAACTTATTGTATGTAATTCGTATTTTCTGTACGATCGTCAAGCGACTGTTGGCCATTTGTTATAAATTTTGAAAACCCGCTGTTTTCATAAAATCATACCGGTTGTCCAATCAATATTTCGTTCTAAACTACCACAATGAAGATAAAATCAATGGCTATCCAGTGGTACCACCCGCAACATCCCAAGTCGAAAATTACCAGACCAGGGTAATGCCAAACAAGTTGTGTTTTGCCAGTTCCCAATTGTCGGCTGCAAAAGTCGTGCCATACCAAAAATTCATTTGATTTCTAATCGTCGTGACATTGTTATATACCTGCTACAGTGTTTGTTTATGTAATAAAATAAAAGTTCAGAATGTGATCTTTCGAATGGTAGGCCTATTGTTCTCATCTGAGTTAATTAAGTGTGTTTTTTTACCGTTAAAGTAGGCTAATTTCGGCCCATACAATCGCCTTACAATCCTGGCCGTTCTAAGCATCAACGGTGAGCGATCGTTGGCCACTGCTAGGGTTAAAGGTTTGAATGTTTTCATTAGTAGGTCTATGCCCCTACTTGAAAACTTTGAATTTTACAACAATGTGCCTAGATCAGTTTATCAGGCTAACTAACTTACCAAGACCAAGGCACATGTTTTGCAGCCTAACTTAGTATGTCATGATCTTAACTTTAGCTTTGGCCTAAACGTTTGATGTATATTATAAACAGTGCAATGTTCAATTTATTGGCCTTGAGAAGTAAGTTACCCATGAGGAAAATGTCATTGAATAGGCCTAAATTATGTTAAATTGTATGTATGTTGATGTATATATTTTAAAATTAAACCAGCCAGGGAATAAAGTTAACTTACTCAATACAATTAGGCGTTTCTTTGTAACAACCCTTTTTAACCCTTCCTATTCAACCTTAAAAACGTAATTTCCTAAAGGTCTTTATGCCTGTGAATTTGATTTATTTCTAGAGTTTGCTCTAAAAGATCCATGGGTGCTGACTCTAACTTTCTTAACGGTTCCTTTTAAATGTGTAGGTTTGTTAAACCATCCGTCAGTTTAATGTTTAAGAGGCCTAATCGCAGTTTGAACAAGAGAAAAACATGTTATGAAAATTGAATTTTTGACAGGCTAATTTTGTTGAATGAGGTAGGCTATACGTTAGACTCCATCTTGTCTAGACTCCCCAGGACCGAGGCCAGTCCGAATAATGGGGTTTTCGATTAAGTCTGAAATGAACATTAGTTAACTTTATCTTTGATAGGTAAAAGGACAAGAATAGGATAGCTTATTGTATTTTTGTTTTGCTTTGCAAATAAGTTTTGGTTCTAACTTATTTACAATTGGTTGCACCTGGTGCAATACCCACTAGTCCCCTTGTTTTTAATTATTTATGCCCCAACAATAAACACAATTTTACATTGTTAACTTAGGCCTATGTTTAAAAAACTCAATTATGGCTAAATACAAGATAGATTATTGATAATGTGAAAAACAAATAGCTTTCAACAATTATTGAAATAAGTTGTTGATTCATCTACATGGCTCAAATTTAACAATCTTCTTTGTAAGTTAGATAAGGAAGATTGGCAACATCACCTATGTACTAATAAAATTGTTTTATAAATTCAGTTTTAGAAATTCATTCTAAGTCAGCTAGACCCCTAGCCCCTTACCTTAGAATTCCTTGTGTTGTGTAGATCCTAAACAAATTAAGTCATCTAACTACAGTCTAGTTTGGCGATTTGAGTTAAGTTAACCCTGTGTTGTTTAAGTGCTCTTTGTGAGTTATTTTTATTGAAGGTATATTAACTGAATTTTAAATTAATTTTAATTAAAAATTACAAAGAAAGGTCATTATGGTAGAGTAGGCCTACCTAATTTTATAATCTGGCTTTTTTGAAACAGGAGGTATTTAAAAATGCCTAGGCTATGTTTGGATTTTGTAAACTTAAGTTAGTCAAGCAATTGAAAACAAAATGTATGTAACTAAAAATTTGATTTAAAGCCTTTTTTCAAATTGTAAGACAATATTTTGGTTTAGTAGGCCTAAGCTTAATCTCTTAATAGCTTATTAGGCCTATAGGTATATTCAAAAGTATAGGCCTATAGCAAGTTGATTCTTGTTAACTCTAACTTACACACCTTGGGGAGCGAGCTGGCGTAGTGGTTAGAGCGCGGGACTTCAGTCCCTGAGGTCCCGGGTTCGATCCCCGCCAAGTCACCAATGGATTTTATCTAAGTGATAATGCCGCAACCCCTAGGTCTAGCCTGAAGTAATGTGAAAAACAATTCCAGGCTCGTGCCTAGCGTCCTAGGACAAAAAAAAAAATAAAAAAAAAACTTACACACCTTAGAAACCTTTCATTTCAAAAAAGCTATACGTCACAATTTCCATGGATGGTGTTACAGCAACCAATAACCCTGCAGGCGCTGCAACAGTTGCAAGGAGCGCAGGGCGGCCACCTGTTGTTGAAGACTGAGAACGGCCAGTATCAGTTGCTGCGAGTCGGTCCTGCGCAGACACCAACAGCCGCTATCGCACCTAACAATGCTACCAACACACAGGCCTTCAGAGTGCAATCAGTACCTGCGGTGAGTTTTTAAAAAGCAATCTCAGGTAGGCCTAGTGAGTGACCCTTTTTGATTGATTTTGGACTCGATCATTTAACATTTTAAGAGTGTTTAGAAAAATAACTAAAAGAAAGTAAATTTTGTATAATTGGCTGTAGCCTATGTTATAAATAACTAAAGCCCCTGGAGAAAATCAAGAACAATTTTGATAGGTAGGCTTCCAAGTAATAGGCCTTTAGAGTAATTTTTACACAATATAGGCTATGTTTTATTCCATTATATTAGATGAATTACTGTAGGGTTAGGGTATCTGAAATCATCTAATTAATAGGCCTATTGATAAAATTGAATCTTACCCTTTTACAGTAAAATTAGCCAAGTCCTATTGCCAAAGCCTAGGGTTTTGACTCTAAACCAAATTTATTTGTGTAGACCCCTACTTGATGTTTTACATAATGGGATGAGAAATGAATATGACATATGTAATGCTTTTTTTTAGCTAAATAACAAATGAGGTTATAGGATGCGTCACCAAAATGAAGTCAGTAGCTTAGTCAAATAAAAAAGGTTGCAAGAATTTTCTGTATATGTGTAAATAAGTAATAAAGTTTAACTAGTTGTTAAATAATGATTTGCGTGTTATTTTGAAGGGCGGGGCTGTGGCAGCGACGGTCCAGACGCAGGTTCCTGCTCTCACCACACAGTCCACGGCCGCTGCTACAGCGGTAATGTTTCCGATATCTTACTAGTAGTAGATAGATAGGTAGTGTACCTTGATCATGAAACAGTACCGTTGATGTCAAAAACGTTCCATTATTGTGGAGTTGCTCAAGGTAAATGTAATTTCATTTTGGTTTTTATTTTAAAAATAGTCATAACTTGTTCAGTTTTGAGGACAGTAGGCCTAGTATTCAGACCCATTACTGTATTCAAAATTGTGTCAGAATTGTTAAAAAAAATTGTGTAAATAATTTAAATTAAAATACTTAGTATGAAATATGTGGCACATTGTTTTGGGTTTGTCCTTTTTTGTCGAACTGAGATTTCTATGTACCTACGATATTCTATAGCCTACCGCAGCTGTTTTATTGGGTAGGCCTAGTCTTAGGTGTATTATGCTATCTTATCTTGTTAACTGAAAATAACTTAATACTTAGCCTACGGATGTTTCTCTTTTATAGGGTGGAGTTGATCCCTTTTCATGGCCTTTTGTATTTCCTTTTTCAAACATAAGAGTGGATCTCTTTTGGGAACTTGCATGATTTTATACCTAAAATATGAAAGAATATTCCCAGTAGGTTATAATATTAAAGTGTAGATTCTGAACTATGGTCAGAAGACGTATTATGCATTTGCATTTTTATTTCCCCCTTAAAAAAATCCATTCTTAATTATGGTTTTTCAAAGAGAATTTAATTAGTTAGTGCTTAAATGAAGTTGTTAACTTCGGTGCTATAATGCCATAATATTTATAGGCGACACCGCAACGCCACCCGTCCGCAGATACGGTGAAAGAGAAATGCCGTAAGTTCCTAGCCAACCTGTTGGAGTTGTCCTCGAGAGAGCCCAAGGCGGTAGAGCGCAACGTCAGGACACTTATCCAGGAACTTGTCGACACTAAGGTGGAACCAGAGGAGTTCTGTGACCGATTGGAGAGATTACTCAATGCCTCACCACAGCCTTGTCTCATTGGATTTTTGAAGGTGAGTTGATAACTTATCTTTTGTGTTACAATAAAAAATAATTGGTTTTGCTTTTAGATTGGGAACATAGCTGTAAAGTTTTTTTTTATAGATTACGTGCTTAAGATTTCTTTTGATAACCCTCCTGCAGGTAAGCTTAGAGCTTCAATGGTCGTTAAATCTATATATTTAATACACAGTTGTAACACTGTTTCCTCAGTTATTCCTGGACCGATCTACAAGATGTATGTCTCAAATTAAAGGATACAATGCATAGATTTGCCGAACTTCCTTAGAATTTACGTTTTTTCTAAGGGCTAAGCACTACAGCCCTTCAAAGGTCGAGTCAATACAATTCTTATGGAAGATTATAATACACATTTTATGAATGATTTGTCAGCTGTTTAATGTTTGTCAGACATTTGTTATTATTTTTATAACCTCACTTTCGGTATGTAATTATTAATCTAGAAGTTCCTGTTATAAACAGACACGATTTCGATCAAGGAAAACTGTATTTTGTTAACTTATTATACCAAAATGTGTTATTTAAACAATATTTGTAGCCTATGTTTTGGTGTAAATTTTGTATTTTCGTATACTGTATTAGTTTTCCTGCGAACTGATTTGAAGGAAAGTGCTAATTGATTTTAGGTTTTAGTATGGAACATGAAATAATACCCAAAGTAGGGGACGAAAGGTTTGAGTATGGAACATGAAATAATACCCAAAGTAGGGGACGAAAACTGTTTATTCCGATCAATATAATTTATTCCCTACGGCCACCAGAACAATCATAGTGAAATCCGCTTGCAGGTTGTGTAGAAAATTGCTTATGTGTGGGAAACATACAAACATTTTATCATAGGTGATCAATATTACTCAAGGTAAGTGTTTGGCGTTAAGCAGTACCAAACTTTACCTTCTGGAGATGGCGATTACGAATACGTGTAACTACAATATAAATTTGTATTTTCGAAATGTGTTACTTTTCATGCAAAATGATCCAAAGGAAAGTGGTAATTGAGTTTGAGTTAGGGAATGGATGGAACGTGAAATTATACCGAAAGTAGGGGACGGAAACTGTTTGTTTCGATCAAAATCATTTATCCCACCAGAACAATCATGGGGAAATCCACTTGCAAGGTGTGCAGATAATTGCTAATGAGTGGGAAACATACAAACATTTTATCGTAGGTGATGATGAATCTTACTTAAGATCAGTGTTTGACGTTCAGTAGTACCAATCTTTACCTTCTCGAGATGGCGAGTATTCTAGATATGTAGAACTACAATTTATCAGTGAACTATACCCTAACTATTTTTTCCAGTAGGCACACAGGGAAGTTGCTTGAGAAACTGTGACTTACAATTTTGGTTCTGGCGAAAAAAGTGTGTGATTTGATGTTTAAAGGCAAATTTGACTCGGGTCATTACAGTGTTATACAACTTTATCATAATCCCCAGGGTGTGAAAAGTACAAAAAGAAAAAGAAAAGGTGGAAACTGTGCGTAAAGAGACAACCAGAACGATAAAAACGTGGGGAGCCATGGAACTAAAAAGTAAATAACAGTGATGGTGTTAAATGTGCTCTGGAAGTTCCTAAAAAAAAAACGCCTACTCTTTTGAATTGGGGTCGTTGGATTGGATTTGTTACTACTGCAAATCTATGAATTTAGAGTCAGAACAGACTAACAGGGACACGACACAAGTATTTTCTCCTTATGTTGTCACAAGGGGAAGGTAAAATTAGCTCCTTATCGACATTCTGAGTTCATAGAAAATCTTATCAACATGGACTACATAGGCTATAAATAAAATAAAAAAGAAACAAAAAAAAAACTATTTGAATAATATAAGATCTTACAACTCTGCATTTGCAATGCAGTCTCACTTAGATGAATCATCATTCTGGTAGTATAGGCCTATATAATTTTAAGATCCGGGGCTCCGTTTACCATCGGATTCGTTAATACCCTCTAACATTGAACCAAAGTATGCCCAACTTTATATTATAGCCTATACGACGTATACGCAGCTGTTACTTACAGAATAGGTCAAAGATCCGTGAAATGCGGCCAACTGCTGATGCGTGATTTAAATTACTATCTTTATTCCGCACAACGAATGTAATGAACAAGAAAACAACGAATGTAGGAATATAAAATAACAAATTATCTCCATAGCATAAGTAGCTTATTAGGTTATCAGCATTGTGCAGTTCATACACCATTTATTTTTCAAATGTAACTCGAATTAATTTAAAACATTAATTTGGTTAAACTAATATATTGGTTTGATTAACATAAATTGTTTATACAGGCCCAACTATCCGTTCTACTTCATATAAAAAAGCAGTCCCTAAATAAAATACAAAGATAAACAGTATTTGTTAATTATTAATGTCTTTTATTTTATCTATTTTTTTTTTTCAATTTCTAATATTATTAATTCCTGATAGCGGAAATCTCTCACGCACGGGTAGTAGCCTATGTGAGAGGCATTTCATATTTAATGACTATGTTAGTATATTATTTTATATATTTATATCATTGCATAACTATGAAATTTTTACTGGCAAAGTATTGTAACAATGTATTTACTTACTGAAATAAACATGATTTTGATTAGATTTTATTTGATTTGACAACATTCCCGTGGCAGAGCACGGGCGGCTAACTAGTTATATAAATTATAGGAGGAATACCGTGTGCCCTTTGTAATAGGACCTTCCACACAATGCTTGCTGCTCAGACTCTTCCTTGCTCATAACAAGTATTTTGACCTAGTGCGTATGTAAATGCACACACAACATACTAGAGCTGACAGGGCACGATTGTCTCATGTACTTTACTTCTCTGTGGTTAAACCTAACAACACCCAAATATGTTAATTTGAGGTTTGATTATAGTCAAAAGACAACATATTAGTCTTAAGGTTTAAATAACTTCAGGGTGAGGCTTAAATAAGGTGAAGAGACATACTACACACAGTGGTGTATGTCTCCTCAGGACTTCCTACAACAAACTGCAACTTTTCTAAAGTGAGGTTTGAGGTTTTAAGAAAGTTCACGTCACACTTGAATAATGGCCTCTCTCAGGAGATAAAAGCTCCAATTTCTACTCCTTCAAACCTGCAAGAATGAATGCCAGAGTATGATTTATTCTGGAATTGCATTTGTATTTTTGTATATGTGGGTAATCTAGCTAACCTAGCATGGATTATATTTTTGACTGAGTATTATAAATATTTAAAATACAAAATAGCGTAGGCCCTAACCCTTGGAAAAATATTCTTGAAACCTGGCTATTTCAATGTTTAAAGTTACTCATATATATCTTTAATATTTTCATTTACTAATCACAACTTTACCTTACAGAAAAGTTTACCACTCCTGCGCCAGTCGATGGTGACCAAAGAGCTGATTATAGATGGTATCCGGCCTCCACCTGCCAGTGTCTTGTACAATCAGCAGACGACGGTCGTTCAACAACAGACTTTACAGGTACAAAATCTGAACAGACATAAAATATGCTTTTGACTCATTGCCTGATTGTTAACCGTTCCTGGGAAGGTTACGTTCTGTGGCAAATATTGGAAGCTGATCAATTAATAATAAATTTTCAGCTTTGTTTGTACATATGCTTGTATATAACAGCATGTAGGAAAGGACTCATAAAATAGCATGTCTGAACATTCCTTCATTTACTCAACAAAAAACATTCCCAAAACCCTCTTAAAATCCACAAAAAATTGGGGTTTCTAAAAAAATGATTTAATTAAATTGTTTTGCAACTGGGTTGAAATCAGAACTTACTATTTCCATGCAGTTAGAATAGGACGAATTTAATTAAAAAGGAATATTTAGGATGTCCATTCAACAGAGTTGTATGAAATAATGTTTAGTTACGCAAACCAAGATATATTTGTCACATAGCTGCTGTAGTAATTTTCACGTACAAACTTTGAGGCCTCATAGTATTTCACCACTCACTTGCACCTCCACTAGAGACACGTAAATGTAGCTTATAGAGGATTTTAGTGGAGTTTATTGCTTATAGAGCTAGAATTTCTCTACATAAAGATTCAAATTGTTCATATAAATTTTATCCTGTTGTATTCCTCTACTAGTTTTTTTTTTTTTTCTTGAGGAAAAACACTTGGCTTAGGAATACACTAAGGAAGAAGGAATCAATACACATCTTGTACACAGGTACGAGAATCGTACTTGTACGGGGAATCGTACACATCAATACACATCTAAGTTTAACTTACCTAAGAAAAGAGTACCTGGTAGCCTAGTTAAAAGGATACAGAAAAACAACTCAATAAACTTGATATTTTTGCCCCTACAAGGGGTAGAAAGAAGTTGGATGGTTCAATGTTTAAAGTTCTTTTTTGTTGTGCCTTCAACTACTGGTATCTGGAACTCTTTTCACATAGGTAAGTTAATTGAGTAGGTCTACTTATTCCTTCTATACTAGTAGGCTATTTTGTAATTTCCATCTTCTTGGACTTGAGTAAACTAAGGACTGTTCTAAAAAATTGTGAAATAAAAAGCCGGTTGACAATAGATAATCTGGCTTGTTGAGAACTATGATAGAGCTAGAGCCGGATTTATGAATGCTTTCTGAAAATTGCCGCTAACATTAGGTTAGCAGAAAAACTGCATCAATTTGAGAGGTCAAAAAAGCATTTTCAGTGAATGTTTGACCAGCTAATTGCCTCAAACTCTTCGTTCCCGTCATCTACTGAACACCTAAAGGGCTGTTACATTCTTAAACCGATGCCAAATTATTGAATGTGCCGGATTAGTGAGATTCCAACTAGGATATTCTTTTAAAATAATATTTTTCCCAACTTCACAGTATAGTTGTATGTTGTGTTGGTAAATAATTATACAGGTATAACCAATCAGACCCATACTAATATTTTTATAAACTGTACAAAGTAAACAATTTCTCATTCATAAAATTAAAAAAGAAAGAATGGAGAAACTTGCTCAAGAATAGTCGCAGGCAGTTGACAGCTCATAAAATTTCATGGCACAATTATTTTGATTTTTATCCCTACCAAGGGGTGACATCACAAGGGAGTGGTGCTAGAACTCTCCTCATGGGTACTAAACATCAAATTAATTTTGTGTTGTGAGTTGTGAAATTTTGATGTGTTGTCAACTGCATGAAACTCTTTCTTGAGAAAAATAGTTGTGTATCCATTCCTTCTACCTTAACTGATTCCCAAGCCAACTGCTTATCCTCTAAAAATCCCTCATAACATCATGTGATATACATGACATGAAGCGTAGAATATCATGAGCTAACAGCGTGTACAAGCCTACTTGTTAGGTGTGTGGATGCTAGCATGTTTTGAGTGTTGGGTGTGGTGTTAGCAAGGGCAGGTTCGACCGCAGCAGCCTCCGCAGATGAGAGTGATTACGCAGTCAGCTGCGACTACAGTGTCCGGCACGCCTCCCCGGCCGTCACCAGTGCAGCATCGGATAGTTACTGTGAGTATCTAGTCTGCGGTTATGAGACTGTCGCTTCACTGCCTCTTGAGTTTCTGTACAGTGGAACCTCACTTTAATAAAATTTAGGGATAAATTAGTTTAGCCTATTTGGAATTGCACAGGATATCTGTGTTCTTTATTTCGTTTACTCCCTTCATTCTAGGCCCCCCTGTGGGATGATAAGTTTTGCGTATCTGAAAAAATGACAAATTCCTACGATTAGAATTCTCTGGTCTAATATGTCAAATACTATTAACACTTTTTTTGTTGGAAAAAGGACAACGACATAACTTGAAACACTCAACACAGTAACAAATTCTCTTAAAAATTAATTTTGTAAAGGGAAAGATCCTTTTAACATACTTAAAATAAATCCTCCTTTTGCAGGCCTGACGTTCAGTTTTTTTACTTGGACATAAAAATAGTGCTGAATTAGTGAGATTCTACTGTATATAAATTAAAAAGTTCAAAATAGGACCTAGTCAAGTGAAACTTTTTTCTTACACTAGATTTTTTCCTCTTATGTTTCTTATTCTTTTCCAATTGCCTTTCACTTCTCAGTGCAGCTTTGATATGCTTATGTCAAGATAATTTTAATAAAAAACTGTTATCCTACATGATTAATTAAATCAGTTTGAAACACAAAATAGTTAAATAAGTTTTTAAAAAGTGCAAATTTATTGTGAAAATTGTAACTTTAATACTAAGTCTATTTTAGAAAAATCTAAGTTTGTAAAAAACTCGAAATAAAGGCTATTTTTCTACTAATACATAAATTCTTTTATGATAAGTGGTTTTACCTTTTATAATGTAACTTAGATAAAAATAGTCCGTTACATTTACAGGGTGAATTTACAGTTTGTAAACCTTTTCCTGCGACAAAAAAAATTATAATCCAAGCATATGGGGTTAAGACCGCTTTCCCAAAAGGTGTTGGTGTACCTCTGATTCTTCCTCTTTTTGTATATAAATGTAAATCAAATATAAGAAATACAAGTGCTAAAGAAATAGAAATACAAGACGGTTTAGTAAAACCGTCAATTAAAACCCAGCATTCCACAGCCTTAGGGCACTCAAAGAAGTGCTATGTTACTGTAGACAAACGCTATGTCAAAGTATTATTTCATGTTTAGTATAATTAGTAGTTTATTTTTAATTAGGCTAGTTCAACTTTTATGGTTTTTTAAAAATAAATTTACAGTAAACTTTGGATTATCTGCTGTTGGTTTATCTGTTTTGTACAGGCTCCACATTATAGGCCTATATAGGCTGATTGTGTTTGTTTGCTAAAGCAAACTGCCAAGTTTGCTTAAAAAAAGGTAGTAATTTCAATCAGTCCTCTCAGACCTCTTAATAATCTCAAAACTCATTATTAGCTACTCTTTAATTTTTACCATTTTTTGAAAGAGGGCCCCAAGATCCTCCAGGAAGTAGGGAAGGGGTAAAACTGTTTGCAGGATGCCGATTACCCTAAACCAGGGCTTGGGTGCCTGTAGTAAAACATTTTTTATTCAATATGAGGATTGGCTGAGAAGACCAGATTTATTATGGATTTTTTTTGCTCAGAGAAATATCTCCTGAAACTTCTGATATAATAATGAAAATATCACTATGTTACTGCTGAACAATTATTGAGTTACTATGATACAACTTTAGAACCAACTGTAGCAGTTAAATCCGTATTTTCTCCCCCATTTTGAGTTTAGTGTGAAGATATCCGTTTTGGGCAATCTTGTGGCTTTATCCATGACATTTTTCGCAGTGTTTGCACCAGTCTACATTGCAAACAGTTGGGAATTTACTGTAATGTATAGTCCAAGCTCATCCCGTAAACTACTATTGTTAGTTGTTCCTGTTCTATACTAATGTACCAATAATAAAGATGAACATGTTATTATGTTATATTCATGGATAAAAACAACTGACATCTATATAAAAATCTATAATCAACTTTAAATTGAAATTTTGTTGAGTATTATATGATTTTTTGGACAGAAAACTTCTTTATGAAAATCATTAATTTTTACACTACACTATAAAAGTGTTATTTAACAACTGCATTTTAAAATGAGATCATTTGTTAATTAATATATTTTCAATTTTCATGCTTTGCTGAAGTATTTACAGGTAAATTCCAAAGATTTTATTGCCTGACAATTAAATAGAAACGTTTCACGAGAAACAAAAAATATTGCATGAGTTTTTGGTAGTATTTTATGCATGAAAAACAAACGGTTGATCTGCAATATTATACAATATTCAATTTCATCAAATTAAAATACGAATTTCTATGAACTACGCACTCTTAAAGAATGGTGTATCGCCTTGAAAAAACTTACATTTTAATTCTTTTCTACACTTGATTTCTACAGAAAAGCAAGTACAGAAGTATGGTCTTTATTCCATACTTTCAAGACTCAAGAAATTGTTATGAAAGCAATTGACTTCTGCTAGCATACCTGTGAAAATCAGTCATTAAAATTTCAAAAATTTTTATTTTGAAGGAGTAATAAATGCATGTTAATATGGTTTTATCGAAATGAAAGCATGCTGTAGTAGTGCTTTGGGTATTATTTAGTAATGTAAAATATTTTGGTCTCTATTATCAAAATGATTTTTTTGTAAATACTTAAAAAAAATATACAGTACAAACAGTTATTTGTAACAGTAGGTATAACTAACATGAAAAATGCAATTGTTACAACTTTTTAGGTTTATTATAATTACTACTGGCACTGTACTTGCAATTGTAAGGATAACATCTAAATAAAAAAAACCTCTAGTTATTTTCTGTTTCTAAATGCTCCTCACAATTTAAACAGGTTTTAATATGGCACGGCTAGTTTAGGCTATCCAAAGCTATCAAATTTAGGGAAAAGTAGGCTTTTTAGTTGGATATTTTACAATGTTGGATACACTGAATATATTCAATGTTATGATACACATAGTTATTAAGAACAACACTTTATGTCATTACTCATACTCAAGTTCATCTTAAGTTTTAAGGAACATTGTCAGTATTGTCACGTAAATGTGTGATTCCTACTCAGTTACAAATTTTAATGTACTTTTTGTTCACTGGTTAATTATTTGTTTGTGATTTTGTTTATTTTTGTTTATGTACTATGATAAGAGGGAAGTGTATATTTAAATCCATTAGTTAGTTTATTAACTTTTATAGTTTTGTCTTACAACACTTCTACTAAGTTTTTCAGGTGATAAAAACTCAATGAGTTCCAAAAAGAAAATTGTGATGTGTTGTTTTATATCAATAAATCTACAAAACAATTTCCTTAAGACAATTTTGTACAGCTGTTACTGTTGTTCTGTTTATTTCAATATTTATTTACATCAATTTTTTTGTCAATCATTTTATTTTAAAAGTTTTGAGTATTTTTAATAGTTACATTTATTGATGCAATAAGCATTATTTATACCACTCTTTTGCTTGAATATTTTAGTCTTGTTAATTTTGGATGTTGTGCGAGAAGTGTAAAGCATGCTAGAATCTAAACCAAAGAAAGTGAGTTTTGTGTATATTTTATGATGTTTGTGCATTTAGATTTTTTAATTTTGCTCCAAATGGTATTTCAGTGTTGCATGATTTATTATTGGGATAATTTGCACGAGAGTAAAAGTATAGCTTTGTATTATAAATACCAAGACGTGTTAGTGGTATTCATAAAAGATGTTACTAAGTTGTTAGATTGAGAAGAAGAAAATGTCTAAATTCCTTCAAATTGGTAGTCTAAATTTAATTTTGTAACTTACATAGATGCCTAGTCTACCTAATGTTATTAGTTATTACTGTAATATTTTTTTCATTCTTTTCATTTATGGTAATCAACAACTTGGTATGGTTTAGTTTTCTGTGTGCATTTTCTTATTAGTTTTCAATTACAAAATACAATTTGCCTAGAATAAGCATAAACTAAGATTATTAAATAGTACTCACATTTTGGGGTTTAAGAGCAATATTATTCCTAAATATAATTTGACAGTAAAATCACTATTTCATTGAAAAACCTCATAGTGATTTTCTTTTCTTTTTTTTAACTGCAACAGGGCTTTGCAATTGTGTGATCATAGTAGGCTAACCAATAACAATAATTTAGCTGATATGAACAAAACTAGTTTATTTGTAGTGTAAAAAGAATTCAGTGTGCAACATGTTAATTTTGCTGTTTAGGCTATTGTGATTGTGTTCTTAAGTTTAATCCTAAATTGATGATTTGTCTTAATTCATCATCTATATATAGCTAGTACTGTCCCTTTGATGCCAACATGTTATCATTCACAAAATATCACCTACCTCGCACAGTAGCAATCCTGGCAAAGTACCATACTCTTATCTCCTAAAGCTTGATCTTGCTTTTGTCTATGCTTTGAATTTATAAATCATATTTTCAGTTTAAAAATACATTTTTGGTGAAGTTACAGTACAAATTATTAGACGAGAATCAATTAAACTGTAGAAGAAAAGTAGGCATTTGAGAAAAGATCTATTAATTGCCTTCCAAGCAAACAAAGCTTCATGTAAATTTTTTGTAATTGTTTTAAACCTAAATTAAATTAGTAATGAAAGTACCTAATAATATTTCTAGATAGATATGTCTTGATTGCTATTCTAGATACTGATTGGCTTTAAACGTGTTGGTAGTGTACTTTTGCAAAAATTATATTAGTATACTCCATTAAATATTTGTCCATATGAATTTGAACAGTTAGTTAAGTTTTATGAAGCTCATGTTAGATGCACATAATTGTATTTTGGGTGATTTTTGAAGTGATGGAAGTAACTAAAACGTAAATGATATTGTTTATTAACAATCTAAACTCAATTCCACGTTCACCTATGATATAGTCATAGGTCATAGTAAATGAATAGTGAGAAAATTTTACTACAAACAAACAGTAATGGAAACATGCAGGTTATGTTAACTGGTCTCGCCATCTATCGCGCTACATTCTACATATTTACATCTTTATGATTAATATTAAGATCAATTAATTGATATTTTGACGTAATAATTTTTATTTTGACAGTTGTATAGTCAAGATTAGTTTTAAAACCTGTATAGAAAACGTAAAAATATAGCAGCTTTTAGATGTTTTTATTACGACTAGTATTGCCAAAAGTACCATTTAAAATATATGGCTATGGGCTCTGCATATGCCTACTCAGCGGTGAACGTGAAATAGATTTAAGTCACACAACTACTGTATACTAGGGCCGGAAATTATTTTAGATACTTTGTTTTATCCCCCCAAACTATAAAAAAATGGAAGTTATATTTAAAAATTGTAAATATGTATTTTTTAAAAGCTTGTCCAGAAAGATTACTTAAGTGTAAATACATAACTTTTGAGCCAAATTTTCTGCCTTACTATCTCAAGATGCAAAGGAAAGAGAAGAAAAGTGTCCAGTTTAGTCACACACAAGACTTGCTGTTATTGATTTTGATGGTTTTTAACAGCCTGCTGATGTGTATTCTATGATGTTTTAAATACTTACATATACTGTACATGACTTGGGTGTTGCTGACTAATAATGTTTGATACAGCCAATGCGAGTGCCAGCGCCCGGCACCAAGGTGGCTCCAGGCACACCCATCGTTGGGTTGAGGCCGCAAACAGCGACTGCGAATACCGCTATCAGAGTGCAGACGCCGATACGGACGAACCTGGCCAAGCCCGGGGTCCCGGCGGTAGGCCTCAAGCCTAACCAGCTGCTGGCCAAGGCCACCATAGCCACTCGACCAGTCGGCACCCCTCTGGCCACCACGTCTCTCAGACAACCCATCCACCCCTCCCCCTCCATACTGCTCAAGGCTGTGACCGCTACCAAAGAGAAGGAGAAGAAGAGCTATTCCTCCAGCGGATACACGTAAGTAACTCACCTGGTTGTCGAATATATTGAGCATGATCTATTATGCAATACATATTATATCATACGGTTATATCATATGACTAGGACGGGTGGTGTCATCCTGTAATCCAGCTATTAAGAGGTCACGAATTGTGGATATTTATAGGCATGCACTGTGGATGCGATACTCCCTGGTGTGGATTAACGTCCGCACGAGTGAGTACTATGACTATCCGCAGTACTATCCTGATAATTAGACCAATTCGTATATACCAAGGAAAAATGTGGTTCGGATTCCACTATAAACTGTAGGTCCCTTAGTTGCCATTAGCTGTATGGGCTATTAATTAACAGCTGTGTCGAAGGAATGTCGGCATTAGACACTAACAAGACTACAAGATCGCGTCACTCATCCTACACTCATCTCCATTCATACTTGGCTTAAAATACCTACTATGTATGGTCGCCATTTCATTGAACAGTATTAACAGTATTGTAGACTAAATCAATACAGTGCATACCTGCATACTCAGCACCCAATAAACATCGTACTCCAGATTTCTCACATTTTTTTCACAAGCTAGACTACTGCTACTTCTTTCCATCCTTTTTATGTTACCAATCCATCAAACTCAACCCTTTTTTTACTATTCAAATATTGTCTTGTAACATCCAGAGTGTTATGAACTTGTAGCGTCTCCGCTACAAGCGGAGTGTGTTTGTACCGAATGTAGCCGTGACGTCACAAAGACCACTCGCGACGGTCACGGTCACAATAGCTAGATGCGCCCGCACCCCCAAATTCATCTAAATATGATTTGAGCAGCGACAGGAAATGTGCGCGATTTGGCGGTGATTGGTGGAAGGTCCCAGGTATCTTAATTAACAATCGTTCAACCGCATTTCGCCACAAACTGTAAGACTCACATAGTTTTATCAGATGGTAAGTGACAGTGATGATTGATGTTGAGTGTTGTTGTAGTGGTGACGATGACATCAATGACGTCGCTGCCATGGGAGGAGTCAACCTGGCCGAGGAGACCCAGAGGATACTCGGGTCCACAGAGTTTGTCGGCACCCAGATAAGATCTTGCAAAGACGACATCTACCTTCATTCCACCCCTTTAATACAAAAAATTAGTCAAATCGGTGAGTAAAAGCAATGTCCACTGTTTGTGTTATTTATTTTACACATTCTATCTATTTACCGTGGACCTGCTGTAGCCAATTTTTTAATCAAACGAACATAGTTAAATGAGCCAATCACAGAGTTTGTGCTTTAAATTATATTTTCTCCCTTAGTTTTTTGTTACTTAGATAGTTGATGTGGCATAAAAGACCATATGGCTTACCTAACAGTTTGACTTGGTAAAAAAGTTGGCGTACTCGACACAAATGAGTTATCTGCATCTTAACACTCAGTCAGTCTGTGGCTCCAATCAATTTTTACCACCTTCATAAAAAAAACTTACAACATTAAACGTGAAACATTTACTGATTATTCCCCTGCCTACGAGCCTTTTCAGTTTTGTGAGTTCATGTGTATTGTTTGTTACAGCGGCAAAACATGGGTTGGAAGAACCAAGCTCGGAAGTGGCAGCTCTCATATCACATGCGACCCAAGAGAGATTAAAAAACATTGTTGAAAAGCTAGCTGTGATAGCCGAACATAGGATAGATCTAAATAAAGTAAGTAAAATTGACAGTCAATTAACTCTTACTCCAGAAAGAATTCTTAAATCTTGAGATTTAATTTTAATTGAGTTAGATAAATAAATTTACTTAACCTACCAGAATTTATTGTAAACTTTTCCCTTGTTCATCAGTTTTAAGACCAATCCTAATTATTATAGCCTAGTTCCTTATTATTCAATTCAATTCAATTTAAAAATATCTATTCATTCAACAATACAGCAAAATAACAATTGACAAATAATATACATCACATAGAATACGAGACATAAACCAATACAAATTGAGAATCCTTCATTTTCTCGTGCTGAGGAACCATTACAATCTAAAACAAGTACTGGAGAACAAAAACAAATAATACATATCGTATGTATAAAAATAAAACGTAAATAATGTCAAATTTGTATTCAAACAATTTAAAACTATGGAAGAAATGTTTTTCCACAGATTAAAATAAAACATTTAAGTGATAAATAATAACAATAAAATACAGTACAGGAAAAAATAAAACAATGTGTACTTCCATTTACAACAACTAGGACAAAAATGTTCCAACTCCAGGAAAAGTAAAAAGCCGCTTCTTGTTTTCATAAAATTAACTTTTTCTTGTCACTGGATTATTATCAGTAGTCATCACTGTGTAGCCATTTGCAAAAATTAAATACATTTATTTATTGTAAAGTTTATTTCCATAGCCAATATAGATTAACAATATATGTGTTGTTACAGCTGGACCCTAGGTACGAGCCTACGCAAGATGTCCGAGGGCAGCTCAAGTTTCTGGAGGAGCTGGATCGTGTTGAGCGCAAGAGACACGACGAGCAGGAGCGAGAGTTGTTGTTACGAGCCGCCAAAAGTCGGTCAAAGTCTGAGGATCCGGAACAGGCCAAGCTGAAGGCTAAAGCCAAAGAGGTCAGTGAAACTATAAATACAACATATCCTCCCTCAGGATTATTCCTTTCTTTTGCTTCTTTCCTGGATTGGTTAGGTGTGGACCCTGTTCTAGGAACTGAGCCACTACTCCAGCCAACCCTAATTTCTAAATATTATCAACCCAATAATAAAAATGATCCCTTTATGGGTGAAGCTGCTTATTGTTGGATGGTGCCTGGTAACTCACAGGTACCATTCAAGACACCAGGTAAATGGTGTCGTTCATCCTTTAGCACATAACATAGGGAAAGCCTTGTTTGGCTTGGAACCAAAAGCAGAAGAAGGGGGGAGGGGCAGAAAGGTGGATGAAGATCAAGCAGGAGGCAAAAAAAAAAAAATAAATAAATAAAAGATCAATGTAATAATAAGTGGAATAACATGGATTTATAAGAAGTCCAAAATGTGCCCACTAGGTAATGGATCAGCCAAGCTAATTTTAATATGGTAGAAAGTTTACATCCTGTTTGTTGTTGCACTTTTAACTAATTATTGTTGTTTTAAAGATGCAAAGAGCTGAGATGGAAGAACTGAGACAAAGAGAAGCCAATCTGACAGCCTTGCAAGCCATTGGACCTCGGAAAAAACCTCGACTGGACGGCTCAGACTCCTTCTCCATGGCCGGCCAGGTAAGATTTAAAATCCTTTTTCATACAACACATGTGTATAAACTGTCCAAAATTTAACAGAAATGCTTTTTAAAGCAGTCAATCAATTACACTTTTATCTAAAAGAGTTGGATAAAATCTTTGGCATCCAAAACTTTGTTGAGCCAATGGTAAACTGCTTTACCGAGAATTATATAGTTTAGAGGAGGTATTGGTTGAGGTTGCATGTTGTTATAGGGTAAGGCTCCTATTATATATGTTGCAACTTTGCTTTAGAAACTTTTATTCAGCCCAGTTTTGCCTACATTTTTTAGTAGGGCTTAAACTAAATACTAAATACTCTGTTACAATGAGAGGGACTACTGTAGTGGATTTTCAAACCAATGAAACATACTACTATAACATGTAAGGCTTCAATAAAGAACGGGATACCAAGTTTAATAGAGTGTATGGTAGGATTTGGTCTATTCTACAATGTTAAACAATACATTATCCTTAGAAATTAAACTACACACTAACACAAATGCAAACACAAAAGGCCACAACATAACATCATGATATTTTGTCCTAACAAACTTCTTCTTTAGAGAATAGATTGATGATATAGTACTATAATAAATATTTACAGAGGGAATTTAAGATCTTCCACTGATTTGTCACTAAATGCTGAATGTTACAGTCATTTTTTTGTAGTACATAAACAAAATCAAGTCCCATCGCATGTAAATGTTAAAGAATTGCAATAAATTTAGTTTTCACCCAAGTTTCTAGCATTTAACAGATCCATAACTCTTCTTGGAGCAAAGTTGTAACACATACTGCAATATTGGCCTTTGAGCTGCTTGGGAAAGCCTTTACAACTAATTGTATACTATTTTGATATACAGTATTTTGACTAGAATGTGCTTGCTTTGAAAGTGTTAAATTAAGCTCTTTCAAACAGATTTTTTTCGATAAGAAATTTACATACTACTGCTCTTTTTTGTTAGGAGTTTAAATTTTTTCACACGCTAAATAAATGTATGGATTGTATCTCGAATTTAGATGTACACAGAGCAATTAAATGGTCTATATAAAAATCATGCAAGACTAGTGATGCCTTTGAGAACTGTTTGTAGTGCGTAGAAAATACTGGTAACAAGGGGTGCACTTGATGATACGAGATTTTAGGTGAAATGTTTTTGTTAAGATTACAAAAATTAAAATTGCAAAGTGATCAGACCCTGTTAAAAAAATTTTTTCAAGGAAATGCTCAACTAATCTGCCATCATACACAAGGTATATTTGTATCTTTAGTGATCTATTAAAAACCAGTAATGTAACGGTATAAGTCAGACAGTAAGCCGATGGTGATCACAATTATTCAGCTGGTCTAGAACTAATGTCAATTCTCGCTTAACAATCCAAGCATTACCACTGAGCCATCAAAGGTGGTAATTGACTTGTATATAGGAGGATTTATAGGAAGATATTATTGTAAAAAAATGTGTATGGTTTATTTTAAACCTAACAAAATCAAAGTTTAATTCATAGTAACAAAATATAGTATATTGTAAGACAAAATCAATTATTTGTAGGAATTTGTAAAAATAAATAAATTAAAGGACATGTTTTTTTTTTTTTTTTTTATGACGAAGATAATTTCTAATCAACTAGACCTAAATTTTAGTAAGGTTTTTTTGTGCACTTTCTAAAAAAAAAAAAAAAAACTGCTCATATTTTACCAACTATACTGTACCATGTTCAGTTACTTAGGCCTATTACAGTTTATTTCATTCAGGCGTACAAATTATTTTCTATAAATAATTTTTAAATTAAGAATTTCTACTTAACTGCATGACTTTAGAAACTGATGGAAATTTGGGTGTAATGGACTGTACATTATTGTGCTTCATTATCTTTCTGATCAACCATTCCATTCTACATTTTACATTGTGATGTATTTCTTCTCACCTTTTCCATCCCAATCCTCTGTGTTGATTGGTACATATTCAACTTCTTCCATGACTCTCGTTCTTCTCATTCATTGTCTAAATAGTTTCCTTGGTGCTGGCTATGGTTGGTTCTTGACATTGTTGGTGATGGTGGAATCGGTTCGTCTCTGTCGTGTTGTTGGAAGTTATAGGTTTTTCCGATTGTTTCAGGCCGCTAGTAGTTCCTCCACATCAAATAGCAGTATGAACAGAACACAAGTAAGTGGAATCCTACTGGAATATCTGCATGCCATGAACCGAATTTCCAAACCCGCTTATAAAATTGCCCTTGTCTTTTTATTGATCCGTTTCTTAAGGAATTTGAGTTGGAGAAAATTTAAAGTTACAACTGTCCATTAAAATTATTGATCTAGGTTTTAGCAAATTTCCCTATAGGAAAGTAGCTATTACCGTAGGTGGCACGGTATGACCTAGGCCCGGGACCGATTTACGTTTTGATTTTGTTGTCCCCAGAGGCCAAAAACACCATTCGTTAAATTGTTTATGTATGTATATATATATTTAGGGATGGACTTGATACAAGACGAGACGGGATTTTTTATTTCTCATAAAATTTCGAGACGGGATTTCCCTTCTCATACATAACGGGAAATGCAAGTTTGACATTTTTACCTGATTTTGTAACATTGTTAAATACCTACTGGTTTATGACGGATTACTGTTTAAATACAAAAATAATAATAATAATAGGTAGGGATGGACGGGATTGAATTTTTAGTACGGGACGGGACGGGATCTTTTCCTGTGCATAAATAAGAGTCTGGAGTATTGCAGATACCAAAAAAGACAAACGAAATCAATTTTTACAGTTTCCACTGATCTATAAACCAAAAAAATGGTTTGGTTACTCAAAATGACTCGCGGTCACGGTGCGATAGTCAAAATGACCACGGTCACTGGGTGATCGTCGGTAGAACTCGCGGTCACGGTATGATCGTCAGTATGACTCCGCGGTCACGGCGTGATCGTCGTTATGACTCCGCGGTCACGGCGTGATCGTTGGTATGACTCGCGGTCACGGCATGATCGTCGGTATGACTCGCGGTCACAGCATGATCGTCGGTATGACTCGCGATCACGGCACGATCGTTGGTATGACTCCGTGGTCACGGCTTTGATCGTCGGTATGACTCGCGGTCACGACACAATCGTCGGCATGACTCCGCGGTCACGGCGTGATTGTCGTTATGACTCCGTGGTCACGGCGTGATTGTCGTTATGACTCCGTGGTCATGGCGTGATCGTCGGTATGACTCGCGGTCACGGCATGATCGCCGGTATGACTCGCGATCACAGCATGATGGTCGGTATGAAACCTAGACCATACATAAAGTAATTCATTTACGTAATTAATAAAGTAATAAGGTAATTAATAAAGTAAATCACAGTACGGTGTGTTACCGTATTGTTTGATTACGGTAGATCTGAGTCATACCGATGACTGATCATCGAAATGACTTCGCCTCCTGCGTCCTCGGAACATCTCTCGCGAAGCAACAAAATCGCCGACGGGAAAAATTCCCGAATCAAATGTAATCCCGTCTCGAAAATTGGGAATATTTTTTTCCCGAAAATTTCCCGAAATTTCGGGACCCGTCCATCCCTAATAATAGGCAAGAATATTTAATATCTTTTATTAAAAAACAGCAATCCTAGGTACTTGTTAAACCTAATGTTATTCAAATAGGTTTAATTAAAAATCAATTCTTCAGGCAAATGGAAATTCACTTAGACGGCAGGTTTGCTGCGGCGGGGGTATTTGATTAAATAACAGTTTCCCACTTAGATAATGGATAAAAAAGGTTGTGCTAATTTTAGAAACACTGTTAAGATTAAAATATTTATAATATTATAATTATCTGATTCAAGCTCAGATACAGATTTCATGAATTGAACATTACCCTGTATGAAAATATACCTTTTACAAAACACACATAAAATTACCACATTAACAAATAAAAAAAATTTTCTAAATCAATTGCATATTCCTGATTCCAGTTCCTTTAAATCGGATAAATTGTAAAACTTTTGTTTTTAGATTAACGAACCCCATCAATTTTATTTTTTTACCCAATATTTGTATGAGGGTTGTCTGTAAATTAAGCTCTCCATCAAGTTCACGTCACAGCAATCGGGCTGAGTTAATATCAGAGACCAAAGTCTTTTTTTTTACTTAATCCACTATTATTCTAGCGGGTTCTTACCCTCATAGGACGAGTAGTCTGGTTTTAGTATGAAAAAGCCAAGTGAAAAAACTGACACTCCCGCCAATGAATACACAAACTATAAAGAAGAACAGGTCCTATGGACAATATTCTAACAGTTTTTTCAAATTTGGCGCCGAAATATCTGTAGTTCTGCACTGAACCACCACTCAGCGCTGTAGTCAAGTTTAGCACGCGGTGAAGTGCGAGAGAGAGCGACATACACTGTTTTCGCCCCCTCTCTCTTTCTCTCGTGGCCTGGCCCACAGGGGACGAAAACGGTGTATGTAGCTCTCTCTCGCACTTCACCGCGTGCTAAACTTGACTACAGCGCTGAGTGGTGGTTCAGTGCAGAACTACAGATATTTCGCGCGCCAAATTTGAAAATACTGTTAGAATATTGTCCATAGGACCTGTTCTTCTTTATAGTTTGTGTATTCATTGCTCCCGCTTAGGATGTGAATTATTGTGTATTGTGGTTAGGTTTCTGTAGGATGGGGGTTAATCCTTGGTCCTGTTGCCAGTCGATAGATATATATGCAGAAACAGTGATTTGAAGTAGATAATGTGCAGTAGTGACTTGGGTAGTGTGTAGGTGCCTGTACATATCGGCACAACTGGGCCAGCAGCAGGTGTTCATCAGTTTACATCGTGACAGTAATTTAATTCGAGGATTGCTTGAAGATTGGCGTATTTCAGTTTTTTAGGTCTGACGGTAGTCCTTGAGTTTGATAATCTATCGTTCAGTCACACCACGAACCTCATGCAAAATTTCCTCAATCCTTAATCCATTTGCCAGTTAGTGTACGCCAACAGGTGTTTTGATGTTAAAAAAAAACTGTGCACAAGTAGTGTAGGTATTTTGGAAAATGCTGTACAAATTTGTATGGCCAGATGATCATTAATTTCATACAAGACTGGGAATAATGTTAAATATTGTTGCCGATCAATGTGAGGGATAGCTAACTCATAAAAAGTAGCTAATCGATAAGCAATGTATTAATTTTGCAAAATCTGGCACTTTTAAAAATTGCCAAAACAGTTAATACGTAATTGAAACTTTTGAGTTAAGAAGACAATTTTGTAAAAATGTAATATTTCTCGACCTAATGAAACTGTTGAGTTAGTGCAACAGTAGTTCATATTAAAACTCAATAGTTGATATTTAAATTCACCCGGTGTAAATTTTTACCAAGCGAAGCACATTTACCAGTGAGATAGTATCATGACACTGACTTTACACGTAAACAGATAATGTGTAGTTTTTCACCTAATGAGACCCTGGTGGAGAAAGAGTGTCGCTACGTCCGTGTGGTATGTTTCAGTCGCTGAGACCGAGATTAAAAAGAGTGAACGTGCGAGACCTGCTGTTCCTGCTGGAGACGGAGAAGGAGACGTGTCACAGCTCGTTGCTGTACAAGTCCTACCTCAAGTGATACAACTTCACGCCGCGTTGCCTTCACCTTCGCTTCACCCCACACCTTCATGTCGCGTTGTTATTTATTTTTATAGCTGAATTTTTTATGTGTTGAAGTGAGACAGAAGATAATATAGAAATTAAAATGTATACGGGGTTGTACATTTGTTGTTATGATTTAGTTTGTTTGCAAACTCGTATGTTTTATAGATTGTACAGTTATTTTTAGTTACCATATTGACGAAGTAGAAATCGGGGGCTTGTCGAATGGGTCTGTACTGCCATTCAACGCTATTTATTGTCATTGTTATTTTAAATATTAATATATTCCGTGTCAGTCTGTCGCAAGAGTTAGAGTCACTATGTGTTTAAATTGTCGATATGTGTTTATTAATTTTTAATTAACTTTATTGCACGGTAATCGGATAAACGTAAATCATTAACAATTCTGGCTGTGACTAAAGTTTGTGAAGTCAGATTTTGCAGCTGGTGTGAAAATAAAAAAACCAAAGGGGGAAAAGTTTTATTTCTCATAGGCTACTTCACAAAAGTATGGAGAAGAGCCAAAATAATTGTATTACATTTTTCATTATTGATAATACAACTTAATGGCATATATGCTATTTTGTGTTTAGCAAAATAAGGATAATTCTAGTTTTGTACTGTATTTTATAAATTTTAAATTGTTATATTTAGTTTAGATATACCCTATATTTACTCTGTTTCTCTGTTTCCTTGATTTTAAATTTGTTATTGTTCAGTTAATTTTTAACACTCAAAAAAAGTTATTGAGTATCATTTAAACGAATGAATTGTGTTCTAAGAAGTCTTGTGTAGAGATCAAATAATCAATTATTATTTTCTATCAGTGATCAAGAAAGTGGATTACCACCTTATGTTTAATTAATTAATTATTCTACCAGTTGATTCTGTGTCTTATAAACAAATTTCTTATGTAAAGCAAAACAACCAAAATTGATATAGGTACATTGTTAGTTCTACAACAATCATTTTATAAAATAAAAATGTACCTATACATTTTGTTCCAATTTATTCAGGATTGCACTATTACAGCATCCAGTGCTGTAAAAAGTTTACAATAGCCAAACAAATGTATTTGAAGCCAAAATTCAAGAAAAAAACTTTTCTCTTTGATTAGACAAGTTTATTATTAGTTTTTTAAATGATTATCTTTCACAATTTCAACCTAAACATTAAAATTAACAAAACATTCTAAATGGCGACACGCGTAGTGTTATGCCAATTGACATACTGTAGAGTATTTTTTTTTAGATTTATTTGAGTACTTTTCAATGCACTGTAGCGTATTGTGTATTGCATTACTCATTTAGAAATTGTACTGATATTTTTAAGACTAACTGTTTGGCCTGTCTTATGTACGGGGATCAAGTAGTTAGTTAAAACTAGTTCAGAACAGCTAGTTTACATTTTAAGTTAGATTTTTTTCAAGATCTGTAGATAAAAACATAACCTGCACAAAGGTAAATTCTGACTGTTTTAATTTGAAAATCACCTTGTTAGTAATTATCACGTGGTTATCAATTTTCATCTGAATGTATACAGTAGGCCTATGCATTGGAAAATTGTAATACAATAGTTTTACAATAATACATAATTTTGTCGATATGAAACCCTTGAATTGAGATTGGGGGCTGATTTACATGGTTATTCGTAGCTACATTTACTTTAAATTGCGTAACATTACTTACTTTGTCTTACCTCCGGCCTCACCAAAAACACACCTCAATTTTCTTCTATCACTTGCCTCTTCTAATGTACACCCCAATCTGGTGATGTCTTTCAGTTTTGGTCTTTCAACTTTATTTTTGGTATTTCAAGTCGTCGGTCGTCTACCTTGTGGTATTCCTCAAAAACACTGTTAACAGTTAAAGTATCTTCTCTCCTCCACACATGTTATTATGTTTACGACTAAAGTTGATTATACGAAAGTGTTTAGATGTAATAGAAATTACACATTTCCTGAAAACGCAAATTCTTTATGGTTGGAAAGAACCTAAAAAAAACTCAATTTAGTAAGATCGTAAAAGTCAATCAAATGGACAATGTTCAAGTAAACAACTTGTAACGTAAACATTTTAGTGATAGTTTAAAATTGTGTAAATTTATCCACGACAACTTAAATTAATCCGAGCCTACTTAGTAGTTGGCTTGGCTTGAAGTAAACCGTACAATTTTCTGCTGTATTGTTCGACTACAGTTGGTAAGTTTATTTTAAACACAGAGAAGTATTGTACAGAGGAATCTTGCTTATGGGATGACCGAGTTCATCCAGCTTTAGTATGTTAAGAGGGAAATATACTTGTGACGAGCAAGGAAGAGCCCAAGCAGCGAGCACTGTGCAGAAATCCCTATTGCACAGGGCACAGGATCTTCCTCCTATAAAGACTCATAAGAGTGTCATAGATGTAGGCAGTGTTGGACTTTTCCATAGCGACCAGCAACTAGTGCTAGACACCACTTAGTATACCATTGAATGTTTCCTCTGTACCTTACTTTTCTGAGCTTGAAATTAAATATTACTTTTGTTTAAAGTACAGTATCTTAATTTTAACAAATTTTTTTTTGTTAATTTGATTTTTCCCATGTATCTACATATGAATTTTCTGTTAAATGTTTTTAAATAGAAAGTTGTCCAAACGCCTAACTTAATTTACATGCCAGGGATCGGTTCAATGATTTGTTTCATTCAGTCTTTGAAGTCTGGAATGCTAATCACATGGCTATCAACATACTGTCTTATCATTTTATCTTGTTAGGTTAAAATGAATGTTGCCACAATTAACTAAAATTGCTCCTGTCCAACAAAAATAAAAGTTAATTGAAATAAACTCCATCCAAGGAAATCTCTTAAAGAGTATTCAAAAGGTAGCTTTATTACACGATTTTGAACCAAACTCAATTAATTTTGATCCAATTGTAATTTTAAGTAAATTCACGAGATGTAGTTAGTGAGAAAATAGTATCATTGAGTTATGACATTTTTTTGGTAAAGATGGCCTTAGGCTAAGATTTATAAGGAATTTTTGGCTACTAGGTTTAACAACAGGTACTGACAAAAATAGATGGACTGACAAAAATAAATGAAAATGCACAGAATTTTTGGAGCTAATAGTTTCTTCAGTCTCTTTTTTTTCTTGTAGTTTGTTGTTTTTACTAGTAGCTTCAGAAAAAGTTATATTTGTGCTTTTTCGTCTATTTTGTCAATAAAGTAAGCCTGCTGTTAAACCCAACCACCACATTGTCATTCTAAAATATAATCCTGCAAATTGAAACTCATCAGTTTATTTTGATTTTAAATAGTTTTAATCTAAGGCTTTCTTACTCTTTGGTTTTCAAAAGGAAAATGTCACTTTCTTTTCCTGTAAATCTAACACCAGCTGTTCTAAATAAATGTAAAGTCAACAATGTATCTTAGTCTTGCCACAATTAAGTGGTTGTATATTTTTATATAAGAAACGATGATTAAGCTGTAAAATTTGCATAGTATTACACAAACAGTGAAAATAATTTTACGGATATTTATTTTTGTATTTCATACTTTTTTAGTCAAACATAAAATCCACAACTTGTTAAATGTTGAGCATTAGAAAATTTTGTTGTTTTTAACAGAACCAATTTTTATGCTTTCTCAAAGTGTAAGATAAAATGTTGGTTTCATGTTTTCATTCATGTTAATTGTAAGTGTTGTATTTTACAGTGTAATATAGGTATGGCATAATTCCAGTTTGTTATGAATAAATTTTTGAATAATTTATTTTTTAACAATGACTATTTTATTTCAATCTTTTTCACACTTCTGTTTGTATTTTTTCTCAACATGACATGTCGACAGAAGGTAAAACTACCAATGTTCAACAGATGACCAAATAGTGACCTATAAAATGTATTATGCATCCGTTGGTTGACACAATATCTTTTTAAGTTAACAGTTATTACAATATTGAAGTTTATTGTTTAAAGCACATATTAGAAATACCAGAGTTCATAACCAGAACCTGCAAACTGACAATAAAAACCGGTTCCAGTTAATCTTATCAGCTAGTAAACAAGTGTATTCTTCACACCAACTAGTTAAACAATTAGCAATTTTATAATAATAGACGAACTAGCACTAATTTAAGATGAATGCTAATATGTGTCCTGTCTATTCTCAGAAATTTTATACTTCATCAACAATAAATTCCATGATCTACTCTTTACTAGTTCAGTTGTCTTGACTAGTCTAATTGTCAACATTCGTTCAGGTCAACACCTATTTTATATTTCAAGATAGTTGAAAAGTTTTGATTTTAACACTATTTGTATTTGGGATCTTTTCCGTAAACAATGCATTTGCTCAGTACTTCCCATCTCTACACTCAATTTACATTATGATTATGCAACCTGTTAATATAACCTAGGTATCTTGGTAAAACCTTACATTACTTCCTTCATTACCTACATGACAGTTTTTGACTGTATTCATAATTATTATGGTGATCTTTTGCTATTCCCGACCCATCACAAAAATCATAGGATTTAACTACTGTACTCTTGGAAAAAGATTTGAATCCTATCAGGATATGGATGAGACATTCTGATAAGAAAATAGAGATAGTCCTATTTTTATAGAAATGTTTCAGTTACTAGCACTTATCACTAGCATACTTACATTAAACAAAAAAAACTCTTTGATAGATGATTGCCATAAGATAAAACAATTAGTTGTGTGTATTACGGTTGTTTATTTAATTCATTCTTTAACAAATTTTACAACAAATTAATTTCCCTCCTTAAATTTCAGAGTTATGACAGTTAACAGCAATACTCTAATCATCAATAACCGATAGTATTATTGTTTCCCATTTTACCAAAATCATTACAAAAACATAAACACATATTGTAGAGTGGCTAAAAGTACAGTTGTTTTACAAAGATTCATACTTCTAGGCCTAACTAAAGAGTTGAAATTGTTTAGTTAATTTATTTTACGACAGAAGATGTAAAGAAACATATTTTTTATTTAAATTCAATATAAACAATACCGAAATGGTTACATATTTTTGGTAATTTGATATGTTCTTTGGTTGACTTTAAACACATTCAGCAAAAAAACAAAGACTGTTGCATATTAAAAATATGTGCTTGGATATACAGGAAAAATATGAGTGGGAGTGGATTTCATTACACTCATAAGTCTTTTACACTATGTCTCTTAGTTTTGTTGTTTATTATGGCAGGCCAATAATTTGCGGGTTAAAAATCAATTGGTTATCTGTTGTTTATTGGCTTTTGTGATGGTGGATTGTTGTTTAATTAGTTTACTTTCTGTTGGCTCAACTAAAGTCCTTAGCCATATAATTACTTATTATGATTCTGTTATCCTTAGCTAAAAGTACTAGCCTAGTTGCTTCATAATATTTAGAGGACAATGACCAAATCATTTTATTATTCTAAAATACTTTTGAGACCCAACCACAAACATGTTGGAAATGTCTGTATATACTATTGTATATATTAAGGGTACTGCCGAAAAATATTTTTAAAATGCAAAGTAAAATAATTTTTAAATTGGGATTGACTGTTTACTACTACCATATAAGAAGCCTTACTTATTGGTACCATTGATGTGGTATTACAAGGGGAATTGTAGAGCCTTAATGTTGATAAGTTGTTCGTTATTTTTTTTCCATAAATGATGTTTCAATCAAGAATTTTTTAACTTCACATCAAGTAAACCAATGTAATGGGCATTTAGTTGTAATTATTTTTCTCAACCCTCCATATACTGTTACGTAGGTGTAAGTATTGTAAATAATTGAATATATGTAAATAACACCCACATAATGTTTAAGTGGAGTTTGGCAAGTTTTTCCAAAGAAAGTAAAGTTTGGATAGGCTTAAACATTTCTTAGACCTATATAAGTTATTTGTATATAAGAATATATTGTACAGTAGTGCTTTTTTAAATCAAAACAAGTGTTAAGTTTCAATAAAACAAGAAAACAAAATACCTTTTGTAATTTTTTCTTTTGAAATTATAAAATAACTTGACCAGTTGACTAATATTTTCCTTTTGTGAGTGTCCGAGTTTTCCACATTCCATATTCCTGTTATAGTTTAGAATGGGTATTATAACTCACTTAAGTGATCACCCAAATTTTAAACCAACTTATTTCAACTCAAGAATTCATATACATTTGTTTTGAACAGTACTTCAAATGACTTTCTCCTGAAAAACCAATTTGTTCACAGATTAATTATTTTACTCTACAAATAACTTAGCATGATTTGTTTGTTGACAAAGCATAATTTGCATACTCAAGCGCAGTTATGTCACATTTCATGTTTAATTGACTGTGCCAAATAAGAAAATCTGAATGGATTTTCACTGCCATAGCGGCCAAAGATAAAATTATATCAAGTTATACAAAACAAAAGAAAATGAAACAAAACTCAAAAGGCGATACCATTGACTAAGGAAATAAAAGAGAACTTTTGATTCCCTTGTCTGTGGCGATACTTACTTTAGATAAGAAACCCCATATACAGAATGTCTTGAACATGAAAACTTATCAAGTGATATATCAGGCATAAAACGGTGAGCTTCTTAGTTTTACTCTAAAACCCTTGAATTCAACAAGTGAACTGTCAAATATAAACCCATCATGATAGTATAAAAAAAACCTCTTAATCCTAAACCTTAAATCCAGTAAATACATGCATTATAAATTAATTCACCAAGTAATATATACAACATCAAAAATCAAATAAAAGATAATCCTTATCTCAATCATGAACTTCACAAGTTAACATCTTATTACACTCCTAGGAAACATATAAAACTAATAAATGAGTTCCATTTTTAACACCAAAAGATAAAAAGAAACTTTTCAATTGGGTATTATTAAATTTTTTATAATGTTGTATATGAAAATAAAGTTTAGCTCACAAGAAAAGTCAAATTTTAATCAGTATTGAGATATCTGTATTTACAAGAAAAAATACAAAAAATTAAAAAAATACAGGGCATTAAAAAAATACAAAAATTCCCACTAAAAAAGCTGCCACTTTGAAACAAATTCTGATCCCACGAAAATGTTGGTAGCTTTAAATATGACATGTCATTATTTGACAGTTTTGATATTTGAGCTACTGAACCTCTGTTTTTCGAAAAATCTATTTAAAAAAACTGTATTTTTTACGTCATTCCGGTGTTGGTTTTGTTGGTTTCAGAGTCCAACAGGACAAAAAAACAAACATGCATTGGATTTTATATGTATAGATTAAAAAAACTATGCATTTAAGTACAAAATACGTCATATACAAAAATATTCTATACAAAATTCTAAACAAGATGGTCCTCTTCATTATCTTGTTAAAGTGAACGGGTATAGAGTTACAGAAGCTTAAAAATTGACATTTTTCAACCATCTTTAACGATTTAAAAGTCCCGGAGAGAGCTAAATATTTCAAAAAATGTAAACGATACAGCTACAAAACTTGTCCCCCCTCCCAAAACCCCACACACAAACCCGACGCTCAAATAGGTGTACCTTTTTACAGAACATTATGTGGACTTTACTAAACAACTTGTAGTCAAAAGTATGCTTTCACTTTGGATGCCTGGGTTCTTGGTCCGGGTTTAGGCAAGGCCAATCGTGGAATCGTGTGCTCCCGCTATCTCCGAACCCAAATGTGTCCCGCCACCTCAGAATTCTTGAGTGACCCTTATAATCCCATCACTGCCTGCGATGGTAGCTGTCATTGCATCCACGGCTGCGAAGTGCCGTGGATGGAAGATTTAATAAAAATTTAGCCCGTGGGTTAGGTTAGGTTAGGTTATGTTATGTTAGGACGGAAAGTCTTAACGCAGGTAGTAACCGAGGATTATAGGGGTCACTCTGAAATTCGGAGGTGGCGGGATGCGGAGATAGCGGGGGCCCTTGGTTTAGGACTAATTGCACCATACTATTTAGGACCAACAGTAACTAAAAACAATACTGGACACCTTACCCTATGAGATTCAACTAGCTAATAGAAGCACCATAATCATTTTAAATGTTTTTGTGAGGGACAAACGCAGGTCTTGATACTGTATAATAATGTAAACAATTTATTAGATAGCGCCATTGATTAATTGATAGCCTTATTGAACAATATTTGAGAATTTGATTGTTTGTTGGATGTATTTTTTTTTCAAGTTGATAATTAATACGGTATAGATTTATCAAACTGTAAAACTGGTCATTGTTTTCAACTCCATCATATTTGTAATATTTTTGTATTGGTGTATCGCCGGTTGCAATAAATAAATAGCCCAATTGCATCTAGAACCTAACTTCTCTAACTTGGTATCGAACCAGTGAACTTCATATTTGAAGACGAGTTGTTATATCAAAGTTAAACAATAAGATTAGGGTACTATGACCAAACTACACTTAGGTATTCCCACTGCAACTCATTCAGTAAATGCTAAAAAATCAAATTTTCAATTTAAGTTTGAGATATCAAACTCTCTAAGCTAAGCTGTTCTTGCTTTACAAACAAATGTGTGACTCGGTTGTAAGTTCATAATGCGAGAACAGTATATTATACCAAAATTATTTTAAGCTAAAATTAAATCTAGTTTCTCCTAATTCTATTTTGTAATGAGCCGGGTAAAATCATTTTCTAACAACATGGAACAAAGCGAGTGATGCAAATTGGCAATAAAAGGCTTTAAACCACCTTGTGTCACGAAATGAGGTTTATACTCAATGTGGCACGTTTCAAAGCAAATCACTTTAACGTCATTTTATATGGGCCATCAACGCCATCTTGCTCAAAAGAAGTCATTTCCAAGTTAAATTGTTTCTCAGCTGGTGCAGGATTTAACAGATTTGCAATTTGATGTGAGAATTGCCATGGCGTTGATAACAATACCACATCTTCTGTACAGTTTAGTATCACAACAAGTGAGTTGTAGTAGACCACCTGCCGTGGAGTAAAATTTGAATTTGAGAAAGATAAACATAAATTTACTGCATTTCACCCAACAGTGTAGTTTTCCACATACACACATCAATAAAGTAAATGTTATTTTAGAAATGCCGAGATTAGTATATTAATAAATGTATCCTGTGGTCTGCCTGTCTAGAAAAAATATCGGCCCCGAATTCTGTGCTGAAGAATTCAGTAAAAAAATACAAGTATCCATGTATGGATAAAAATGGGGAGACAACATTAAATCTTTCACATCAGAAAAGCTCAACAAATGAAATCAACAAAATCTTTGCATTTTATATTTTAAGATACATCTAAAACTGACATCTGTAAATGGCAGACATTTTACTGTTAACGTAAACTGGAGGTAAGTTCTAATTAATTAACGTCGTAACCGGAGCTGACGGAAGCAGGTGAAAAATAACTTTAGTATTAGGGAGAGAAGTTTGGAATTAATTATTGGCCGTCATCTCAGCTGACCGTGGCTGAGATCAGCTGATGTTGAGAACAGCTGTTTAGCGTTTACTGTTGCTGACGCTGGTTGACGGGCGCAGGAAATCTCTTGCTACCTCCAAGTCCCAAGTAAAGTAACCAACCATCAATGGACAATGTAAATCAAGTGTGTTTTTTGTCGAAACAACCCAAATTATTGTTACAAATACAGAGAGACACTGTTAGGGCGTTAGGCATAAAACAGCCGCATAAGTTGGTAGTCCTGCTTCCTTTACTCCATTCCCAAGCATCTGATATTGTTGCAATAACTGCCTGCACAGTAAATGTTGTTGTAAATAAGACAATATTACCTGGAAATGGAAACAAAACTAAGAAAAATATGAACCTTTCTTGGCATCAAAAGAAAATCAACACAATCACTGTTTTATTGTAAAATTATCGGATTTAAAATGCATTTCATATAGGCCTTTAACCGGATGAAAGAAATGGGTGGTCAAGTGAGATTTGTTTAGAAGATGATTTTCCCTACTAAAACTGCCAGAATGTGTCTTTTTGCGTGTAAACTATAACTGTTCTGAATTATTTTCAGTTTTAATCGACTACTTGATCCCCGTACGTAGGACGGGCCAACAGCTAGTCTACGTATCTTTCTACAAAATCTGATCTTTGTAAAATCACAGTTTTTGGTATTACAAAGGTATTACGGTCTCATTCACAACATATTACTTATAATCCTAAACCATGGTGGAAGGAAAATACATAGGTGTGCTATTCCCGTCATATTCTGACGTCACTCGGATTGCAAACAAAAGATCACCTGATTGTAACTGTCAAATTAGTATATGTATTTGTTTTGATTTTATTGTTATTGTTTTTTTCCTAAATCTTGTAAATAGCAATGGATAATATAGTTATATAATAAGTTATATCAGCTGATGGGTAATAAAGTAAAGGAAGCAGAATTACCAACTTAGGTGGCGTTTTTGTCCCCATATAGTGACTTTCTATACTTTAAATTTGTGTTGTGTTTTATAAAAAGATTAAGTAAAATGTTTATATTATTAACTAAGTCAGTTGTTAATTGATTCCTCCAACCAGACTAAACAAACCTATAAATTTGTGATATTTTGTGGGAACCACTCATCTTAATTTTTGTCTTTTGATATCCAGGACTCTTCAGATACGATGAAGAGTCCCCTTGCCACGCAATCGTCCTGAAAAATCAAGTCCGACGTTTCACAAAACCCGAAAAACGTACAGCTTCTTCAGGGTTAGAAAACGTTTTCTGTCCCGCAAACGGGTCGAACGCTTAGACAAACCTACCGTTTGGCCAAGAGTTCGTGGGTATATAGTACGTCCCTACTGGACGTGAGGGAACCCCTCAACCTATCGGTCACAGAAATTAAACTCACGAAAATCTTATGTGAAATTACTGTTTTCCATAAGATGTGGAACGGGGCGATGTCTACTTGTACCGGCGTCTAGTTGTACCTGCTGCATTTTGGTGACAGGCGTCTAGTTGTACCCCGTCCAAAGCTGTAGAGACAACTTGACGATGGTGCGGACGTCTAGTTGTACCTACGTCTAGTTGTCTCTACGTCTAGTTGTACCTCTTAAAAATCTA